ATTCGAAAAGTCGAAAACTAAGCTTGTTTATTTGCTATTCCTATTTTTAGCTATCTGCTAATATTATGATTATTCTCTTAATCGAAGTACTGCTTGCGGAGCTGTGGCTTTTCGAAGTCGAATTGTTCCACAACTTTGTGTTTGCTAAGAATCTCCCTGTTTTTCTCTGGTATTGTCAGTGGGTATAGTGACCACACCGAATTGTCCTTGTAACGCCCAGGGAATGCGGTCTCCAGCAATTTGTAGAGTACTCCGCCTTGAACTTTTCCAAACGAGGACGATGCGATATGGAATCTATGTGTCTGGTTAGCCTATCTGTTTCAAAAGAACGATGCTGAAGATGAAAGCGACATGGCCATGAAAATAACCTACCCCCATTCTGTTAGATTGTCAGGAGTGTAGTCGGTGGTGTAGAAACGGTCACCCCTGCATAATGCCACAGCATCTGCAAGAATAGCAACTGAGATCGTGACTCCAGGGCAGAGGCCTGATCCTGGAAACCATGGTTTCTTTGTTTCTTCAGCTTGTATACCAGGATAGAATTCGATATCATCGGGCTCGGGATAAAGTTCTGATACCATGCATGATCAGCATCTGTTTATCATTGCCACATAGCACTTACAAGCTTTGGCAACAGCTGGATCGGGGTTGACATCGACTTCTAGCATCAGCAAGTGTATCGGAGAATGTTAGGAGCCCATACGGAAAGTCTTGTGAGGTGTGAGATTGAATTTTTCCCGGACCTCGTTTAAAGTTGCAACGCCCCATTGACGCTGAGTCTCGATGCCTAATATTTCGATTGGTCTCATGAGAAGTGGGGTGCTCTTTGCCCCGAATGCAGCTTGATCGAGAGTGTCAGAAGTAGTGAGGTACTGTAGAAGAGTAGCTTACCTGCTGGGCTCTCTGTAGTATGGTTGAGAATATTAATTAGACTATCATCTGCGAAAGCGCCATTTGACAATCTCTCGATACCTCCGAATGTTCGTTGGGAGGGCTCAACGAGGAGGATCCCCTCAGCCCATCTGCGAGCGCCCAGCATGAAGTCACCCGCACTCAAAGTTTCTGCACGATTTTAGTACTTGGTATAAGCGGGATGAGGTTGAGCTCACTCGGGTTGTAAGTCTCCCCAAACACCTCTCTCATGAAATTATTTGTCCAGTTTTCATTGGCAGTGTTGATGGTTGCATGCCAACGATAGACCAGGTTGAATTCCACGCTGACCTGGTTACCGACAGCTTTGGGCACATTCAAGTGTGGGAAATCCAAGCGAGGATCCAGACTCCAGTCTGACTCGACATTGGAGGTGTTTTGATTCAAATTGAGAATTGCTCGAATATAATCATGTAGAATTATATTAACGTAGAGACCACAAGTAATCCTAGGAAGCACTGTCAAGACCCGAAAATGAATTGCATAGCACGGGTACATACAATCTTCCATGTTGGAATGAGTCGTTGTCTCTCGTCTTGAGGGCGGCTAGTTCTGCATCACTCCCCGAGACTAGCCCTCTGGGAAGGCTAAAGCGACCGCCTTCGTTGATTCGAGCCAACTCTACAACCACATGATTGTGGAATCGGTTGAATGCAACAATGAAAGCGCAGACACCAGGGGGTTGGCCCAACAGCCTATATTCGGCAAAAGTGTCCTTTTTGAGAAGACCATCTTTGAATTCTCTAACGGTATCTTGCGATACTTGATCGTGACCGTATAAAGGAGCTAGATCAAGGTAGGAGGAGCCCTTCGCGCGGGTCTGATCTCTTTCATCGGTGTGGAAGACATCTATTTATTCTCTCGTTAACCCCCGAGATGATACATTTGGCTAAGAATGGCCATTACCATGAATTATAATGGTTGCCAAGAAGAACAACATCTTGAGATACCATTCGGATGAGTCCTAGGCGGTCCAGTTCGCAGCAATAACTCTTTTCCAGGTCAGCATGCCCCAGAAATTTGATCAGGGGGCTACGAACTGTCGAAGACGTCCGCAGGATCTGGTGGCTGGGCAAGCTTCGGGCGTCTTGCTTGAGTCGTTCTGGCATAGCGACTGCCAGCAGCACCCAGCGAAGGATTATTAGGATTCTGAAAGGTGCTTTTAGCAAGTGTGACCACAAAGTTCCTCCTTGTTCAGACATTCTTCCCATGTTGAAGAGGTTTGTCCAATTTGGTGTAAAGAGATCAGTCAGAGATGAGCAACGAGATATTACTCACATTGTTAGACCCGTTGGCGCTACGATATCGTGAATCGCTGTCGATGGTAATCACCGAGTCGGGCCCATGACCTAAGAGGTCTCGAGGTGGATGATCTAGCTGGTACCATAATTTCTTGATCAAATATCCCGTAGCTAGCTCCCTTGCCTTGTAGGAATTTGGCAGAGCTGACAGCATCTGAACAACCTTCTCGACCTATATATGTCGTATTTTAGCACATGTATCCGCGCAAAGATTAAAGACGAATGGCATACAAATCATTTCCCCTTCGGATTCATTCCCCCCTTGAGGGCAAACTTTGTAATGTCATGGAGGACCTTCGCAATGTGGGGCTCATGCTCTTCTTCATGGACTTTATCCATAGCAGAAGCAAGCTCATCGTGGTGAAACTGAGATTCTTGGGAAGCCATGGCCGACGTGTAAAAATCGAAAGACGAGCGGGATCAAGACTGAGATATTTCGAGTTCAATATGGAAGGGAGCGAAGGATAGAGAGATGCAAGGTTTGTAGGTGGCTCGTTGTGGCTAAGGAAAGGTAGGTGAAGTTGTCGAAAGCAGAGAATCATGATATAGTTAGGTAGGTAGGTATCTATCGCAAGTGAGAAGTGAGAAGGAAAGGTGCGTACCTTCCTAGGTAGGTAGGAGCCAGCGTCCAATAGCATGTGATCATCGACCGTAGAGATCGGGATACCTTGCAAGGCTCTTAGAAAGAAGTACCCGAGACGAGTAAATTGATAAATCGGCACTTGGATCTTCAGACCACCACATCAGAAAACAAAGAAATCAAGTCGAGATCTTGGAACATTGTACATGTCAGATACGTGATCTACAGATCTGTGTCATTCTTGTAACTGCTCCTCGGACTGCTGCAACGAAGAGAATTTGCAAGCCGGTTCGTTACCTGTTCGGCTAGACCCTCAAGTAGATAGGAAAGAAGATGGAAAATGAAGTGAACATAGTTGAGCGCCATGGAGAATACACTCCATCTTTTGTCTCGGTCTATGATAACAGTGAGATGCAAACTTATTTTCAGGACATCAAGCTACTACCCTCGGTGTCCAGACTTAGGTTATATCAGAGCTGGACATGAAGCAGCAAGCACCGCGCTTCCATATCCTGCTCTGCTTAACAAAACGAATGAAATCAAGAAGTGAAAATTGACACAGATAGAGAGCAAGAAGATATACAGAAGTGCACCTTGTGGGTTCACTTAAATCCCAATGCGGTGACATGCGTCATTATGACAAGCTGACAAGAGAACCAGGAGGCGGCAGGTCTAGACCTAGAAGACATTTTGGAGCCGTTTCAAAGGATCCACACCTATTCGTTCGAGATAAAATGGGTTCAATATTGCTAGTCAGCCAGGCAAAGAACATCAATTGAACCAATGGCACTGATAGCTTCTAATAATTTGCCGCTACAATATCTCATTGTTATACGACCACGACGTGAGTAACATATCTCCGATGCTTAAGTAAGTCGCATTAAGGCCAGGCACAGACCACACTAGGAACGCCATGGCCATGCCATGCTCTGCTCTCTACCTTCTGTCTTATCTCCCCTCTATCTATCACATCACAAGCTTGTCTTGCCTACGGTTCGGCGAGACCGAATTGTCCTCTATATGAACCGACGTTTCCACATACAGAAGTCTGGTATCCGGCTTGGGCAATGAAGATACAGGATCGCAAATGTTGATGCAAGATGCACGCGACAGCAGTATCGGCGAAGAAGCCTGATGTGAAAAGGCGACCACATCGCAAGGTTAGAAGTGGCTGTTTAACCTGCAAAGTAAGTTTTCACTTCTTCCCTACAACCATTGCAATTGCATTCTGAACCCACTCTTTTCCTCCAGATACGGCGTGTTAAGTGCGACGAACTCAGACCTTTCTGCGCTCGGTGTATCAAATTTGGAATTCGCTGCGACGGTTATGCATCTCCAAAGGTTGCCAAAGGAGTCCCGCCAACAAGGGCAAATATACTTCCGAAACATCCTTACTCGATTCCTCTCTATAAAGGGCCTGCTCTGATGCGATTCGAAGATGAGGACGAGTCCAGGTATTTCGAAGTTTTCAGCACGAATACAGCATACGAGATATTCCCTAACATTGAAATGGGGAGGTTACGGACCATCTTCCTCCAAGCATGTGACGCTAAGAAGTTCATTCGACAAGCCGCTATTGCATTGGGAGCCTTGGATGTGACATCCCAAGCATCCCGTCCTCCAAGCCACACGCGCTATGCTGCTCGCAGTAATTTCAACAATCCTCCAAATCGTCATTATCAATATGCACTCAAAGAATATGCCCATGCGATCAAATGCGCCCAAATGGATGGAGAGAACGACTTCCGAACGGCATTGATGACTTCTCTGGTCATCCTGTCCTTTGAGGGATGGTTAGGCAATCACGAAGTAGCAGTCCAGCAAATCAGATTAGGAACAAGGTTATTGAAGGAGGTAAGACGACATACTGTACTGGATTGCTGTGCTATTATAGAGCAATTCGGGAGACGGCAGTTGTCTTGGGAGCATGATTCTCGTTTGTTAATGTGTCTTGGCTCCAGACATAGTTTCCGGCTTACAGAGCTCCACCGTAACTCTTAGCGTCTTCCTGTAATACTGTATTAACTGGTTGCAGTGGAAGGAACGGCGTAGAGAAAAAAGTGCACCGGGATCTTCACTGTTGGCAGCTAGCGACGACGAGAATGTTCTTTCACACGTATTCACTCGTCTCTCCATTCAACTGAGGTCGGCCACGCTTCCACTCCCATCGGTTTCTTCCGAACTCCCACCACTGAGAATCGATGACCCAGAAAAGTCCGAGCGAATGCCAGAGTCATTCAGCGATCTCACGGAGGCGGGTAAATTCTATGGCAACATCGTAAGATTTGCTGTAACTTTCGTGGCCCAGTAGGTGAAATTCTGCCCTCGTTGTGTATTTTTTCTGGGACCCGAGCTCCTTAGGACCATCCTATGGGCAAATACTCGAAAGACTATGGTTTTCAACTCCTCGGTTGATGAGTTCCTCGGCTCCCATATCTGCGTCAGAAGTGTATTCTGATTTATCTGTAGGGGATTACCACGGATTGCAGGAGCCAGCAGCCTTACTGGAGCCTATCAAGTTGGGGTCGCCACCGGAAATCAAATACCAGACGATGTCGCTAAAGCACAAGCCACTCTAACAAAGAGTCTCCATCGATGGATGAAAGCCTTTGCTTGGTTGAGAAGCAATCGCAAATTTCAGACTCTTGCTGAGAAGAAGGCCTCGATAACCCTTGAATTACAAATGAAAGCTACATATATGGGTGCCATTAAATCCCTCGCACAGGATGAGCTAGTGTTCGACGCTTATCATGACATCTATAGAGACATTGTCAACCTCTCAGAGGCGCTTTTAAACTGCTCTAATACTTCAAGAGTCCCTAAATTCTGCTTCGATTCCGGTGTAGTAATTCCTCTGTACGTCTATCATCATTTTAAGTTTCATGTCCTGTGAATCTGGCACTCTTCCAAACCTGTGCTAGCTATACTTCAACAAAGATGGAACTAATTTCTCAATAGTTGGTTTACAGGTCACAAATGCCGGGATCCAATTCTTCGGCGGAAGGTCATTTCATTGCTTCTGTCCTATCCAAGAAGAGAGGGAGTCTGGTAAGTCTTGAGTTATCGTAGAATTACTCCCTTTAGTCACTATCTCTGGAGTTGAGACTCCTGATGCACTGCAAGACATGCATACCCTCTCCAGCATTTTCGGCTTCGGAAGCTAAATCTGAAACTTTAATTAGGGATAGTGTCTTTGCCGGTCTAGTTATCGAGTGCCTGAGAGCTTTTGAAGAAGAATACATGAAAGACGGGGAAGTGCCTGGGTGGGCAAGAATACGCAACACTAGCTTCGACGTCGATTTAAAGAAACGTGTAGTAGAGGTAAAATGCCAGCAGCGTATGTCCGCGACTTCCGACGAGGTTGTGCTTAGACGAAGAACTGTAGATTATTATGTTCACACTGGTGTCACCTTGGAACAGGTGGGGGCAGTCATTGCATAACAGCGACGACTCGGAAGGGCTATCAGCCTGCTCGCGCTCGCACCCTTCCGGTCGCCATTCCGAAAATATACCCTATTGTCCTTTTCGTCTTCATCTGCTTCTTTTCAACCTTGAGCTGAAAGAAGCCACAGTAGCGCGCTTCACTACTTCGGCATGTCAGACCTGCATCCCGATTATTTAACCCTTCGGGTGTTTGAACCTGAATGTTGAATACCCGAGAGCATTTGTGCCCCTATCTCGAGGTCTATTGTTGGAGGAATGCCATCTGCGTGCGCAAGTATCTAGGGAGATACCCCATGAAGTCAAAGTTGTGGACGCAATTATTTTGTAGTAGTGCACTACGGAAATATTTTTCGAGCCGAATCGGCCAACCTTAAATGTTCAGATGAAACAAACCGTTGTTTTGAAACATGCAACTACAAAAGTCACACTCGGGCATTGGCCGTCTCTCCTTATCACACAGATGAGCAAGGCTCACTACAGAAACTGGCTCCAACAATGTTCATCTGGTGTGTGTGTGTGTGTGTGTGTGTGTGTGTCACGGCTGCGTCGTTGCTATCATGATCCAGGCTGCAGATTCTAGCATGAAGGACGCACATATATACCTAGGTAGATTCCTTCTTGCAACTCAAGTCCTCAATTCGCATCGCTCTCTTACGTTCCACATCTTCACCTTTTTCCTTGCTTCTTTCCTCGGACACTCCTTTATCCAGTTACCTTTCTATTCAAACATTCTTTACCAACCAATCTTTACCAACCAATTATCTTCGTCATGAAGACACTTTATATTGTCTTTGCTTCTGTAGCGCTCTCCAGCCCACTGCTTGAGAAGCGCTACGACCTTGACCACAATGGAATCCTAGATTGGTGTTATACAGATGGGGACGTTGTATCTTGTCTCCTCTCCGAAGCCAGCTACGTTTGGACCACCTTCACTGCTACTATGTCCACCCAGGCCATCGCGACTCCTATATCTACCGCTGCATCCATTACGACGACGCCAGCTTCATTTGTAGTCAGCACAGCATCCCCGTCACTCCCAACTGGGACCCTCCCATCTCCTGATGCATGGGCAAAAGATAACAGCACTAGGTGGCATGTTTCTGATGTCGGTAGTATCTACAGTACGTCGAATCCCGCGCTTGCTTGATGTTGATCCTAGGAGTTGAGCTTCTCGAAATTATCCTTGGAAGTCACTCGTCAGGAAATATTTGACTCACTCCCTCGGATGAGCTCCTCAGCTCCTAGACTTCTATCTAAAGTAGATACTGATCATCTATAAAGGCAGCACCCTGGCTCGTCTAGGATGGGACAATGGTCGCACGTCTGTTCTTAACAACACCCCTTTCTGGAACTTTGGCGACGTACTTTCTCTCGATGGCTTGCAAGATGGTTTCTCGACAGGCCCTGCGTGTACGATCTTCTCTTTTCCACTGTTCACTCCTGATAGAATACTTCTTGAAAATAAATGGCTACCAATCTTCCCTCGTTGTTTCCCCTGTGGATGAAACGACTGACCGAGACTCCCTTAGTCTATGGCACGCCAGACGATATTCTCCGCGTTGATATGAAGAACGTAACCAATGTTCTCGACCTCCTCTTCTGCCCACCAGCTGCCTCAGATCCAACTCCCGAATCTCCAACACCTTTCTGGGGCCTCAGGTACGAGTCGTCTCTACGCATTTCTCGCTTACTCTGACCGCGAACCTCATCACCATATCTGGCAGTCCATGCAACTCAAATTCCTGCCCCCTTTCTTACCAGATCCCAACATCCTCTCCTTTCGTCTCCCGCCAAGTTAAAAAAGCCCAACTGACCATTATACAGCACCAGCAATGTTGCAGAGGTCTCTCCGGGTCTTGGAATAGGCTTTGTGTGGGAAATATGGAGAGACACGACTGGTCTAACTCAAGATCGAGGACTGGGCATGTACCGAGCGACCCTTGGTCCCGAACTCCCCATCGCGAATCGGACGGGTTCTTTGATTGCTGGTCTAGACGCACTACCCGTAGGCATCAGTAAAGAACCCCCCCCCACCTTCGTTCATGTCCTTCTTTCTCAATGAGGTTACTTTTCTGGCTTGTGTTTTCAAATAGAGACCAAGTACTGATTTGTTCTAGTGACTGTGCTGAGTGCTGAAGGATACATTTATACATACTCCAACAAAAATGGAACGGGTATTGTAGTGGGAAGAGCCAAAGTTGAACAAGTATTTAACGCCGATGCTTATGAATTTTTGAGCCTGGATGGAAGTTGGATCAACGGAATCCCGAGCAAAGCGACCGCAGATGATAGTTATGGGGTGCAGGGTGCAGTTCACAGTGATGGACAGGGAAGTATTGTCTGGAGCAACTACTTTGAACAATATTTGTTGTTCACTGGGCGGTATGGGAGTGCGATTATGTTCTATGCGAGCGAGACACGTATGTACAAATCCTGCCTATCTGCCCTTTCACAGAGAGCGAGCTCCTGAACTCCGTCTGCCTAGCCATGAAGGGGTGTCCCAAAAAGCTTGACTCACCATCTTACCTTGAAAGTCTTTACTAACCTCCTCTAGCATATGGGCCGTTTACTGGACCGGTTGGATCCCTCCCTCGTTGCAAACTTCATGCTTTGAGAAATATCACTGGCTAATTACTTGCTGTGTAGTATAACATCGAGACCATCCCAGGGTACGGCGTGAACGTGCATCCTTTTTGGAGCCCAGATGGCAGTCACAAGACTCTCTATGTAAGCAGTGGGATTGGGAACATTATACATGTGTATAAAGTCGAATTTGATTATTGAGAGTCAGATAGGTGTTCGACCCAGAGACGTAGATGGTAGTCGATCATAACTTGCTGGGCACCCACTCGGGTTTCGTCTTGGTCGCAAAAGCCTTCAATCCAATCCTCATATTCTCTCCCGAGAACAGACTTTTCTCATACCTGTCTGCCACCAATCTCCTTGCCTCTTCTACACTGGCAACTTCCCACGCTTCTCTAAGTCCAGCTCGTGTAACAACCACGGCATCAGGTGACAGTGTACAGATCTTTGCGGCCATCTCTATAGCTTCATCAAGAACACTTTCTCTGGTCTCGGAGATCTTGTTGATGAGATTGAACTTTAATGCTTCCTCGGCCGTGAGTTTTCGATTGGTCAACGCGATTTCTGAAGCCAAAGGAAGCCCAACATTTCGAACGAGGCGAGGTAAGCCTCCAGCAGCGGCGTATAGACCAACCTGTGCTTCTGGAAGACCGAATGTCGCCGTTGGAGAAGCAACTATAAGGTCGCTATGCAAGCAAACCTGGATCAGCATAGTTTTTTGGTGACTTCACGTGCACACTGACCAATTCAAGCATATCTCGAAGCCTCCCCCCAGTGCAAACCCATTCACGGCCGCAATGATAGGCTTCTTTCCTTTTCTTCGAGAAATCCCAGCAAACCCACTCGGGGGGTGTCCTCTCCCGCCCCGTCCGGTCGGATCCGCCGAGAATGATGGAGCCGACTTTGCACTATTAAGTTCGATGAGATCTTGTCCCGCGCAGAAGGCTTTAGGTCCAGAGCCGGTAATGATAGCGACACGGAGAGAAGGCTCGTTATCGTACCAAGTAAATATGGCATCCGCTTCGTAATGTGCTGGGTAAGGCAGGCTGTTCATTGCCTGTGGTCGTGATATGGTCACTACCATAATACCAGGACGAGGATACGAGAGGGATAAGGACGATGATTTGGGGGGATCGAATTGAAAATTGTGAGGCATCTTGTTGGTTCTGATAAGTATTTGATATGTGAGGATGAGAAGTTGAGAAGCTGGTGGAAGTTCGAGTTGGGTTGGAGTGAGATGTAGTGGTGTCAGGTAGAATCCGGGGAAGCGAGGCGAGACATTCAGGGGTTCGTTGCCGGCCCCGCTGCCCACCTGCATCAACCGAGGTCTACCGTAAAAGGGTTGAGTATGACACAAAGTCTTGCTGCCTTCGGTGCTGCAATATTTATTCGTGAGCACATCAACGTTTAGCAAACACCTTACGCACAGCACACTCCGCAAGTCTAAACCTCCCCATCGAGCAAATTGCGACGGTTTCCAGACTCTGATAGAAGTTTCGAACTCAGTCCAATGAGTCTAATATGGAGCCTGCTGCACTTCGACATCACTTACCTTGCTAAAAGACAAGTCAGACTTGTTCGAAATGAGCGTCAATGGTTCAGGAACTCATGCACGGAAAGAAGTAACATTCTACCTATCATCCTAGTGAGAATATAGTACAACTCATGCGCCATCATTTTCTCCGTCCGGGAACACCTCTCTGAAGGCTTTCAGATTCGGACCATCGTCAAATATCGCGAAGATAACCTCGTCGATACCTTCCACACCCTTTCTCTTCTTGTCCCCAAGAAGTACGTTTCTGAACATCTTGGCGACTTCCTCCGGTGGATTACGATATGCTCCGCATCCCAGTGCCCCAGCCACAATTCTTTTGATTCCCTTCTCTGCCATAACTTGAAAGATCAACCTGATTTTCTCCAACATAAGATCCTTGTCCTGCGGATACTCATAGATCAATCTCGTCCGATCAAGATTCCACTTCAGTTCAGGTTGCTTCAAAGCGGCCACCGAGATCACATCCGTGAAGAACCATTCTGATTTGGGTAAGTCCTTCATATCTGAGCCTCGGAAGACGAGGACATCTGGGCTGTAGATGGCAGATAGTTCTGGGATGCGGTAGTAAGATGGCTTGAGTGAGTAGTAGAGAGTTGAACGCACACAAAGAGCTTCTTCCTGGGCAAGGGCACCATTCATGAATCCTCCACCGGGAGAGTAGCTCGAGGCCATGTTAAGAGTTCCAACACGAGGGGGATCTTTGGAGCTTGTGTCTTCGGCAAGCAGGTCCTTGACGGCATCGTAAGTGTCAGACTGGACTACGCGAGTTCTCGGGTGGGTGGACGATGTAGCTGATACTGGTGTTGGCGATTCAGCCAGTTGTGTCTCCTCCATGTCATTCGAGACGTCCTTGACGGTTTGCTGAGATGTTGAGGTGGGTGATTTCGTATGTTTTGTCGATGCTGGAGAATCTCGCAGTCTGGAAGTGTCGAGGAGAGAATAGGAGACTAGCTCTGAGCTATTGGCGCCTTCATGGGCACGAGAGTTTGTCTTCAGGATATGTGGTATCAAGGTATTCACCGTCTCCTTGGCCAGTTTGGCGCGTCCGGCTTTATTCAACATGACTGCGCGGTAGGCGAACGCGATGGTTTGAAAGGCGATAGCAGAAGTAATCCACCAGAAGCAAGGTACGTAGAGCAGGATATCTGGTGTTGATAGTTGAGTTGATTTTCGACGTCTGTAGGCAGGGTCTCAGGAAACGGATTGGATTGGACTGGACTTCCCATCTAGGCTTCCATGAGACGCGTGCCGGTCTTGAGCATCACAGATGAACCAGTGGACATGAAAGGGAAGTAGTTTCTGCTCGAGGCTTCCACGATAACGCCTTTTCAGATTGATGAAACCTACATTTGTACTGTAGTCGTAGCTCACCTGAAAGGGAGAAGCCTTGCGCCTTCCTAAATGTAGCCAATCAGAAGCCGCTAAAATCTGGCCCAAAGTTTTGTTGCACATCGCACAGGTCATTTAGAGGGTGCCCAGCTATCACACAACGAGCAGACTTTATCAACAGCTTGGAAAAACCAAACGATAATTGCAATTATGGCCAGCCAATCAGAAGCCAGCAATCTTTAGCGCTGTTTTCGATGGGAATATGGCAGAACTCAAGAACTTGCGCGCTCAGTGAATCCTCGAGACCTCAGGTATCAACTCCTCCTCGGGCGGCCAGCCAGCAACGGCGTTTTCACAAGCCAAATTAATTCTCGCCCCAGCCCAGCCCACGGTTCCACCGCAGACCCCAAGCTCGCCTCGCCTGCAGAAATGATGCACGAATGAGGAAATGCATCGTGTGCTGGCCCTGCGCAAGAGAACGTCGTACCTGCTGATCCGGTCATGGGGAAGGATAGGTACACAGGTACCTATCATCTTGGTTGATGAGGGTTTGCGGCATTACTCTACTGGCTGGCTGGCTGGTTGGCTGTGGTCCCATGTTCGCACAAAAGGGAAATTGAGGTTTTACTCAATTGATTTTGTGGTTGCTCAAAAGACTGTCTGTCAAACAAACAAACAATGACGGAATGCTTTAATGTTCTTTATCCATGCGTGCGTGCATAATGCAGTCACAAATGCCGCTTGTCTATTCCCTGCTCGTCTGTTCTCGACCAACAACGCACTCACACTCGTACTTCGAAAGTAGATCTTGCTTCGCCTTTTGCCTTTCAAGCATTGTTTGCCCAGTCGAAATTCGTCCCTTCCCCACGAGAGACATTTCTTTGGGTCCAGCGTGATCGTGACCACGACAATTAATCTGCTACCAAGTACCTAGCTAGCTAGGTACTCGAGTACTGGCCGCATTGCATACCTAGGCAGGCATGGGACAGGGTGGCAGAGCTAGGTAAGTGTTGTGCTCCCCGCTCATAGACTACAAACTACAAACCCTCAACAATCCGCCCCTCGCCAGATTCCTACTCCCACAATCCACAAAACACAATTGGACATCGCAGCAGGGACAACATACTTCAACCTCTCGCAACGACGATTCAAGGCGGGCCTCAACTCCGCCATCATCGTCGCAATGAGTACGCCAGCTGTAGCCAGTACCAATGGTGATGGCCTTCGGGAGCGCATAGTCGCACATGCGGAGAACGGATCCTTAGCCTCCAGTAGTGGGGAGAACACCCCGCGAAATGATGAATTGGAGGCAGAAAAGTCGAAGAAAACTTTTGGCAGAACTCCAGATGGCACCAGTAAGTCGTGTTGCCTGGGGCAGAGCAAGAATGGACAAGTGGCTCACCGCGGCATACAGTCTTCACCGTACCGCAAACCCATGATATGGTCTCCCAATTACTCGATCCTCGACAGCCTAAGAACCTTTCCGATGCGATCGTCATAGCCATACTCTGCATGCACATAGCTGCTCTATACCTATTGCCTTCCTTCCTCAAGCGTCCTGGCTTTGCAGTCATTTTCCTCTTCTGGCGAGGCTGCTACAATGTCGGAATAGGGTATCTTCTACAAATCCAGTCGAACCACCGACGCCTAGTAGCATGGGCCAAGAGGTTCAATCTCTTTGAGGATCCCAGTACTGGAAAGAATCCTCGTCCGTGGCTGTACAAACTGATGAAACGCGAACTGGAGACCAAGATCCCAGAAGATTATAAATTTGAGGAAGCCCCAATTGAGTACAACACATGGCTCGTCTTCCGCAGAGTTGTGGACTTGATTCTGATGTGTGACTTCACTTCCTACTGTTTATTCGCTATTGCGTGTGGCGGTCGTCCCGAGGGAGAAGGTCCTGCTATGTACATCGCGCGGTGGGCTACAGGCATCATTCTGGTGGGCTTCAATCTCTGGGTCAAACTAGATGCCCACCGGGTGGTCAAGGATTACGCTTGGTACTGGGGTGACTTCTTTTACTTGATCGATCAAGCCTTGACGTTCGATGGTGTTTTTGAGATGGCGCCTCACCCAATGTACTCTGTTGGTTATGCAGGCTACTACGGCATCTCCATGATGGCGGCTAGTTACAATGTTCTCTTTATCTCGATCATTGCCCACGCAGCACAGTTCGCCTTTCTCATTTACGTAGAGAACCCTCACATCGAGAAGACATACAATCCACCACCACCTAGAAAGCGAGAGCTGCAGCCAAACCAAAGCGACACTCTATTGGCGACCACCACAGCCACTACAAGTAGGGAGAGTCTCGATAGTCCCGAGCCGTCTGGAACAGTGTCACCGTTCCCTCCCGTTACGTCTCAACCACTGTCCGTACATGATCTAATCGGTCTTAGAAATATCGACTTGTTCCGCATAACTGATGTTTCTGTGCTTTTACTTCAGTTAGGAATGATCATTATCACCGCTGCCACACCGACTACGCCTTTGTCCCAGGCTATGTTCGTATTGAACGCTTGTTTGTGGCGATTGTGGTATGCTGTCGGTCTCGGCTCAATCCTCAAGCAACAGTCGGACAACAAACTTTGGACTCGCCATTTCCTCAAGTTTGGTGAAGGCACAGAAGAAGCCTGGAGACAGTGGAAAAGCATGTACCACGTGAGTATGACCATGTGCTATGTGAGTTTCATTGCAGCAGCATGGAAGATGTATTCCTTTCCAGCAGATTGGAATTACGGACTCGTTCTCCTGAAGCATGTGGTCGGAGCAGGACTAGTTGCGCTGCAAGTCTGGACAGCCGTCAGTATCTACGAATCTCTTGGCGAGTTCGGCTGGTTCTTTGGAGACTTCTTCTTTGACCACCGTCCCAAACTGACCTACAGTGGAATCTACCGGTATCTCAACAACCCTGAGCGTATCATCGGGTTGGCGGGTATTTGGGGAGCTGTTCTCATTACATGGAGCCCCGCCATATTCTTCCTCGCCCTCCTCAGTCATGTTGTGACCCTCGGTTTCATTCAATTCGTGGAGAAGCCGCATATGCAGAAGCTATATGGTAGAAACTTACGAACTGAAGCTGGGCTGACCAAGAGCATTCGAAGATCGCTCCCACCTCCGTTGAAGAAGTTCCAAGGCAACTTAGACAAAGTCTTGGGTGATACCACACACTTTGTGGAAGATTTCCTTGATGCAGCACGACCAAAGCTTGCATCCGGCGTCTCTACTATTGTCAGAGATACAACTGCTCTGTTCAGTCAATATCCAGCCAGACTTACTCTTACTAAGCTGGCACCCGACCTGGCTGGCTTTGATCCTCGTGATTATTCCATCGAGGTTGAGGGTACTCAGTCTTCGATAACTGCTCTGAGTGAGCGCACAACTGGAAAGGAAGGTCTCTCAGCAAGATTTCCCCGGCAAAGAGACGACGGATATGAACCTCTTTCTTTCGAGTACGGTGCCCCCATCAAAGTCAAGTGGAAGGCACCGGTCAACCACAGCAAAAGTGACTGGGTCGGACTCTATATGGTAGCGGACAATGCTTCTCGAGAAGTCACCCGCGTTTCTTCTGCTGGTCGCTGGGTAGCAACTGTTCCCAACGAATATGAGTCTGGTCCAGGCAACAATGGCATTTTGGTCTCCAACAAACTCGTCAAAGGCGCGAAGCGTGAGGATGGGACTACATGTGATTTCATGTATGGTGAAATGCTGTTCGAAGGTGACAAACTATGGTGGACTCAGGGCGTCTTTGAATTCCGATATCACCACGATGGCAAGCACAATGTGATGGCGATCTCACTACCTTTCGAGAATCGCATCCCACGCTTCGACGAGTACGACGAGACACATATGGATGCAAATGGACTAGTTCGCTCTGCTGTTCAAGACGCATTGCTCCCCGTGGTCAAGAATTGTTTCGATCGTGATCCCGAGATTGCACCAAACACAGTTGAGGAGAGCTTTGGCAGCCTGGTGGAAAGAGATGGAAAGTATGCCAAGAGAGTGGTCTATGCAGTCCACCAGATGTTCGCCCTTGAGCTTGCACCTGGAGTTGTAAATGCCGACGGGAATGTCAAGAAGTTGGCTTGGCGTATTTGTGTTGCTAAGCAAGCTCTGGTATGTTGGACATATTCTACTCATGATGCTTGACAATATTATTTTTCCTGTTTACAAGATAGGTCGCTGATCACCACTAGGCCCCATACAGTATGTCTCATTCCAGAGGCACAACTACACCAACGGGAGAGGGAGAGAAGTGTTGAGTGGTGCATTAGAGGGGTGGTTTAGAGAGACATGATGGTTGCGAAGTTACGGAGATACCCTTCATTGGTGCATTGTTTTGTAGCTTTGATTTCATGCATAGCGGTGGGAGAGACCTTTGCATTAGGGTTAGGAATATGAAAAGTGTTACATTTCTTCAGCGTTTATTGATTTTTGGTGATTTTCTTGTCACACACATACCCGATGATGTGATCAAGTCACAATTGATTATGAGACATGTCGAAACTAGGCAACGGCGTATATCTCGTGTGATCTTCCCTCTCCTTCGAGATGCTCGATGGCAATGCTAACCTCAATCTCGCTTGTTAGGGGGTACACTTCTCGCCTAGACGAGTAAGCGAGTGTTTCGGTCACCTTGCTGCAAACGACAGCTTGGCAACTGAGAGTCTTCATGGACTTTAACATATCGTAGGATAGATGGCACTCCTCTCGTATTCATTAGCCAGTCTAGTTCATTTCCTATGCATGAAAATAGATCATGCCGGAGAATGAGAACCAAGCACGGATTCCGGAGGAACGAATGGATGTGAAATGAACATCGAAAATTTACATTAGCGAGATATCGAAATATTTGTACAATTGCATACCAAAGAACACTTTTTGCTTCCTAGTAAAAGGTTGATTTCAAATGGTCAAAGAGTTTTTCGACTGATGTCTCCTGGATCTTGTATTTTGCAGCTTGAATCCTAGGTTCGACGCTAGCGGCCGCCCTGTTGGATTACAGTCCGCTGCCCCTCAACGCCACTCTTTGCATTTGTAAACATTCAAGACTGTTTCTCCGGGTTGAAGATTTTCTTCCTTCCCACAACGTCCAAATTCTCGCACAATGGCACCATCTCTCGAAGCTCCAGAATCAGTTCAAGATGTTCTGTCCAATCCTCTCAAAAGCGCCCCGAAACTCGTCGCACCGGAACCAGAGCACTGTCCTGGCCCTGAGTCCGAAACCGCAGGAAAAGCAGACTCTTGTGCTGGATGCCCCAACCAAGCTATCTGCGCATCTGCGCCAAAGGGACCCGATCCGGACATTCCAGCTATCACGGCACGATTATCAGGCGTCAAGCATAAGGTTTTGATCCTTTCGGGGAAAGGTGGAGTCGGCAAATCTACATTCACGACTCTACTCGCACACGCATTCGCGACCAATCCCGAAAACACAGTAGGCATAATGGACACGGACATTTGTGGACCGAGCATACCAAAGATGATGGGCGTGGAAGAGGAGACGATACATGTCAGTGGCGCAGGTTGGAGTCCCGTATGGGTGATGGAGAATCTGGGGGTAATGAGTGTACAATTCATGCTCCCAAACCGGAACGATGCTGTCATTTGGAGGGGACCAAAAAAGAACGGCCTGATAAAGCAATTTCTTAAGGACGTCGAATGGGGAGAAATGGATTTCCTACTTGTAGACACGCCGCCCGGCACGAGTGACGAGCATCTCAGTGTCAACTCCTTTTTGAAGGAGAGTGGAGTGGATGGAGCCGTCGTGGTCACCACCCCGCAAGAGGTTGCCTTACTGGATGTCAGAAAAGAGATCGATTTTTGCAGGAAAGCTGGGATCAAAGTCCTCGGAATCGTGGAGAACATGTCTGGATTTGTCTGCCCGAAATGCACGCATCAAAGTCAAATATTCCAAGCCACGACGGGTGGTGGGAGAGCGTTAGCAAAGGAGATGAAAATTCCCTTCCTGGGTGCTGTACCCCTCGACCCGAGAATCGGTATGGCTTGCGATTATGGTGAGAGTTTCTTCGACGCCTGGCCCGATAGTCCTGCTTGTACGGCTTTGAGAGAGGTCGTGAAAAGAGTGGGCGAGGAGATGGGTCTGAAGCCAGAGACTCTTCTGCCAGAAGATTGAGAATCGAGGCTTTGGCTTCGAATCGGTTTCATCAATGAAGGTACAGGAAGCAGCACTAAAGCCCCATTCGACCGGGGTGATTGGCCCTTAGATTTCAGGATTGAGGGAGGACGAATTGAAGACTGGAGAGCAGGCGGAGTCGCAGAATCATGAGAGGGAGAAGCGCACATCCTTGGGTATAGGGTGTTGCCTTGTAAGGCTTTGCATCCCACAGATTGAGCTCAGGTATTGAGACGAATCATCAAGCAATTTATGGTTAGCATATCTTCCCATACCATGTTTTCAAGACTTGTTGCCATTGACCCAAGTTGGGTTTAGCATCTGGCCCAATCTAGCTTCTGTGCTTTATCTTTCGTTTGCAAAACCTGCAAACTTCTAAATTAAAGATCCAAGTTCTTCTCAGGAGTCAGAAATGTCATGGAATTCGGGTAGCTGGAGTGTTATAAGCTTTGAGTAGGCCTAGGTGCAATCAATCGCGAAACAATTTCCCTATTTTTTTGGCCGAGCTCGGAATTTCACTCATCAAATATCAATCCAGAGGTTGTAAACTTGATCCATGAAGGATCCATGAAGTCTCGAATTGTCCTCACCAGTACACTTATCCACAGACTCTCAAGGTTAAAACTTTGCTCGTTAAATCTTTAGCGTCTCCAACCCCAACAGCCAAAGATCGTCACTTCCTTCCTTACTGGGATAACTAATTCGGATGCGTATTCTTCTTCACTAATCTTCAAACTTTACCTTCGCCTTCAAGCTCACTTCCCTGTAAGACCAAAGGCAACGCTAGCTTGGTCTGATACTGGACTTATCTCACTTCACGCTACAAACCACTTCGTTCGTCGTCTCTCTTCTTTTCCCCAACCCAACCTACTTCCTTCAACCTTATTCCTCGGACCAATCCTTTGTCACTTCCAGCACCTGGTAAAATCATCAGCCAATCCACTCCACACGAACTTGATTTGCGCTTTGGGGAGCTACCATCAAGCTGTCTCCCTTTCATCACTCTACCCTCTTGGCACAGGAACCATCGTCACCTTCACTACTCTTGCCCCGCCTTGATCCAGCAAAGAAAACAAGAGCACTTTACTTCGGTCAAGACTTCTCCACCTTCAACTTAAACTCTTTCGTTCAGCAATATTTTTGTCTGGCACCATTATCCCCTCACCCAATCCCCTCACCCATCCACATCCACATAGGAGCTGCTTCATTCTCAAGCACCGTCTTCTCTTCAACTACAACTATCTTCGCTCAGATGCTCACCTCCCTGCAGACGACAACCATCTCTGACTTCTTCTCAGCTCTAGCAAGCCTTGGATCTTCGCTTGGTCCTTTTGACTGAAGTGAGTTCATCACGCACAGAGTAGCCACATCGTCAGCAGAGTTATCTTTACGTTGTTCTCGGCAAACCAAGCCGTCTGACTGAAGGTCAGAAACATCTTCTCTGGGTTTCACAGAGGACAAGCATCATCATCAAAGTCTACCTCTCATCTTCGGGGCCAGTCGACTACGGATCAACACTTCACTTGAACTGTTCTGCTTGAGGATTCCGAAGCTTCAACACAGCAATTCGCTCTTGGCAAAATCGAAAAGCTTGCTCATACAAGTTGCAGCACTACGCCCGAAAATCTCACTCCTGTCAAGAGAGAGTTCCCCAGAGCTAGAGCCTTGGCCGAATCCAATTCGCAATGCCCCGAAAAGACCGTGATCATGATCGACGGTAAGTTTCCTTAACTCCGTACGCGCTTCCTTTTTAATTTCGTCAACAGCCACTACAAATGGCTCCATGCCGGTCTCGTTGTTGACGTTCTAGGTCTCGTTCGCGACATCTGGTTCGCGTTCAAGAAAAACAAAAAGGACGGGTATAAAATAATCTATGCCTCTGACAACAAAGGAACTCGGTGGGGAAACTTTGGCGCTGGCGAGTTGAAGCGAGATATGATAACATGGGACGAAAACCATGAGAACAAATGGTCCCATCTTCGCACAGGTCATGGAACTTGGATATATGGCAGAAAGATGGCAGGGAAGAAACTCATCCGAGACACCCTCCTCGAAATGTACCTTGATCGAAATGTCCATGATCTCCATCCAAATGGCATACCAGATCGCACCATAGGCCCGCCACTGACTGCCATTTTCTTCGAAAATTGTTTAGCTGGACCGATGCCAATTCGCCCCAGAAGCGTTCGGGAGCCTACTCTGGCGAAGGATGAATGCTACCCGAAGACAAGGATCCCACTATCAATTGCTGGCATTGATGTTCACGCTTGGAAGACCGTCAATCCGCGAAACCCATGTGCTAAGCAAGTCGTTATTGACTTCTTGACAACCAAGATGTCGAACTGGCGTCTCGCTCTCGACGCCGAGAGACAGCTGAAGAATATCGAGAGCGCATTTTTCGAATTAGGATGGAGAATCAATCGGGGTGCATTGAGGAAGGCCAATGAAGACATGAGAAACGGTGCCGCGAATGCTTTCGGAAGTGCGGCTTGGAGAAGACACCCGCCGTTCAGGGCTGACCCGTTCAAGGGGCATGACATCGAGCAGTTGATGAAAGAGATGAAAGACGATGCTGGTGGAGACAAGAGCAGCGATGACAGCAGTGACAGTGATAGCGACAGCGATAGTGACAGCGGGAGCGAGCCAGACGACGGTGAGCTTTTTGTTCGTCCAGAGCGTCCTTCATCCCCTGCTGAGGCTGGTCCAAGCACGTTCAAACGTCAGCCAAGTATAGGTCTGGATGAAGGCCTGTTGCAGAGATTCCGTGACGAGGATGAGGAAGAGGCAGTGGCTCGAGGAACAACAGGACTAGCAAGATCCGTCGTGAGCAGAGATCCCCACTCCATCAAGGATACTACTGACGAGCTCGTAGGACAGCGATGAGGAAAATGACGGGTATGAATACTTGCCAAGAGATTCGCCTAATAAGGGCAAAGGAAAGGCTTTACCGAAGTCCAACGGTGACACTGGAAATAACAAAGATTCGGGCGATTCCCACCAGAAAGGCAAGAGCATGGAGACAATGAAGCGACCAATTGTTATCGAGGACACTGGCTCCGAGGATCCCGTAGTTGTCGAAAGTCCTTCCAAAAAAGTGAAGACCAGTCCAAGCCCAGAGGTTGTCATCGTGATCGACGACGACGAGGATTACTCGGAGATCGAGATTGATGAAGCAAGAAGCTGCCCTCGAGCCGAGAAGGATGAGATCATCGAGATTGTCATGATCAAGGATGCAAGTACCTCTTTCTGCATAACCCACGAGCTCTGCTAATATGGAAGTAGGACGAGGAAGATGAGAAGAAGTGAGAAGTGCGACAAGGTATGTATTTGTTTTCCGCTGATGTTTGCTTTCTGCCAATGATTGCACTTCAGACTTTTCCTTTTCAGCTGATAATACTGAGCATTTACTAATACACCAAGTAGAAGCATAGGTTATTCAGAGGATGGTCTTGTCTATCGTTGGGCAAAAAGCGTTGATTTCAAATAAGGGGTGGACTTTCAACAGCTCTGGGGACATATTCAGCTTCGGATTGTCTACAGACCCAGGCGTTTATTATTTTCAATTTCCAAAAGAAGCATCGACATTTCAATAATTAGAATAAAAAACTCGTTGATTTGACAGCTCGACTTCAATGGGAAAAAGACCTTTAATATCAGGCAATTACTTAAAGTTGATGACGAGAAAGTGTTCCATTTTCGATTTCTACATATCACCGCCAGTACCACCTCTCCACGAAAGTGATTATCACATATAACAACTGATTATAATCCGCCACTAGGAACCCAAAAGAATCATCTTTACCCCAGCTTGTCTGAAGTGTAGTTGTACGATCAACCTCGTCTTGCTCTTACGCAAAACACTCATTGGCCGTACGACTCTCGAGTTGAGATAGGTGCCTACCTTGGTCAAGGATAAATTTGCTTTGCAAGTTATCTTATGATGTCTGACATGCTCTGGTGGAAGACACAGAATATTGGCAGGAGGGGAGAAGTCCAAGTCGAGGTTCCTTTCTGCTAAATTGATGTTTGCACAAATCCTCAGAGTGGCATTTAAGCTTGCCCCCTATTCCCCGCACTCGCTAAATTTCGCCAAAGCCCCCTACCAGAAGATCACGCCAGACGATTTCAAAGCGAGATTACAGCGAGATGCTCTACCGAACGTGCTCTTCAATTGATTTATTCTCGTGAACCGCTGTCATGATCAAGCCTTAAATCTTCTAGATCTGGTCGAAGGCAATATATGAGGAGTGTTGGGCGGAGAGGGTTACAAAGTGTGTAGGTGGTTACTTGCGCCGTTTTTCTTTGGATATCCATTGCATTTGACGCACATATTCACCTCAAGTTTTCCAATTGTGAATACGGTGTGCCCCTAGAGGAGAAGGAGAAGGTTAGCTCTGACGAGAAAATATCGAATCATTGATGAGTTTGAATGAGCCGATGCACATTACCTGCCACTGAGAATCTGAAGGGAATATGCTGGTTGATTCTGATCCGGGAGTCGCAGTGCATTTGTATTTTGGGCTATTTTGTCATTTTAAGGTTGCAAGGGACGATCCGATGGGATCTGGAAGTCAAATCTCGTCTGATCACACATGAAAGTGCATTAAGTGGTGCAGGGGTTCATAAAGCTTCTGGAGTTAGACAATTGGTGAATCAAGTTGCTGATTAGATAAGATCAAGCTCTTTCCAGATTGAGACTAGGTCGGTTCAAGCGGAGCAGACCCCTCCATTTTGAATGTGCAGCCCGGCGATCGAGACTGAGACGAGGCTGCAACGTAAGAGACCACAAAAGCAGACTCTTCGTGATCAACACCACAGCAAGAGCTGTGTATTAACGGTGTTATGGTAAAACTTCAGCCGATTTCCTTGACACCAACAAGCTGACACACACCATAGGCTTCCGAATCCAGACTCTACGTCTTCAGCCAAGAGAGTAAAGACCACTTGCGAAAATTCCGTCTCGGAACGTCGAGGGCTAGTACGCCGAATGCCGTGATCTGTATGTCCGTCTCACTACACCTTACTGCCATTTGATGCTGGTTCGCGCCTGTGGACGAAGTGGGCTGATGCGGGGTAGATCTGATCGACAAGAATACTCTGGAAATCAAGCAGGATGAAGAGAAGACCGTCTACAAGAGTTTGGAGGAGATAGGGGATGACTTGCCAGACCATTCGCCAAGATTTGTCCTGCTGAGTTATCCATTGACACTGGTAAGTCTAAATTCGAAGACAGAGGTCGGGGCCACTGCTGACAGGTATTGGTAGCCTTCCGGACGACTATCAGTACCGTACGTCCTGCTTTATTATCTACCGGTGACCTGCAATGCAGAGCTGAGGATGGTATACGCTGGTGCCAAGGAGCTGATGAGGAATACGGCGGAGGTGGGAAAGGTAATCGAGATTGATTCTGCAGAAGACTTGGAAGAATTGCCATCGAAGCTTGGTGCGGCATAATTGAAAAGGGTATTTACAAGTGGCCGAGGACCCAGAAAATCAATAAAATCGTTGAATACATCTAGACTGACTAGAGCGCTTCTTCGCCTTCGTGGATGGACGACGTCTCTTTTCTTCTTGCTAATGGAAAAACTACAGATAAATGCTCGCCTTGTTCGTATCAGATCTCTCTTTCATCTTGATACTCCGTACTATTCTTCATGCAAAATGTCTCGGTATTTATAATCTTGGTCGACCACCGTTGTTTCTCCATAAAGAAATTCAAGTATGTTATGAGAGCTGCCGTTGAGCCCACCTACGCAGACCTTCTGCGCGAGGTTGTGGCGGTATAGTTAATTGTTTAAGAACGTCACCAGAGCGGTGAAAGTGACACGAGTGCTTATAATATCACTCAGTAAATTATTCATTTTGAGATATGGATTGGAAAGAAGGCAGCTGTGGTGACCATTTTCAAATGGAGAAAGGCCGGTTGCATGCTCTCGAGCGCTGTTAAATGCCATCCACGAGACCTAGTAAGCTTGGCCACGGCACAATGAAGGGTACGAAAAGTCACTCTGAGAATTGATGTGCGTTTCTACTAATGAACAGTACAAGCAAAAAGTACGCAAGTCAATTTATAGAGATCCAAACTAAATAACCAAAATCACAAATCGCAAATACTTTTCCACATCCACAAAGTCTCCCGATAATCATCCTCCTCCATTCATTTTGACAATCTGATCTTTTCCTCCGCCCCAAAGATATCTTAGTATAGGCATTAATCCCTGCAGCTCCCTTTTGACGCTGCAGTACATTGATGCTGCATTGGTGCAAGCCGTTGAGCTCCGTCAACTCAAAAGTCATCAGTAGATGACGTTGAATCTCCATCCGACTTTCAGCACTCTGGCAGTGATGAGACAGATGCCAGCAGCAACATAAGACAAGCCAGCGAAGATGATCAAGCCATAGTATTCCCCATTGCAGAGTTCTAGAATCTGCCCTGCAATAGGAAGTCCAGTCAATGTCCCAAAAGCGACAAACATCCAACAGGTGGCAAAGTAGCGTCCATAATTCTCGGTTTTGCACATTTGGCCGATGCAAACAGGACTAAGACTTAGATTGCTGCCACTGACGAAACCAAAGATCGCAGCAAATACAACAATCATGGCAGTGGAGTTCCCGGCGGGAAGCCACAGTGCAAAGCAAGACAGCACGCACATTGCAATGCTGAGGATCAATGTATTCACTCTTCCCATCATGTCCGCTACCAAGCCAGCGAAGAAGCGTCCGAAAACCGAGCCAGCATTGAGTATGGCGATGATTTGAAAGCCAAATGCAGAACTGTGGCCGTGAGACGTTGCATATGCAGTAATATACGTAAGAGGTACAAAAATTCCCCATTCCATGAGGAAAATGCCCAACGTTATTGCAGCAAAGGGCAAGTCTTTGAAGACAGCAAGATCAGGTGACACACTTCTCAAGCTGGTCATCGGCTTGCGAGGTAGTCGACTTTTCACCAACAGATTCATGACCACTAAGAGGAATAAGAGGATAAAACCTAGGATCCGGGTCGCCCAAGGGAAGCCAACAGCTGGGAAGAGTTTCTGAAGCATAAGTGGAAATATGATGCCTCCAATTGACCCCGCGGTCATAGCAACACCGGTAGCATTGCCTCGCTTGGCGAGAAACCAGTGTCCAATAGACGCAATGCAAGGGGTGTTGATGAGACATCCGCCAATTCCATTAAGCACACTGTACACCATGATGAAGTGCCAATATTCTGCAAGCAAGTTAGTTGTGGAGAAAGTAGTAGTATGAGAGCCACTTACGAGTGCATAGCCCAAGAAGGAACATCGAAGCCAGTAAGAACACGGACCCGATCATCATAGGATACTGAGGACCATAAGCGTCGAAGATCGGTCCAATTGGCGCACCGCAGAAGAATGTCAGAAACAGGGCCAATCCAAAGATCCATCCAATCTGACTAGCACTTTTGTCTTGAAGCTGGTGAGTGCTGAAGTATTCCAACAGAATTGCTGTGCTGTTGATAATGCCGAAGACGGAGAAGGAGCCACAGAATGCTCCAAGCACCACGAGCCATGCTCGAAGACCGCCTTCAGGAAAGTCATCCTTCTCCTCATAGGGCGTTATGGTGGATTTGTCCGAGTCGGATACATTGTTTTGAGCTAAGATGCCCTTTTCGACGATATCTGTGGTATCTGCATTCCCGACTGCTGATTGCCCACCAGTCGTGGCAGTTGTAGCATTTACTTGTGCTCTGTCGAGATTGGGCGTGCGAGAAGTGTCCCTAATAACTGGAACATTGTGTTGTAAGTGGATTTTGTTCGACCAGCCTGCCTCTGGTTGATTGGTTCTCTCTCTGCTCATAGGCCACACCAAAATAGGTCAAATGGTTGTCAGCAATGCGTTTGCTCGCAATGGAGGAGACGAAATGGAAGTTTATATGAAGAAGAAAAGGAAAACAAGGAAGAAAAAGAAGTGAAAGTGGGGGGGAAAGAATAAAGAAAATCTACTAACGGCGGGCTCCGCCAGCCGCTTGGGGAAGAAAACCGAGCTCACTTACCCGATGACATAAAAAATAATAGTAATGGAATATGCAAGGAGTGCAGGTGAACTGCAGAAATTATTGATCGGCTCTCTCAATTTGGGCTGAGCCGGCCGATATGGATTTTCCAAGCACACAATTCCACTTCCGTCTGGAGAACATGAACTGTGTGGAGAACCCTGCTTAGCGTACTAGGAATGAGACATTCAAGAATGGGATTTTGGTTATGTCGCAATTTGTACTGGTTGATGAGAACTCAGCGAGAAGAATGTGAGATCTTATATCTTCTCTAAATGGTATAGAGACATCTCCATCGATTGATATATCGGAAATTGAATTCCTTGATCGACAGTAATTGAGCCGACCGATGGTCGACTTCAGGTCTCGAACAGAATATACTCCATTGACATCTTGTGAAGAGCGCAAGCTTTCAGGAAGCGAAACAGACAACAGGGAAGTCTCAGAAACATTCTCATGCGTAAAGTGTTGTGTTGAGTTTCTAGACAACACAGGAGGCAATGTTCGACGATAGGCGTTCGCTCTGAGTCTCGAGAGTGCAATAAAAACTCAAAGGCACATTCCCCTCGAGACTGAAGCATGTCCGACGAACGAGGATATATGATGATGTCGCAGCCAATTCAGATTGGTGGGCATCATGGTGCGTTCAACTCTGATTGAATAGTATTGGTACCGTGAGACATCGCCCACCAGACGAGGAATCGGATGAGGCTGACTGCCTTGTGCCGTCAACGGCGGAGAAGAACAAGGTGAGGTGAGGTGAGGTGACTCAATATTTCGGCTTTTAGTATTTCACAGTGGAGAAGAAGAAGCAGGTTAGACACGCAATACTTCTGCTTCGAGTATTTATTGTCAGCACCTTACTTCCACCTCCGCTCCCAGACACGCCAATCCACGCCCGCCAAGCCATCGGATTTAAACCGCCTTGACCCCGCCGCACAGACCACACTGCAGAGTCCCGCTTTTGGCGCATCCCGAGCCGATAGAGATCACTTGAGTTTGTGTGTTTGCCTCCTCCTTTGTCCCTTTGTCTCTCTTATGTCCGAAACCCAGAGATCTCCATTTCTTGTATCAACAAAACATAATTGCCTGCTGCATACTGTCGGTGGTTGCTCGTATCCGGGCCCGAAGCACCATTGAGATCCATTTGGTCTCCACCACCGTCTCGTTTTCTTTCCGAGCCCTTCTTGTCTGCCAATCATCAAAGACAATCGGATGTAGGTGTGACCTCACAGGCAGAATGCCTAAACGCCGAAAGAAACATCATTAACATCGGGAATACTCCTGAGCTTCACCGCGCCCGATTTGCTTCTAGCGAAGCATCTGCCTTTCTGGCAAACTTTAACGCCTACGAGCCTAGAATTCTGGGCCCTGGCTGGCTTGTGCTATTGCACCGTGTGAGGAGGGGTCCATGGATTTCCGTCCATCATGAGATCATGGCATGGTATAAATATCGCAGCTCCCCTCGAGGAATTCCTCCTTTCTCATCATTCGAACATCGTACAGTTCCTTTACACCAAGTTCTGTAGCCCAATACTTCATACTCCTTACTCCTAGCAATTCCACTCGATCATCATGCCGTTCCCACCAGTGCCCCCGCAACCAAAGTCCGCTCTGGGTCATTATAGAATGCTGGCACCAACAGCTTCGGTTCGTGTCAGTCCATTATGCTTAGGAGCAATGAATTTTGGCGACAAATGGTTAGTCTGGCCCCTCACTCTTTTAAGAACAATCCTCGAATGATCGCCACTCTGAGGTCATGTGATGAGACATCGTGCTATATGCCTGGTTCTGCAAATAAGAGCTTTCGTTACATCTTCCTCACGTTGTCCAATCTATTCTCAACTCAAAACTATGTGCAATATCTTTCAGTATTTAGAGCAGACAAGGAATCAGCCATTATCAAATGTGGTACTAACAATGGTGAAGGACCGAATTCATGGGCGAATGTGACAAGAAGACAACTTTCGAGATCCTCGATTACTTCTACGAACAGGGTGGCAACTACTTGGATACTGCCAACAACTACCAGGACGAGCAATCCGAACAATGGGTCGGAGAGTGGATGAAAGAACGTGGAAACAGGGACCAAATGGTTATCGCTACCAAGTTCACAACAGCTTACCGAACTGCCCACAGCTCAAAGGAGATCATTATCAGTACGTCAAATTCTACCTCTGTTTTGTGTTTATCCTGGGAGTCGCTCTTGAAAAGATCATGTGTTTCAGGTCATCGCATGAGGCCCTGGCTCTCAGATCTCTGTCGAAAGTCTATGCTGATTTGTTAATAGATACGACTGGCAATGGGACCAAATCTCTTCATCATTCGCTCGAGAGCAGTCTGAAAAAATTGCAGACGAGTTACATAGACCTGGTATTTTTTTCTTCACCTCTACAGAGAAATTGATAGAACTAACAATTTAGCTTTACGTGCATTGGTGGGATTTCACATGCAGTATTCCCGAGCTCATGCAGTCTCTCAACACTATGGTTCAACAAGGCAAAGTCCTATATCTCGGCATCTCTGACACACCTGCATACATCGTCTCTAAAGCTAATGAATACGCCCGTCAGAACGGCCTGAGACAATTTTCTGTGTATCAGGGTCGATGGAGCGCTGAGAATCGAGACTTCGAGCGCGAGATCATCCACATGGCAAAGGAGGAAGGCATGGGATTGTGCCCATGGGGCGCACTCGGGGGAGGAAACTTCAAAACTGATGAGCAACGAAGGAGCCAAGAAGGGCGAAAGATGGGCGAAGCTTCTGAGGCAGCAATTCAAATCAGCAAAGTGCTTGAGAAGATTGCCACTGCGAAGAAGACCCAACTCACCAGTGTGGCCCTCGCTTATGTCATGAAGAAGACACCTTATGTCTTCCCTATTGTCGGAGGCAGAAAGATTGAGCACCTGAAGGGAAACATTGAGGGATTGAAGGTTGACTTGAGTGACGCGGATATGGAGGCGATCGAGGGAGCGTATCCTTTTGACATCGGTTTCCCGATGAACTTCCTTGGCGGTCCGAAGGGAGTGCATAGTCCTAATGATATCTGGCTTATGGCAATGGCTGGATCTCAACAGCACGTTGCCTGGCAGCAGCCCATCGGCCCAGCTAAGAATTAGACAATGTACGAGGGAGAGGAATGTAGTCTCATATCAAAGGAATTTAACACGCGTCAAGTGTAATTGCCACATACCTACCAGCAATAACAAAGTATTTAGCATTCTCGTTTGCTTGGCAAAGGAGCATCTGCGGTAGTTGTCGTTCCTCACAAACGCACACTCGCAATATGAGAATTTGTCAAAGGGTCTTTCCTATTAGCATTCTAATAATGGGAATACCTTCATGGTTTACGCTTCCGAGGTTCTTAACCTGGAACGCAGTGCCGCCAGGATGGAATCCCATCAACAGACTGCCACCTTGTGGCCCCGACGGACCGTCTCCTCGTCCAGCTGCGATGAGCTCGTCGAATGAAGCGCTGCCATTGTTGAGTTCTGAAGTTGCTGCTACGATGGATGAGCCATCACCGTCCGCACTCGCAAACGCCTTCAGTTCGATGAATTTATCACCGGTTCCTAGTAGCGTTGCTGTTGCTACCCCTAAGACTCCATCACTTGCGCAGGAGGCTGTGGCAGCAACCTCGATACTGGCGGAGTCTGCGCTTCCTATCAATCCAGCCTCTTCGCAGATCTTGCCAGCTGCTTCTTCGGAGATCCCGCAAGTGGTACCAGCTGCTTCTTCAGGAGTCGAAGCATTCAACGTTCCAGTTTCCTCGCAGATTGAAGATGTTTTGCAGCCGTCCACGATTGGCGAATCTATCAGTCCCCTCGCCACACCACAAGTCCCAGACGCTCCGCCAACCACTTCGAATCCTCCTGTGATCGTTAACCTACCAGGTTCGGCATCAGTTGCGGAGATTCTACCGTCAGCCTTAGCGCAAAGTGAGAATCTGAGTCCTCCAGCGTCATCATTAGTCCAGGATTTCATGCCATCCGCTTCCAACTCTCCAAACTCGTTACCAGCTCAGACAATCGAGGCAGCTAGACCGACAGAAGCAATTGTTTCCAGCTCTCCAGAATCTTCGGTAATGATACCGATACCACAAGCACAAGCCGGTGACTTGGCTGCAACAATTGTGGGCAATTTCTCCACACCTGCAACAACATTGGAAGATACTTCAGAGACAACCTCGCAGGATCCGTCAAAAGAGACTCTCGCTCGAGTCTCCCCTCTATATCAGAACCAAACGATTCATTCGTCCAATGCAACAATGCCATCAAATGGCACGGGTCACAATAGCACAATAACAGCAACTACGAAGAGCTCGAGCATACCGAATAGTGGAAGCACTGATACCTCCACATCTCAAGTAAGAGTCTTGACTTAATCTCAAAGTGGGCGAGAACTGATTTTGACAGTAAAGTGCACCGCGCCTAAATCTCAACAATGCTGTACTCCGACAGAAACGATACCAGGAGCACTGACTCCCGCCCATGGTTATTCCTGTAAGCCTGCAATGTTTACCGGACCAACTTGCCAGGGGATCAGCCTCTGTTGTGATAAACCATCGATCGATAGTTGCGAGGGAAAAGACAAAGAAAATGTATTGCCCCCAGTGATGTTCGGTGGGACGAACTGAGTGGGAGTTAAAGTATGAAGTTATGCTTGGCTTTGGCGTTTGGGACATCTTGGAATACGAAGAATGCAATTGCTTGCCGATATCAGAAAACTTAGAAATAGAAACACCTCCATGCTTTTGACCACAGTCAGTCATTCGACCTGCGATCAGATCTATTGAACCCTGACGCTCTGCGAATACTAAACCTTAAACAAGTTGAAGTACGGTAGTGCCGCAAACAAAATTCAGAATCAATATGTGAGGCGTTGACTGGAGATAGGGCTGATAAACAATGCCTTGCGCTTGTCCTAAGCAGCTCCAGGGGCTGACATGAGATAGATTCTCGGAGATAACCCACTTAGTGGAGCCGTGAATGTTTTGCTCCTTTGTTCCATGGTACTTTTCAGTCCCAATTTTGAGGTTTGCTTTGGCATTCTTCCGAGACCACCGACCAACCTTTTCTTTTTCCCTTCTTACGATTCTCGATTATCGCGAAAATAACCGAGGAGGATATTTTGCTAGTGTTTTTCTAGGGAGCGTGTCGGATAAAGACACACCTGCTCGCTTCAACTCAGGGGTATTTAGTGCGTTTCAGCTACAGAGGCGTCGTTGGGTGACCACAAGGCTGTGAGAAAGCGCTGGCTGGCTGGCTGGCTGTGACGCATTATTCAAGGAAAGCAAGCCCCATTGGAACCGCCGTTCGCAGTTCACTTCATCCAGACCATGGGAAGTCAACATTGCCTCTGTAACGACCTCTGTCGCCGGCCTACACTTCGGCGAAGACGAACCTCAACATCATTTCGACCTCACCTTCGAGCTTAGCATTGTGTGACCACCTACTTTCTTACCATTGTGACATTCACCGCTTGCATCTGCCAGGATACAAAAGCTCCGATCGAGTCCTCGTCTTCGTGCGACAAAACAATTCGACAATCTTGCAACCTCATCTACGTACAAAGAAACAACACCGTCACAATGGACTTTGTCTATAAGGTTCGAGACTCGGTCGTCGGGTACCTGTCCCCAACTGCCAAGCGCCGTCGAACAACTGGGCCATTAACTCCAACGAAGGATGAAGAGCCTACGTTCCATGAACCTACTTCAGAACCTCAAGGCAGCAAGGCGCAAGCTGTTGTAATCACAAGAACCAGCAAGAAGATTATCCGCAACCCGCTCAAGCGCGCATACGAAGAGGATGAGGAGACGATCGTTACTATCAAGCCAGAAGATTCAGTTTCTCAGATTGGACCTGTAGAGGAAAATGACAACGACGAGATTGAAGAGGAAGAGGAAGGAACCGAGGAAGGAATCGAGGAAGGAGAAGAAGAAGAAGAAGAGGAGGAGGAGGATGATGAAGCGGGAGATGAGAACAGCGAAGCCGGTGATGCCGACGAAGGTGCTGAGTCTGTGGATGCCAGTAGCATTGAGGAGGAAGTAGAGGTTGACGACGACGAGAACTCTGCTGCTTCTGCCTCCGACGAGGGCGATATCATTGACGAGGAGGAAGAAGAAGAAGTGGAGGAGGACGAGGTCGAAATATCAGCCAAGGAGGCTGCGGCTGCCGAAGCTCGCGTCAAGGAATACCTTGCCAGACAAGCTGAATTGGCCTTACGAAGAGAAGATATCGAAAAAGCTAAGGCTGCAGGACACTGGCACCCGGACGCTATTATCTTATTTGAAAGACTCTCCCTTAGAAGTTTCGAAGAGGTTCTCCCCTCCGATTATCAGATCGATTTTCCAACCCTTCCCGAAGACATTTTCGCACCTTCTGGTATCGATACCTTTGTCAACCATAATTGTCGCCCCGCGCATACCGGTGTCAGAGCCTTGCAAAGCCTCTTAAGAGTTGGTGTCCGTGCTAGAGAAAAGTTGGAGGCTACTGGAGTTGCTGAGCAGGTGATTGCTAAAACAATCAAAGATTACATCAAATGGTCTGAAAGAGATGGGGGTTTCGAGAGACTACGCTTCCTACCCGTCCTCGTGGTCGTTGCTGCTAAGCCTAAGCAGTCGACTGAGACACTTAGTGCAGCAATCGAAGCCCAAATGAAATTCTTGGCAGAGCAACATCGCGAGTATCTGGAACTTCCAGCAGAACATGTCAATGAGCTTGGTGAGGTTGAGAAGTACAGAAGGCAGCCACCGCTCTTGTATGGATTGATTATTGCACGAACAATGGTCATTTTTGTCACGATGGACTCTGCTGATCCCGAATCAAAGGTTCAACATTTGACTCACTTCGACTTCAATGACAAACCGATGGATGTCTGGAATGGGTTTGCTATTGCATATGTGGTCATCATGGCGAGGAATTATATCATGTCGTTCAAGGATGAGTTCGAGGAGGAACCTGAGGAAAGCGATCCAGATCTTTGAGCACTTCCAAGAACTGTATTTTCGAAATACTAATTTGGCCATCAAGAATGATTGTCATGCGTTCTTATTTGACGATCAATTTTGGAGCTTGGCGTTTGGGAGGCTCCATTACCGCATGGCGTTCTCGTTTGTCGATGGATGGAATACCCCTTGGTTGCAGCAATCAGCGCGACCGAGCACATGCTCTTCAGCTTGTATTTTCTGATACCCGTCTACATATGTTCTCAATACAACCTTTTCAATCATACATGTCCGATCTTACAGACTTTATGTGAGCGTCTCCCTTGTACTATTCCAATACTCAAACGCCTCCCAATGCAATACCTGTAGACTATCTTTCGCAGCAACCCATATTTTGACGTACCGATCCTCCTAGAGAATTTGTGCTTTAATCTCTTTTCCCTTGATCAATCCTCCATAGCACTCTTCTCCATGGCTTGAACAGCACTGTCTAATTCTCTTATCCTCTGTCCCACTCTGCTCTTGATCTCCTCTCCATCCGCTCCACGCAGAGCCTCCTCATACATGCTCTTCAACTTATCCAATTCTTCTCTCGCAGCAGCTCGGTCGTCAGCTGCATACACAGATTTCTTCTCCGTTTCCTCAGCGGCGATCTCGAATTCGTCTCTCGCGGTCGCATATTGTTCTTGAATGTCTTCGATTAGGGAATCAGCTGAGGATTTGGTAGAGTATTGTCTTCTAGCTACGTGTTTAGAGAAGGTCCCAGTGCGGAGTGAAGATTGTAATTGTGGCCGAAGAGTTGTTTGTTTTGGGAGGTACGATGAAGCCCGTAATGAAGAGAATGTACTGCGGCGGATACATCGAGCTCCTCGAGTTGCTGATAATCGTAGAGTGTTCATCTCAGCTATCGTGAATGGAGAAGCTTGTGGTGTTGATGCTCCAGGGACTTTTCTTGAGGTCGATGACGAGCAAGGATGAAGTGGTTGGTGGAGCTTCGCTTCAAAACTTCCGGCACAGCCTTGTGCTGCCGTCCCTTGCAAGCTTCTGGAGCTTCAGATGCGTGTCCGAAACCGCGTCAGCTCTTTTTCTCTTGCAAGAATCTTTGGATCCTTCTCACACCTGTAAATCTGTCGATTAGAGAGGGCAATAAGTGGGCAGGATGGCGAAAGAACCCAACAAAGATCGACCAATGCAGGCTGATTATCTGCGACAAGTAAAGGATCTTGCTATGGGCGAGCATCCATTGTCTAGATATGTACCTCCTCTATTGTTGCTGGCAGATGCATTATTGACCAGTGCCGTAATCTTCAAAGTCTCTTGTGGGGTTACACGTCGCATAACACAGTCAAGTAGCTAATGCGTTCGCAGATACCGAGATTGATTGGAAAGCTTACATGGAGCAAGTTGAGCAGTATATTGCTGGCGAAAGAGACTATACCAAAATCAAAGGAGGAACTGGACCACTTGTTTATCCAGCGGCACATGTGATCATTTATTGGCTATTATACCATATTACAGACAAAGGGACGAATATTCTGCTGGCGCAGAGACTCTTTGGAGTCTTGTATTTGGGTACAATTTCGATTGTCATGGCATGCTATAAGAGAGCTCATGTATGTATTCTTGTGAAGGAAGATTTGCATCCAGCTAATGTATATCTAGGCACCCCATTACATTCTTCCTATGCTCATATTGTCCAAACGATTACACAGCATATTCGTCCTTCGACTGTTTAACGACTGCTTCGCAGTTTTCTTCCTATGGGTAGCTATCTACATCTTTCAACGCCGAATATGGACACTTGGAAGTATGGCATATAGCTGGGGATTGGGAATTAAGATGTCGCTGTTACTCGCACTTCCAGCAATTGGTATTGTGCTGTTTCTGGCAAGAGGTGTTCAGGCCAGTATCAAACAAGCCTGGCTTATGCTGCAATTGCAGATAGTTATCGCTTTTCCTTTCTTGCCAACCAATGGCTTGGGATATCTAAGCAGGGCTTTTGAGTTCTCGAGACAATTTCTATTCAAATGGACAGTCAATTGGCGCTTCGTCGGCGAAGAGACATTCTTGAGCAGAGAATTCTCGCTCACACTGCTGGTAGGGCATGTCAGCGCCTTGGCTTTATTCGCGACGACAAGATGGCTGAGGCCATCTGAAAAGCATCTCACAGAATTGATTGGGAACGCGATGAAGTTCCAAGAACCTTGTGGGAGGATGCAGCATGCTATATCCAGTCGAGTCTCTCCCAACTACATATTGACAACCATCCTTACATCCAACGCGATTGGTATGCTCTTCGCCCGCTCTCTTCACTACCAATTTTACGCATACATTGCACTCGCCACCCCATTTCTCCTCTGGCGGAGCGGTATGCACCCGGTCCTGCAGTATGCCATCTGGGGTGTGCAGGAGTGGGCCTGGAATGTGTATCCAAGCACAGATTTGAGTTCTATGGTTGTTGTTGGCGTCCTTTTTGTGACGGTTGCGAGTGTGTGGTGGGGTACTCGGAAAGACTTTGTGAATCCGAAGGGCGAGGAGCAGCAAGTAAGAAGCTGACTTGAGATATCATTTGTTCTGGACATGTTTGTTATTCGTCTTCCGAATCAGAGGGAGGCATCTTCCCGATGGTTGACTCCTCATCGTCCGAGTCTTCAGGATACACGGAGGTCTTCAAGAACTCTTTCGGCCTAAAGTCACACAGGATCAGTGAAGAATCTTGGTAGGACGACAGTCTTGTTCACCAATAAAGCTCTTTTCTCCACAGGTGTTCGTCACGAACGACATTCAAGATCTCGCCATCGATTTTGTTTTGCCTAACCTCGGCCTCCTTGGTGTCAACCAGTACGTAGCCTCCACGCTTGATCCAGATCGTATTTCGAAATCGAGACGGAAGCTCGACGAGAATGATCTTCTGATTTGGTAATGAGCAGGAATATAAGCTATTGCCTTCAGCTTTGATAACACGGGCAAGCGATTGCGTAGCCGTTAATGCGGATGGCGGGGTAGAAGTTTCTTCTGCAGCCGCAAAGATATTCCTCTTTGGCCGACCCATGTCGCTTTAATTAGCTCCAATGGCACAGTCAGCGTGATCTAAGGGTCAAAGTCTAGGGCGTGGCGGAACCAGAAGCAAGTCTGTGTTTGTGTCTGGATGGGAAGATATGCGGATGTTACTTTCGAGGGGAATTTTTGATCGAATGCGGGTCAGATGCGGGACCCAGGAAAAAGGTTCCTCCGCTCCATGGCAGGTTGGCCGAGCCAATGACTCGAGGTATCCGTGTCTTTGCTATCAGTTCGTCGTATTGGATTTTTCAGCAAAACCATGCCACTCGCGCGAAGACACGCACGCACGCAAGAGGGGTTCTTTTTCTATCAACCAATTCAATGGCTAGAACACGCACACCCGCACAGCTCGAGGCCGATACCTTTCTGCAGGGTCTTTATCGGGCCCTAAAACTTCTCAGCATTGGTGGGTCTTTGATGTGACCGCAGTTGGACCGCCTGGTGGTAGCTCCTCAACTATGTTTTGAAAAGTGCTCTTTTCACGTCTCACTCCCACTCTTCGTGCATCTTCTTGTTTGAGTTGAACTTTCATCCCTGTTTATTTCACCACTATATGTCTAGGAAAGGATATAATTCAATTTCTTTACATTCTTATTGCAGCCCACGATGGCAAGCCACGCATTTGGTGCTTTCATCGACGTCGAGACGTCCTCACTTAGTGATCAACGCCACACGATCCCGATTGCTCCTCAGAAAGCTCTTCCCCGTGTTTACCATTCTGTTCATTCTATCCCAGACCCGGTCGAGCTCGACAACTTACAATGGGGTACGAAACTGAATACTCCTACTGGTTCTGGCGCTGTTAGTCCTTCTGGACATCAAACCCCTCGGGTGCCTATGGATCTCGAGAGTAGACCTACAACTCCTAAGAATGAGCAAGATGGCGCCGATGCCTTGCAGAGCTTTTCATATCCTCCAATGAATCGGTTCAGAATGCTTTCCGTGTGCTTAATGAACTTTGGAAATGGACTCAATGACTCTGCACCCGGCGCTTTAATTCCTTACATTGAGAAGTACGATTTCAACTCATCCCATGACCAGAATATGCTAATAAATCAGGCACTACTCGATCGGATATGCCGTTGTCTCTCTAATTTTCGTTACGAACGCGATAGGCTTTATTTCTGCGGCATTCATCGTTGACGCTCTCCGTGCGCAACTTGGGAGAGCCAAAACCCTAATGATGGCTCAGTCTTTGATGACCTGCGGATTTGTGCTGATAGTTTGCACGCCGCCTTTTCCAGTTGTTGTCGTTTCGTTCTTTTTTCTTGGTTTAGGCATGGCTATCAACTTAGCCATGGGAAACACGTTTGCTGTTAACCTTCATAACGGGACAAAGATGCTTGGTGCAATGCATGGCTCCTATGGTGTGGGCGGAACTATTGGTCCATGTGAGTAGCTGTTGTGTCCTGAAGTTCTGCAAGAATCTTTTTTCTAATATTGCTGATATCTGATCTGGACTATCTGAGAGAGGATTAGAGGACTTTGCCCGATGGAACCACGGCCATGGGATAGAATTCTGCTGACATCCACGCTAGTGATAGCCACTGCCATGGCGTCCACTGGAGGACTTTTATGGAGCCGATACTACCTACTAGCCTTATCCGTAACGCTTTTCAACCTCGTATTTGCTGGATGGTCTTTCTGGCATTTTGAGAAAGAGTCTGGCGGATCCCTACTCACTTCTATAGAGAGAGTAGCATCGCAGACACAAAACATTCAAGCACCGAAGAGCCGAGTAAAGGAACAGATGGCGAGTATGCTTACTGCGTTCAAGTCCAAGATCGTCATTCTTGGAGCTTTATTCATCTTTGCATACCAAGGAGCTGAAGTTTCTATTTCTGGCTGGGTCATCTCTTTCCTCATCGCATCTCGGCATGGCAATCCATCTGCTGTGGGATATGTCACTTCCGGATTTTGGGGCGGCATTACTCTTGGACGATTTTTACTCTCTCATCCAGCCCACAAGATTGGAGAGAAGCTCTTTGTTTATTGTATTATCGCTGGAGCTGCAGCTTTCCAGTTACTCGTTTGGCTTGTTCCAAACATCATTGGAGACGCAGTAGCTGTCGCTATAGTCGGACTGCTGCTAGGCCCTGTCTATCCTTGTGCCACAACTGTGTTTTCGAGGATGATTGCTAGGAAGGATCAAGTCAGTGGTTTGAGTGTCATTAGTGCGTTTGGGTCTTCTGGTGGTGCTGTCGCTCCATTCACGACCGGTATCTTGGCTCAAGCTGCTGGCACTTTCGTACTACATCCAATCGCCATTGGACTTTTCACCGTCATGATGGTATGTTGGTTCATCTTACCAACCCCGAGAAAGAGGACTGAATAATATCCACTGGGGATGTTTGTTACGAAAAAGACTCGAAGAAAAGACTCAAAGCATAGCATTGGGACGGGTCAGATTGACACCTCTGTTGGAGAACTTGGGCTTGGAGCCTATGGTTAGAGGAAGTGCTGTGGCGTTTGATCGCGAAAATACAGACGGTGGGACATGGCTGAACGGCGTTGTGGTATTTATAATGGTGTTGGAGATCCACCGACACAAGGACTTGATTCTGCATGTTGCACACGTATCTTTTATATTATAGTATTATGAATATACTGTAGCCTTTCGGAGTCAGCATTGTGGCATAGCCAATGCTACAAATCCGCTTTCTAAAAAAAAATTTAACTAACCTCGATATAATCTCATTGACACAGAACAGGGGCTCCAAGGCCTTCAGTCTCTTATTATTCTGCATGTGATATTGAGTGGCAAGTGCTCGAGCATAATGGCATGAGCCGCAAAAATGTACAAACTCCGAGAGCGGATCTTACGAGACAGACCATTTGATACGAGTAACGAAATACCTACCTACCCTACTTAGGTAGCCTTCCCCAGACCCGGACGAGCAGGGGTTGCTTACCGAGGCTTGTTCGGTCCTCCTCCAAAGCCTTAACAAGCCGCCCTCTTGTCACGAGTCGCGAAACGACTTCTGGTGCATCCCTTGGACCTCCATCCTCTACCTTTGATATCTTTGTAATATCTTCCTCTTTTTCTCTTTCTTAAGACTTATTAGAAGACACCAATATGGCGTCAATTGCCAAAGCGCTGCGTCCCGCTGTACGAGGGGCAGCATCAACAGCCCGACCAGTCCTCAGACCCGTCAGACCAACGAGAATATACCAACAGTAATTGCAATTCTCTACCAAATTTCGTCTGTACTCACAAAATCCACAGTGTTAGACCTCTGTCTGCGACAGCACGACGACGAAATGCCCCAATCGACATCACCGACATTCCCCCCACGCCCATCTCTCACATGTCAGAAACAGAAGCTATGATGGCGGATTCAGTCTCAAAGTTCGCAAACGACATTATTGCCCCTAAAGTCCGTGAGATGGACGAGAACGAATCTATGGATCCTACGGTCGTGGAACAACTGTTTGAACAGGGACTGATGGGCGTCGAGATTCCGGAAGAATACGGTGGCGCCGGAATGAACTTCACAGCTGCTATTGTTGGAATTGAAGAACTGGCCAGAGTCGATCCCAGTGTCAGCGTTATGGTGGATGTGCACAATACCTTGGTCAACACCGCGGTCATAAAATGGGGAAGCACAGAGCTCAAGAAAAAGTGGTTGCCCAAGCTGGCTACGAATACTGTTGGATCCTTCTGTCTTTCAGAGCCAATATCAGGATCTGATGCCTTTGCTCTTGCCACCAAGGCGGTGAAGACGGATTCCGGATACAAGATAAGTGGCAGCAAGATGTGGATCACGAACTCTATGGAGGCTGAATTCTTCATTGTCTTCGCAAATCTTGATCCTAGCAAGGGCTACAAAGGCATTACAGCATTCATCGTTGAGAAGGGGATGAAGGGCTTCTCGATCGCCAAGAAGGAGAAGAAGCTTGGCATTAAAGCAAGCAGTACATGCGTGCTCAACTTTGACGATGTTGAGATTCCAAAGGAGAACCTGCTAGGTGTAGAAGGGCAGGGTTACAAATATGCTATCGGTTTATTGAATGAAGGCCGAATTGGGATTGCTGCTCAGATGACTGGACTTGCTCTTGGAGCTTTCGAGAACGCTGCCAAGTGAGTGTTGCCTGATGCAATCTGTTATAGTTGCTAACAGACATTAGGTATGTGTGGAACGACCGAAAGCAATTTGGACAATTAGTTGGCGATTTCCAAAGTATGCAGCACCAGATCGCACAATCATACACGGAGATTGCTGCGGCAAGAGCCTTAGTCTTCAATGCTGCGAGGAAGAAGGAAGCTGGCGAGGACTTTGTCCAGGACGCCGCAATGGCTAAGCTATATGCCTCACAAGTCGCTCAGAGAGTGAGCGGCTTGGCTATCGAGTGGATGGGAGGTATGGGATTTGTTCGGGAAGGGATTGCAGAGAAGATGTGGAGAGATAGTAAAATTGGAGCTATCTATGAAGGAACGAGCAATATCCAGTTGCAGACAATTGCAAGGTTGCTGAAAAGCAAGTATTCGACCTCCTAGAAGAGACTAGAAGAGAAGTTCGATAATAAAAATTGCAAACAAAAGCGGATAGCATTTTGCTATTCCTCGAGATTCCTGAACATAACTTACTTTTCTTGGATCGCGCGAGTAGAATGCAAGGTACCTAATAAGTACTGTAAGTAATCAGCCATTTCGACAATCACATGGGTCGAGAGTCGCAAAAGTCACATATCTAGTGCACCAGCCCACATATGCAGAATGCTAGTTATTGATCGTCCTCTAGGACTCTGATGGTGACACAGAGCATTGTGAAGGACTTTCCACCACGACCAAGGCTCTGCATGAGATGATCGCAGAGCAGCGAATCTGCCTTGCTGTTCGTGTTTACGAACCAGCTTTTATATGTACAGAAGTCGCAGATCAGCATAATACGAGATGGTATGATGGCGCGTGAAAGATAAGGAACATTGCTTCGATCATATACCTAGGTAGTAAATTATTACGATGTGCTGCTCCAGAAACACACCCCTGTAGATGACGATGGCTGCTTTGTTGTGGGAGAGAGGTGAGGTGAGAGGTGAGAGGTGAGCACAGACTGGCGTTGCAGTCGGAAAGGAGGGCGTGCATTGAGGGGCTGTTGGGCTGCTGGGCTGTCGAGACAAGATCCATATCACACTCGAATACCGTACCGTACCGGACTGCAGCCGCATATGTGGAATCACGCACATCACAACAAGTTTCTGAGCCCAACCTAAGGATTATTGCTTCGCGACCTGAAGCCCAGCTTGAAGTTTCGTTCTGTTCTTTTCACGCCACTTCGCGTCGGAATCCAAATCTTCCTTTCCTCCATCCTCCTCCATCCTACGGACATTTGACATTTGTCACCTCGCCCTCCCATGTTCACGTTCTTCTCACATACGCGGAAGAGTCACACTCGCAGAGCATCTGCCGTATTCCACACAGAGCCAGCCGCCTCGTCTCACTCCCCAAGCAAGCACCGGTGCTAGTTCGTGGCGGAGTAGGTACATGCCGATATTCTCAGCACCATCTCACGTGTACGGTGTGCAACCGCAGATAATAATTCTTCGAAGGACTCGACGGCGACGAGGACGAGTGTGATTTTCGACGCAGAGACCGGCCAGCCAGTGCCGAGTTGTGTCGCATAATCGTTGTCGCGAGAAGGACTTCGCCAAGTCGTCCTCTGGGTCACATCCGCATCGAAAACAACCCCACTTCGCCTTTGCAAACTACCAAACTACGATCCCCATAACAATCACCCATCATCACCTCGTGGCGTGAGCGACGCGCCGGTGACCGCCATCATGAACAACGACGAAGATGCCCTCACCTCGGTCTACAAGAAGATCGAGCGCGAGAGGGCTTTGCTCAATGCCGCAAATTCGATGCGGCAGCAGACACAGAATGAGCAGGTGCGGTCGAGGATAGACCTCCAGATCCGCGAGGGTCGTCGAAACATTCAGTATCTCGAAGAGCGTCTGCAGGAGCTGCAGATGCGGAGGATGGGTCAAGGCATGAACGACATGAATCTAGGATCGAGCGGGGCTCCAGGCAGGCCGCAGAGTGCTGGCATTCCACCTACCCCGCCACCAAAAGATTCCAGAGGAGGTTATATGGATGCCGGCTCTGACCGTGGGGGATATGGAACTCAAGAATACAGTGAAATCGGTGGCCATGGTACTATGATGCCCCCCAGACACCCCTATGCACCACCGGGCCCTGAACAAGGCATGCCAAAATCACGACCAAATTATACGAAGCTTGGTGAGTGATGCTTGCTCTTGGTCTTGAATATCGACTGACTCTAGCATGTAGACCTCATCAAATATGATACCCCTCATCTTGGACCCCGCATTCAGCTCATGCTCTCGCAGTTGGAGTTTAAGCTGAATGTGGAGAAGCAGTACCTGAAGGGTATCGAAAAGATGGTTCAGCTATATCAAATGGAGGGTGACCGAAAGAGCCGTGCAGATGCCGCTGGACGCAGAGTCGAAAGCACGCAGAAGATCCAGCTTTTGAAACAGGCACTGAAGAGATACGAAGATCTACACATTGATATGGAAAGTAATGCAGATGCACCAGATGGTGAGTACTTTGGACAGACTGTCTTCTGTTTATAATCTCTAATTTGACTTTGCAGATGATAGTATCAATACGCCCAACATGCGGAAACCCCTCACTGGTGTTCTGTCCGTTCGAGTACATGCTGTTCGAGACGTGGACCACGCAGCGACAAGTCGATTTTCACGCGCACCGGACACCTTTGTGGCTATCAAAGTCGAAGACAATGTGGTAGCAAAAACTCGAGCTACACGGACGGACAAATGGGAGAGCGAATATCACAATCTAACAGTAGAGAAGGCAAACGAGGTTGAACTTACTGTCTATGACAAACTTTCAGACCACGCAGCTCCCATTGGCCTATTGTGGATCCGTATTTCTGATATTGTGGAAGAGATGAGACGAAAAAAGATCGAGGCCGAAATCAACAGCTCGGGATGGGTTTCTGCAGATCGTATGGCAAATGGCAACATGCCTGCTGCACCTCCACCACAATTCAACATGAACCCGACCCAATCTCAATTTGGAGGACCTCCTGGAAGTGCTGGCACGGGAGCACAACCCGGAGGAGCTATGCCTGGGGCAGGTATGAACAACCCACCACAACCAATTGATGCTTGGTTCGCCCTCGAGCCTTCTGGCGCGATACACTTGACTATCAGCTTTTCGAAACAACAAGGTGGAGGAGGAAAGCATTACGACCCTACGGGCCTTGGGCGAAAAGGTGCTGTCCGGCAACGGAAGGAAGAAGTTCACGAGATGTATGGTCACAAATTCGTCCAACAGCAATTCTACAACATCATGCGATGTGCGTTGTGCGGCGACTTTCTCAAGTACTCGGCCGGTATGCAGTGCGAAGACTGCAAATATACTTGCCACACAAAGTGTTATCCAAGTGTGGTAACCAAGTGTATCAGCAAGTCAAACGCAGAGACAGATCCGGACGAGGAAAAGATCAATCATCGTATTCCACATCGGTTCGAGAAGTTCTCGAATATGAGCGCGAACTGGTGTTGCCACTGCGGTTATATCCTACCTTTTGGAAAGAAGAATTGCAGAAAGTGCTCAGGTAAGTACAGCTTGTGTATCGAATCTTTTCAGTGGTACTAATTCCATGCAGAATGTGGTCTCACCTGTCATTCTTCGTGTGTGCACCTTGTGCCAGATTTCTGTGGCATGTCTATGGCCGTAGCAAATCAGATTCTAGACGGCATTCGAACCCAGAAGCGTCGCCAAACTTCACAAACGACCATGACTGGACGTACCTTGCGACCACAGTCCAAGGCTTCAACACCATCCGAGTCCACTACTCCTACATCAGCTTATGGTCCAGATCCAAGTAGACCTCCTAGGACTCAGTCTTATGGAGGTCCCTCGTCTATGGAGGCAACCGAGGCTGCCAAGACAATGTATTCTCAAGGTCAAATGTCACCCCAGAGCCAAAGACCTCAGGGCCCGGACCGAACAGCGTCGTCTTCGGCTGCAGCGGCTGCAATGGCTGCAATGAGTGGACCAAGAAGCCCGACGCAAAGAGATCCGAGAGACCCATATCAGAGAGCATCCGCAGACTATCCCAGTGGTCGTGTGCCTGCTAATTCTGGTTATGGAGCTCCACAGCATGATAACCACTCTCCAGATGTGCCTTACGGTTCACCACCCAAGCCACAGATGCCAACGCAACCAGCCTACAACCCGGCAGCATATGCACAAGTCAACAGCGGCTACCAACAGCAGCCTATGTCAACACCTCAAGTGCAGCCGGCCCAAATATCTCCGACAGCAGCCACTTATAGTTCCTCCGTTCCATCTGCCCCAACTATTGCGCCAGAGCCGGCAGCACCATCTGCAGCTGTGATTGCTCGCAAGGCTGCACCACCTGCAGACACGCCGGGCACAGGTAAGCGGATTGGTTTGGATCACTTTAACTTCTTGGCTGTTCTAGGGAAAGGCAACTTCGGCAAGGTCATGCTTGCAGAAACAAAGGCATCAAAGCAACTGTATGCCATCAAGGTGCTAAAGAAAGAGTTCATCATAGAGAACGATGAAGTCGAGAGCACTCGGTCAGAGAAGAGAGTTTTCCTTATTGCGAACAAGGAGCGGCACCCGTTCCTTTTGAGTCTTCATGCATGTTTCCAGACGGAGACAAGAGTCTATTTCGTTATGGAATACATCAGTGGAGGAGATCTTATGTTACACATTCAGCGTGGTCAATTTGGCACGAAGCGTGCTCAGTAAGCTATTCCCCCGTAATTTCGTCTATATCGTACTAATCCTTCTAGATTCTATGCGGCGGAAGTCTGCTTAGCTTTGAAGTATTTCCATGAAAATGGCGTTATCTATCGTGATCTGAAGCTTGACAACATTTTGTTGACGCTAGATGGTCACATTAAGATCGGTGATTATGGTCTTTGCAAAGAAGACATGTGGTATGGGTCTACCACAAGTACGTTCTGTGGTACTCCTGAATTCATGGCTCCCGAGGTAAGTCTGCATAAGGAAATTGTAATAATTCTATCCTAACAATTGTAGATCTTGCTGGACAAGAAGTATGGCAGAGCTGTTGATTGGTGGGCATTTGGTGTCCTAATCTACCAAATGCTTCTACAACAATCACCGTTCAGAGGTGAAGACGAGGACGAGATTTACGACGCTATTCTTGCCGATGAGCCACTATACCCAATACACATGCCTCGCGACTCGGTTTCGATATTGCAAAAGCTGTTGACAAGAGAACCTGACCAACGTTTAGGAAGTGGCCCAACTGATGCGCAGGAAATCATGAGCCAGCCTTTCTTTAGAAATATCAACTGGGATATGGTCTATAGGAAAGAATACCCCCCACCATTCCAGCCGCAAATATCTAGCGCAACCGATACCAGTAATTTCGACTCCGAATTCACAAGCGTTACACCCGTGCTGACTCCTGTACAATCTGGTAAGCAAATATTCGCGGTCACATAACAGCTCGTTACTGATTCATTTCTATAGTCTTATCGCAAGCCATGCAAGAAGAGTTCCGCGGCTTCTCCTACTCAGCTGATTTCATTTGAGCGGTTCTGTCCCATCATCTGCCCAGATACGTCTGGTCAAAAGCATTCGCTGCATGGTACAGGAGTCTTGATTGCTACTTTTCACGCGAATGTAGAGTAAAGAAGTGGGGATTACCATGGCAATGAAGATAACGAAGACGCGGATGACTGCTCATTACACACCGGGGAGGCTCAAAAGTCATGATTCTCATTCACTTCTAGACGGATTGGCATCTCAGGGAGGGGCGGATGTCTCTACGCTTTACATTAGCCAGGGGCCTTCTTAATAGATCATGATGACTTTTGACAATTTCCTAATGTGAATCTTTTTATGATTGTCCGTTCTGGTGTATCTTTGCTCGCTCATCTCAGCCTTTCCCTGCAATGTTCATCCTGCCAAGGAAATGTGCCACATACATTCATCAAGGTAATCATCAATCCAGGCAATCCGCACTCGGTCTGCAAGACTTTTCCCCCAACTCCATCCATCCAGCCGATAAATCTTCCGCCACTCAATAACTCCTACCAAACATACACCATGACTCAGCGAGAGCCTCACACTCGGGATTCAAGCACTTGGTCTCGCCCTTCACAATGCCTGCTGGCTGGTCGAAGGGGATACACAAGCTCTTCATACCCATGCTGGGGGCTTTCATTTGCTCCGGTCCCTCGGTCTCCTCCTGGTTGCCAGTAGTCAAGTCCTTGATCTTGTCTTCGCACTTTTCTTTCAGGCAGTGGGGAATCAGAACCACGTTCTTCACATCCAAAGCTGGAATAACCTTTTCCCACTCCGTGATCTCAATACGATGTGACCGGAACGAAGCTTCAGCTTTATTGTACAGATCACTCTGAATGGTCTCGAGAAGCTTGGGGACCTCTGTAGAGAGCTCGGAGATGGCGATTGTGCCCTTTTCGCCAGTATCTCGACGAGCGAAGGATACAACTGACTTAGCGGCATCCTTGGGTCCATATTCGAGACGGAGAGGAACACCCTTCAGCTCCCAGTCGTTGAACTTCCATGCTGGGGTGTATCCATCGCGGATATCATAGTCGGTTCTAACACCAGCGCTCTTCAGAGTTCTCTTAATCTCTTCCAATTGGTCGTAATGTCTGGCCTTGTCTTCTGGAGCGGTGGACTTAGTGATACCAACGGGGATCATGATCACTTGTATCTTTGAGATTCTGGGAGGGAGGACCAGACCCTTATCGTCGCCATGGATCATGACCATAACGCCAATAACACGAGTTGAGAGACCCCAGGAGTTTTGCCAAACGTGGATGTGCTTAGCCTTCTCGTCGCCCTTTGGATGAGGATCCTCGACCGTGATGTCAAACATCTTGCTGAAATTTTGGCCCAAACAATGAGATGTTGCACCTTGGATACCACGTCCATTGGATGGAATATAGCCCTCGACCGTAGTTGTATAGTATCCTCCTGCGAACTTCTCCTTTTCTGTCTTGCGACCGCGAACAACTGGGACAGCAAGCAATTGCTCGTAGACACCAGCATATAGCTCGAGAATCTGCAGAACCTCTTCGCCAGCCAGCTCCTCAGTCAGATGCGCAGTATGCCCTTCCTGCCATAAAAATTCCCGAGCTCGGAGAAATGGAGTTGTCTGTTTGGCCTCCCAACGAACGACACTGTTCCATTGATTGAGTCGGAGGGGAAGATCTCGGTGACTTCGAATCCATTTCGAGTAGTATGGGTACATAACGGCTTCTGAGGTAGGACGGACTGCGACTGGGACCTCGAGGTCTTTATCACCACTATAACGCGTCAATATCGTATCATGCGAAATGGAGGGGTAAAAACGAACGCCTTGGTGACCCAAGCAAGCTCAGGAGCGAAACCTTCGACATGATCCTTCTCCTTTTCAAGAGATTTTGAGGATAAGAACATAGGGAAGCTAGCCTCCTCTACGTCCATAGCCTCAATGCGCTCCTGAAACCATTTGCGAATTGTATTCCAGATGAACATGGATGCTGGGCGTAGGATGAAGAAACCAGAGATCTCGGTGTAATACTCAATCATCTCAGCCTTCAGAACAACCTCCTGGTACCATGCTGGGAAGTTTTCAGTCTTCGAAACTGTCATTCCGATTATGTCGTCCGCCTTCTTTCCTCCTACAACTGCGAGCGTTGCTTGCTTTGCGGCTTTGGCAGCTTTGTCTGCAGCCATCTTTGCTTGCTTTTCCGCCTTTTTGAGGGCGCTCTTGGATGGTTCTGCTGGGGCGTCCGCCATGATTGCTTGTAGGTTGTGAAGGGTTGAAGTGAACAATTTATGGGAGAGGGATTCGACACCTCGAAGACGGTGTTGACTCAATTTGTGACTCCCGCGAAAATGGAGGGGTATATTTTGGCCCGTGGGCTTTAAGCGAGCTTCAGCCTCGTCGTGGGGCTATCAAATGGGGCTTGAGCTTAGATACCCACTCACCATCTGGAAATGACTATCACGCCGAGATATATTCGAGTTCGATAAGTCTGCTCAACTCCGGCATTCCTGCTTGCTGTCGATTCACAGAGCTCTTGTTAATGATGTAGGTAGAGTAAGAATGAGTTCAACTTCTTTTGTTCATTGCAGGCAATTGTTGACGTGATCCTATACTCGCCACGAAGCCGCCAACTGATACACTGTAGCACTGTAGTTGACAGATAACGCGCAATCTGAATCTGCATCCAAAGTCACGGCTTCTATTAAAACATAAGATTGCTATTTCCAAGCTGGTGTATTAATTTGACAACACAATCAACCCTCTCCTCTCTTCTAGCAAAACTGGGGGATCGCTGGTAGTACTGACTGTACAATTCTAGTTGATGCTAAAAGCAGATATGCACGAAGTAAGAGACGCATAACAAATAAATACCGACGAACAGTAACAACCAAGTGAACCGACAGGAGAATCTTAGAGACATAAAGAAGAAACTTTTGATAAGACCATTTCGTTGCAGAAGACAGACCCCAAGTTTGATCAACTTGTCATTAAGAGCAAGAGATTAAATCCCAGTACACGTACCTTTGGATAACCTACTCTCGGAAGCATTGTCTCTGGCTACCCCAGAGTCTCAAGACTTGATGTATTCAAGAAGCAGATAGTCTTGTAGCCTCGACGATCATACGTTGTGATGTATAGGAAAGAATCATCAGATAGAACGAAGGAAATAGTCATCTCCAAAGCGCTCCAGATAATGTCCAAACAACCAGGGAAGATGCAACTGCTGCAAGAAGGAAGCGACGATTAGGAAGTAGCGCCAAATTTGGCTACTCGTACGTACGCCTCGCTAGCGTGGAAGCGCGTCGACCAAATTTATTTTACAGGCGCGATCCAAACCCAAGCTCAATAACCAGCAATTCATACAACCACAACAAAATGGGATCACTCTTTGAACAACCTAGAAATGCCGGGACTTTGTGTAAGAAGCTATCAGGTTCCTTTTGATCTTCTGCGACTAACATGTTGCAGTCCTTGGTGGCCAGAAAATCAGCGGTTCAGATATTCGTGACCAAAATGGTAAGACTCGAAAAGAGCTTTGAAAGGAGGTGAACTAAACTTATAAATAGTACTGGCCACTCAGGCTATCGCAAATGTGGTGAAGAGCTCTTTTGGTCCCAGCGGTCTGGACAAAATGATGGTGGACGATATTGGAGTAGGCTTCAACACTTGAACGAAAATGGTGGCCAAGCTAACAAATGGCAGGATGTGACTGTTACCAACGATGGCGCGACTATTCTGAGCTTACTAGATGTCGAGCACCCTGCAGGAAAGATCTTAGTCGATTTAGCACAACAACAAGACAAGGAGGTGGGCGATGGAACGACGTCTGTGGTTATCATTGCAGCAGAGCTTCTGAGGAGAGCAAACGAGCTTATGAAGAACCGAATACATCCTACCACGATTATCACCGGCTACAGATTAGCTCTTCGGGAAGCTGTCAAGTACATGCACGAGAATATCAGCGTCAAGGTGGATCAACTAGGTCGGGAGTCTCTAATCAACATCGCGAAAACTTCGATGTCCAGCAAGATTATTGGATCCGACTCCGAGTTCTTTTCCAATATGGTTGTGGACGCTATGCAAGCTGTCAAGTCAACAAACAACAGACAGGAGGTTAAATACCCAGTCAAGGCGGTCAACATTCTCAAGGCACACGGGAAGGGAGCTCTGGAGTCGATTCTGGTGAAGGGTTATGCGTTAAATTGCACAGTTGCGTCACAGGCGATGAAGACAAGAATTACGGATGCCAAGATTGCTGTTCTTGACATGAATTTGCAGAAGGAGAGAATGAAATTGGGAGTTCACATCACCATTGATGATCCACAACAACTGGAACAAATCAGACAGCGAGAGGCTGGTATTGTGATGGACAGAGTGGAGATGATCCTCAAGTCAGGAGCTAACGTTGTTCTCACGACGAAGGGCATCGACGACCTCTGCCTGAAGCTTTTCATTGAGAAGGGAGCTATGGCTGTACGAAGATGCAAGAAGGAAGATCTACGAAGAATCGCGAAAGCAACCGGTGCCACTCTCATCAGCTCGTTATCGGATCTCAACGGTGATGAAAAGTTCGACGCTTCATCCCTTGGTCATGCCGAGGAAGTTGTGCAGGAGAGAATCTCGGATGATGAGTGCATCCTAATCAAGGGCACTAAAGTCCACACTTCAGCTTCCATCATTCTCCGAGGACCGAACGACTACCAACTTGATGAGATGGAGAGGTCTGTACACGATTCGCTTTGTGCTGTCAAGCGAACCCTTGAAAGTGGTAGCATCGTCCCTGGTGGTGGCGCCGTCGAGACAGCTCTTCACATTTATCTTGAAGAGTTTGCTGGTACAGTTGGTTCCCGAGAGCAACTGGCCATTGGCGAGTTTGCTCAATCTCTTCTTGTCATCCCAAAGACTCTCGCTGTCAATGCTGCCAAGGACTCTTCTGAGCTGGTAGCACAGCTTAGATCAAGACATGCCTTATCACAACGCATTCAAGATGGCGATGCCAATGAGGACGAGAAAACCATTGCAAAGAAGAAGAATTATAAGAATTATGGTTTGGACCTGACGAAAGGAAAGGTGGTAGACGAAATCAAGGCCGGTGTCTTGGAGCCGAGCATGAGCAAGATTCGGCAGTTGAAGAGTGCTGTAGAAGCTTGCATCTCTATCATGAGGATAGATACGTTGATTCGACTAGACCCCGAACAACGTGGAGGGGAGGATGATGGTCATGGTCATTGATGAGGCACTTCGAGCTAATGCTTGTAAAATAGTCGACTAGAGATGTATGCATGGTATGCTAGAGAAATGATAACCTCAAGCATGAGTAGTCGAAGTCAAAATAATCTAGTCTTCATTCTTCACTTCCCTTCTTGGCTGAAACAACTTCCTAGTTTCTGGAGTTGACTGATTAGTGAACTAAAAGACATACAACCCGTCTCCTAGAAGTTTAACTGTAGCACATGCATCTGCGACAAAGGGCGTGTTTGGCAATGCATTTCGATGATCTTTTGTACACAATGGCAGCGGCCACATCTTCTACAAAGCCGCGATCTCTACCACATCTATGTTGCTCCCTCCAACAAAAGAAACCCCTTCCCCAATATACACCATCACTTTAACCAATGATTAGAGCGTTGTCCTCCGGGAAGTCGTATGCAGGGATCTCGAGGTTCAATGGAGCTGGTCCCTTTCGTATACGTCCAGAGATATCGTAATGAGAACCGTGGCAAGGGCAGAACCACCCTCCGAAGTCACCAGCTTCACCAATGGGCACACATCCAAGATGAGTACAAACACCTGTACATCTGATCAGTCACCAACCATAACAATGAACAAGACCACAAACCAAGCATGATCAACCATTCTGGCTTCTTGACTCGGTCCTCATCCTTTTGAGGATCCCGCAATGTCTCAATCTTAACGCTCTCGGCTTCCTTGATCTCATCGGCAGTTCGGTGGCGGATGAAAACTGGCTTGCCTCGCCATTTGATGATAACCTGAGATCATCAGTACCTTAGTCCTCTATTATGGAGTCCTATAACATACGTTCTTGCCCTCAGGAATAGCTGAAAGGTCGACCTCGACCTTAGCCATGGCCAAAACGTCTGCAGATGCAGACATGTTGACCAGGAAATCTGCGGAAGAACAGAAAATTAGTCCATATTCCCAATTGAGCTTGTTCGTTCATCCAATGCACATTCCATGCAAATCCGTGTCCCCAAATAGCATACGGACAGCTCTAGTCACATACCTTGCACGGTAGCCTTTGCTCCAGCAGCCGTCAACGCTCCCATTGTGCCGACCATGAAGTATTGGAAGAGCAGGTTTCTGTTGGTACCCGAGCTGCTCCTGTAATGACTGAAGTCCGGGATCTTTGCAGTCTTGTCGTTTCCCATGCCCTTGAAGGGCGAATCGAACGAGCTTGTATCACGCTTTGCAGCAGATGTAGAGAGGGCGCGGACCGGCATCGAAGGAATTGAGCTACGCGGGACTGTCCGCAACAGCGTGCGCGAGGTCTGTGAGAGGGAGGCCATCGTGGGAGAGGAGTGTTGTGGTCAATTGAGGTTGATGGACGAGGATGAACTGAGGAATTTGAGTTCGGGAAAAGAAGGCGAACTTGATTACAAGCGATGTGATTGGCTGAATGTCGGAGCTCAGTGAAAAGAAGCCGGAGGTAACTTGAGCCTCCCACCCGTTTGTACAATGAGAGAGTCGATACCAACTATTTTTCTACTTAAGCATCCACCATTTCTTGATACTTAGGTGTTGCTCGCTGTCGACTGGTATCTTTTACACTTATTGCTCACGTTCGGGATGATCTTCATCGTTCATCTTGAGAGAGATCACACCATACCATAACTTAAGCTGGAAGAACGTTTAGGTTCTCCATTACCATCAGATCTTGTAGCCAAGCCGGTCCATTGATATAAAGCATCAGTAATCATATCGTCGCAAATGTTCTAGACCAGTCAGTGTCATTGTCCTTGAAGGATGCTTTCCAAGAGGTTTGCCATTTGCAAATAATCTTGCATCTTGCTTGGCACAAACTGTTATAGTAGCAAGACGTATGATTATTTTTCATTGTGTAAATTTGAAAATTTTGCTCTGCATCGGTTATCTAGTTCTAATCTAATTTGATGGCAATATTCCAATTATCCAAGTCAGACACAAACCACTTGTCCCTGTCCGACATTCGTCTCACTACTTTTGGAGAGAAAGAAATCGATGCTCAGAACCAACATTCAAGAAGTCTGAAATGTCCGAGTTCTATTCTAATAAGGATGCATATCCAACACTCTTGAGGAGATTTTCCACGTATAAATACTTAAGATTATGGTGAAGATAGCATGCGATAGGAAATTTTGCTCCAATACATGTCTTAGCTAGTTTGAGTGCTTCACAAAGTTTCTATCATGAAGTTGGAGCTGAAAATTTCCCGAGATGAAAGTGCTTCATCCCTGAGTTCGATCAGAACATCTAAAGCATGGCATATGACTTTCTAATACTCTATCAAGCGGTCTATTGTCTATAAATGATCAGAACAATTGTGGATTCTATGCTTTTCCATTTGCCATTCCATCGGCCTTGGCTTCCTTGACGCCAGCAGCCGAAACTTCTTTTACTGTTGTTTTACCATCCACAATGTCCTTAACTGTCGCCAGAATAGAAGACCAGTCTTCAAATATTGTGAATGGCATACCACCTCTGATACAGTATGTAATCAGATCTATCGTGCTATCAGCAAAGTGAGCCTCAATGGTTCATGGGGCGTGCTTACCGCGACCCTTCTTAGCAAAAAGAAGATCCGTCTCTTTAGCTGCTGAGAAATCCGAAACTCCGTCACCAGCGTAGAACATTACTGGCCGCTCATTCTCTGGAAGATTGGCATATGGTCTTATCTCAAGACTTTTATCGTGGCCAAAGCCGGTATCATCGTGGTAGGCAATCTGCCACCCTCCTTCTTCGTTTATGCTCTTTCCATCCCTTGGCGCAACATCGTTGCTTACAATCTGCATCTCATGTGCATCTTCACCCAAGAGGTGTACCAAAAGACCTCTGACAATTGGAGTCATACCTCCGCTGAGAACAACGATGGGAATTCCGTTCTGTCGAGCGTAGTCAAAGAATTCTTTGAAGTATGGGTCGAGCTTGATGTTCTCACAGAGAATCTTTATACATTGGTCGAAAGGGGTCTTGACTGAATCCAGCATCTCGCGGAACGAATCTCGGAAAGTCATCTTCCCATCGAGGACATCTTTATTGCCTTGCTTCCGCAACTTCTCCCCGTAACCCAGAGTATCGGTCATGAAATCATTGGAATCTTGCTGGGTGATTGTCCCATCGAAGTCGGTGAAGAAGATATACTTTGGATTCGTCTTCATAGCAGGCAGGGTAGAAGCGGCCATTCTGAGCGGTTGATAAGTATATATATATTCTGGTGTATGATAGCTTCAATGCCGTCTTCTGGTCCACGAATGACGGAGACATATTGGCAGATAATTTACTGACCTGAAGTTGGACAATGAACCACAGGAGAGGATGCTCTATTCTAATTCGTCTAAAAAAAACTATAAATCAAAGAGATGGTGACGATGTAGTAAAGAACACAAATAAATCTATGTGCAAATATAAAAACTGGGGAAATGACAGATGGAGGGGTCAAACTCATACTCGGCGGGCCCCACTACCCAAAGCGGTGAGCCATTAGAGCGAGATTCGGGGACATAGCTTCACCTCAGAAAACTTCAAGATCAACACCACAATCCGACGACGACCCATTGAAGGAGTGTGGCCATGCAGCCAATAGCTCGGTTCGCTCCAAGGCTGTTCTTCGATGCAATTGCCGGTACATCAAAAAGGACGACTCGATTCGCAGACCGACCTTCACTGAGACCTTCAATCTGTCTGCAATGTAGAATTCGAACCCAACGACGGCTCTTCGCCGATTCTCCTAAACCTCCTGCCACATCGGAAAATACAACCTCACAGTCCCCTCCTTCCCCCTCTCGTCCTCCTTCCTCGAAACAAGAAGAACTTTACTCCAATGGCGTGTCCGAAGACTTTTCTTCCGAGCTTCCTTCTGCAGAAGAAGGTCGCCGCCTTGCAATCTCAAAACGCTTTTCGAAAGTCATGGATCACCTCCAAGGCAATATTTTTGTCGCATCCCAGCGCATCAATGACCTGACTGGCTACTCCGGTATCGAGGCGTTGAAAGAGCGCATCGCCGTCCTCGAAAAGCGAGTCTCCGATGCCCAGGAACTCGTCCGCTCCTCACGCCTGACATATAAGACAACCGTCGCAGACAGAGCTTCTACACAGAGGGAAGTAACTACTTTGCTGGCGAGAAAAGACAGCTGGACACCGAGTGACCTGGAGAGATTCACTGCGCTGTATCGAATGGATCATAGCAACGAGCAAGCGGTTCAGGAAGCAGCTACAAAACTGGCAGATGCGGAACGAGAAGCGGAACATTCAGCGAGTAAACTGAGTAGTAGCATACTCAGCCGGTACCATGAAGAGCAGATTTGGAGTGACAAGATCCGGAGGATGAGTACATGGGGAACTTGGGGGTTGATGGGCGTCAATGTCTTGTTGTTTTTGGTGTTCCAGCTGGGCTTCGAGCCTTGGAGGCGGAGGAGATTGGTGCATGGCTTTGAAGAGAAGGTCAGGGAGGCGTTGGAAAAGGAGAAGGCAGCTGCCGAGATGAGACATGAGAGAAAAGATGAGGTTGATCCTGTATCACTCGATGCGGTTGTTGCTGCAGGAATCGAAGAGTTGCAAGAAGAAGTAGACAGTGGTGTGAAGACGTCGGAGCCTGCTGTTGATGCCATTGTGGCCTGTATACAGGGACAAGAGGGAGAACCACAACAAGAGGAAGAGGCCTCACTCGATTCAGCAGAGATGCATGTGCCGACCGCTTTGATGATGCTTAGGGATCAACAAAAGACCTGGACAGCTGCATTCCAGGATCTCTTCAGCGATAAACTCGTGGAGATGCGAAAACAGGATATCACCATGATTGCATTAGAGGGTGCTGCTACTGGGGCAGCTTTGGTCACTATCATCGCCACTATTATATTCCGTCATGCATAGACGACGATTATGTACAATGTGTAGATTTGTATAACAGCAGAATACCCATTTGAGAAGAATATGTCAAGCAATGATGTCTCAGTATGCACCTGGTCTCTTGCTGTAGCTTGGAATAGGTGCCATCGCTGGCCTTGGCATCGAAGTCCATGCCACAGTACCAGTACCCAAGCTGAAATTGGTTAAATGAGCCCCGCTGGCCTGTTGGGCCCAAAGCTCAATAGCTAGCCAATTCTGCCCATGATAGTCGAGAATACCTGTAAGTCAGTCAGCTTTGGTCCAGGAATTGACCACTGAGTCGACTTACCTTGCGGGACTGGGAACGAAGACTGCGGTCCAACATTATTGGTATACTTCCCGAACTGGTTATGAGGAATTAGTATCATTGTTCTCAAATGTTCTGATGAATTATCAAGCTGTGGGGTTGGGGTTGCAACTTCGCGAGCTCTTCGGGCAAAACATAAGAACCAGCTTACCTGGTACCCGTTAACCCAAAGTTGGGCTCTATAATCCGCGGTGGCACCATTAATAGTTGTGTTTCCGAAGTCAAACGTCAAGGGAATATCATAGTTGTTGGGAAGATCAAGCGAGAAATCCGCTTGGTAGAAGGCAACACCAGCGGTACTGATACCTGTTTCGGGAGACCCAGACACCCAATTATGATTGGGAGGATAAGGTTGCGTCCATCCTTGACGTTCGGCATATAGTCCGCCTTCATTCAGAGGGCCGCGGACTTTGTCAATATATGCCTCGCCTCCCAGATTTCCGGTGAGTTTCCAGGAGATATCACTCTGTGAATGTCCGTCTAGAGAATAGTTCAGAATTCCACGAGGATCTTTCATCTCATCTGGGCCAACAACCCAATTCTCATCCAGACCATTATTATCAATGACAACGGTGAATATGTACGGCTTGCCAGAAACGAGGTTTGGGAGAATATAAGTGCTGTTCCAAGCGCTGGATGCATCTATACCAGGCCAAGAGCCAATATAGGTCGAGTTTAGCCACACCGAAGACCCGAATGCACTGCCTCCTTGAGTTTCAATTTGTAAGGTCGTCTCCTGGCCATTTGCGGTGAAGTGGCCGCGATACAGAAGCACCCCTGTGTGGTAGCCATAGTCACTGCTGAACAGAGAAGTTGGAGTCTGCAGCTTGAAAACGGTGTTGTTGGAGGTTGTGTGATCAGCGCTCGTCCAGGCAGAATCGTCATAGGAAGAAGATATCTCTGGCAAGTTATCGACATATTTCCAGTCGAGCGTGGACAAGTCAGGCAAGGTTATCTGTGGAGCCGTGTAAGGGAGAGTTGAAGACCACTCTCCCGTGACTGGGTCTGTAGTGAAGCTCAACTTCAGGCTGTTGAAATGAAGATCCTTAGTGCTAGCAGGTGCTCCGATGACTTTAATTGGGACAGTGGCATTGAGATCTCCATCAATGTGGAGTGCTGTACCCTCAATATAGACGGAACGAACAAGATATCCTGCCTCAACGATAACAGAAGTTGTGTTGCCGATGTTAGAAGTACTAGGGGAAGTCAGTCTTCTGCCGTTCGAATTTCTTGATGGGGCAGATTCGAAAGTCTGCATTCAAAGTCTGACATTCAAGGCCGAAAAGTTCGATCCACGGAACAGACACTTCGAATACGCGAAAAAGAGAGACACGATTTGAAAAGCCCAACTTACTATGCGCCCCACTCATCGCTGCGAACAAAGTCCGGCACCCAGTAGTTGTAGGCCGAATTTCGATCCAAAATATAAACGAAGAGGCTACCGACTTGAACAACTCGTCGAGTTGAAGAAGTCTGCCAGTTGAGGATTGCAGTCCCGTTCATGGCCTTGGTAGTAACTCCATCTCCTTCTAATGTCTGTGCTGAGCTGCTTGAGACCACTGCGAGTTCGTGTTGCTCTCCTGGACCACCGTATACGACAAGAGCTGTCTTGTTGTCGAATTTCTTCCAAGTGAATATCTCTGCCGAGGAGTATAAGAGGGTAGTTCCACCCAGATCGTAATCGGTGACATGCCCTAAAGATTTTGAGTATTTCTTTGATCTATATCTGTCAGATCACTTACATTTCGAGTCTCTGCCGCTCAGTGTCAGACTGCCGCCCAATTGGGGAATGGAAACCGTTCCTTGGCTTGTAGCGACATTAAATTTATAAGATGCTGCAACTTCCGTTTGATAATCCGAATGTCTCACGACATAGAAGTTTGTTGCGGTTCCATTGCCGAATAATGGAGTTGTAAAGATGCTGGTATTATCGGTGTATGCACTCGTGCTGGCTATACCAACGGAAGTTGTGAGATATGCGGGCGACACCTTAAGGAAATTTGCCTCCAACTTAACCTCACTATACTTCTCTCTATACAGTTCACGATTTTCAGTAATGGAGGCACCATAGTCGTAAGATGTGTATCCACCAGGATGTCCAAGGTTTCCCCAATTGGTACCACCAAAAATCATGTACAAGTTCAACAGAGCTGCTCCTGACGCAAAGTCATTTTTGTAGAAGACACGCTCGAATTCCATGTTGAGAAGAACAGAGCACTGGGCGAAGCCAAGGCCTCCCCATGGATCGAAAGAGCCACCCTGCCAACATCGTCAGCCGACATACCTATTGACTATCATTGGCCACCTTACCTGGAACTCATCCAAAGAATAGAAGGTTGAAGGACTTTGCTCCTCATGTGTGGCGTGGAAATACGTGGGAAGATCGCCAGCAGGCCACGTATATGGATTCGCACAATCGAAGCCCAGAGGGTACGAATCATGGCCATAGATATTGACGTCGCCTTCAGTAGTACCATTGACTACATCTCCAGGCGCGAATAGACCCGTTGGAGCTGTGAACTTTTCAGTAAATACTGTGGTACCATTATGGAAAGCAACGTACAGGCATCATTGCTAATAAATGGAACAACAATCCCAGCATCTCGCAGTTGTTTCTTCACATATGCAAAGTAGACCGGGTCTGGGAAGCCTCCGTCAACGGGTCCAGAACTTCCCGTGTACTCGTTTTCTGGTTGAACGAGAATCACAGGGCCACCATTCGTGATCTGTGCTTTAGCTATGGAGGCACCAATATTTGCGACGTAATTGTCCGTAGCAGCGAGATAGTCAGGAGCTCGGGTTCGGAGTTGTCCTTTGACCCTCTGTAGCCAACCAGGAAAACCTCCACCGCTTGATTCCGCGTTGATGTATGGCCCAGGACGAGCAATGAGATAAATTCCTGCTTGCTGTGCTGCAGCGAAGAAAGGCTCGAAAGCAAAAACATCGTTGGCAAGATATGTCCCTGGTTCACCTTCTACCAAAGCCCAGTGAACGTAAAAAGATACGACATTGAAGCCAAGTGCTTTGACTTTCTGAAATACGTCAAGCCATAGATCTGGGACGGGTAGTCTGTATGGATGAAATTCTCCACTGAAGACAAAGACACGCTCCCCATAGATCATAAGTGAGTGCTCATCGTAGGTCACCTTGATTATATCGTGAGTAACAGCAGTACTTTTGAGGAGTCAAAAGGTCCCTACGATATTCTGAAGTCCATCACTTTCTCTCTCAACGTGCATCTGCTTCCCCCCAATGGCTAGAGCTGCAGCGTGTGCGGCAAGAGCTGCAGCCGTGACAGCACGTAGAAGCCTCATCTTGGATGGATGGTGTTGGAGCTTTTTGCTGAATCACAACCTGGAGAGATAAAATATGCAGGGGAGCTCCATTATATATGACATCTGCCCTACGGCCATTGCGGCTATATACAGCTTCCTAGGTAGAATACCCCTCTTGAAAGACACACCATAGAGGGAAAAGAGAAATATGGGGCTCATGTCCGACACTTGAAGAAAATATGAGGAGCTCACGACAATCCTTGCCTTGACAGGAAGTTCGTTCAGGTACGACAGAAACGTGTGACGGTTGAGGAGGCGAGGCGATGCACCGACGAACTACAGCTACAAGCACTGGCATGCGTGAAAGGCGGGGTTCAAGGAACGCGATCGACCGCCCGGGGCTGTCGGGGCAGGAGGGGGAGCACTCGTAATGATCGTGAAGAGGACCGGAGCTTGCTCGGTGCAATGTTCTGAGTTGCTGCAGATTCATCTTGCCTAGCCAAGAATGACCTATATCATGCAACTATAATGTCATCCGAACCTTGAGGATGTCGAAATTTTTTAGCCAGCCGAGGAAACTGACGCTATTCAAACCTTGTTGTGCTAGACGCGGGGAATCCTATTCATTTGCGCACCAATCACATCGTCTCGGATTAAATCTTGCTGTTGACATCAAATGCTCCTGGCGGGCGATTCTAAGAGTTTCCCCGTGGAGGCTCCTCTTGCAAGGCAGGGATTATGACTTTCATCCGAATGCTCTACTACCCAAAGCCAACGAGCCGAAGAGATTGCCGAATACGACAATTGCGGTGACTACATTCGGATTCGGGTCTCGAGAAGTAGCAGCAGCCAGGACAGCTGCGTCCAGTACTGTTTACCAGCTCTATGAACGCTCCCAGGTATGAATACTCCTCTGGAAAACAAGTGTACGTGACATACAAGTGCCACAATGATGGGGATGGGATTACCATTTGAGTCGGTTCCCACTGAGCCCATATGCTTTGTATTAATCAAGACGCAATAAGCGGGCAAATAAATGGGCAGGCGACGACGATGAACCCATTTTATGTATATCGATGATATCGTTGGTACATATATTTACACAACATTCATTGTCTCTTATTGAGACAGACATCTTCCTCGCCAGGCAAACAAACGCCTCGCCCATGCTTTTAGCAGTCGAGACTATATAACGCACCAAGAGTGCGCATCATTCAGCATGTCCAAATGCCTACAATGCCGTCCTTTCTCCCCTCGGTCAGATAGCCATCCTTGATTCGGACTTTTTCTACAATCGCAGGATGTCGCCCGTCTTCTTCAGCAGTGACGCCTGAACCGCAATCCCAGTGGCGGCCATCTGTTTTATCGTACACTTTCACAACGTCTTCGCCTGCGGCTGAGACGATCCGTCGATTGTCAAACATCATGCTCGTGATTGGTGCATCGTACGCGTAAGCATCATAGATTGCACCTGTTCTGAGGTCCCATATCTATACACAGTTAATTGAATGTGCAGCAGATCAAAAGGGAGCATAACTTACGCGAATGCTGCGATCCAGACTGCCAGTCACCAAATGAACGTCGTCAAATTGCAAACATGTGACAGGTCCGGTATGTCCAACCAGACTACGATGTACTTGCCCACTTCTCAAATCCCAAAGTCGAACCATGCCATCAGCGGTACCACACGCTAGAGCTGCATCAAATACTTGCACAGCTCCGACGAAGTCAGCAGAAGCGTCTGGCAATCTTCCTGTCTGTCTCCAGGCACCTTCATTGGAACCCATTGTCGCAGAGGCTTGAGCGGCAGCCCACATTACATCAAGAGTCTGGACGCAACGTCCTTTCTCCAAGTCCCACTGGCGTAATGTCTTATCTGCCGACCCAGAGATGAGAGTATCTCCTCTGAAATGTAAGGCTGTGACTTCATCTACGTGAGCTTCTAGTGTGAACAGAGGACAATCAGCCATGCTGCCAGCAGGTGGCTCGGGTTCCCCATCTTCTGGATTTCCAAAAGCTAGAGGGTCATCATCTTCATCGCCGTCTTTATTGATACGGTTGTCTTGGGGGTCGTAGCGAGCCTTACTAAGATCCCATAGTCGAATAGTGGCATCCATAGAACCAGTAGCGACAATGTTGTCCTCGACTTGTAGAGTTCGTACAGATGCTGTGTGCCCTTCCAAAAACCCTATGCACCGTCCAGCGTTCATGTCCCAAACTCTGACGGTGTCATCAAGAGCTGAGGTAACCATAGTGCCGAACGGAACATCAAAGTCTAGTGCTGTGACCACATCGTGATGAGCATGAAGTTCTCGGATCATTGACCCAGGTTCAAAATGTTCATGTAAGATGGGCATTGACTTTCGGCGAATGGTCTTATGCCGTTTTGGTCGAGTAGGAGTGGTGTTTACCGAGGGCAACTTTTCGTAGATTGACTCGGACATGAAAGAAGCATCCATTGCCGGATCCTCAATTACTTCCTCATCCTCGGCTTTTAAGGTTTTTGCCATAGCTTCAGCATCATCCAACTGCTCTTGAGCATCTTCAAGCCTGTTTTCAACGTCGAGAACTGATATAATGTTAATAGAGGATTGAGGTTTTGGGACGAAGGACCAACTGTCATGTTCTAACAAAGCCTCTTCCTGCTCCAACCCAGCCAAACGATCTAAAACGATCTTCCGCATACTATTGAGATTTGCTATCTTGTTGTCTATCTCTCGGATTTCACTGCTAGCCATATTCTTTCTGATACTCATCATCTCCAATTGGTGGTTCAGAGAGTTTTGCTCCTTTTTGAGCTTTCCTAGTGTAGGAGGAGTCTCGGATTCCGATTTATCATCGTCCAAAAGTTTCCGTCCCCTTGATATACGTCTTCTATGGCGCTTGGATTCCGGGCTGCTCTCTGGCAAGGTAGCTTGGAAGCCCTGGAATAGCGAGTAGGCATTTTCATCTTCTGGAATGTTTTTCAAGAGCTCGTCGGGTAAATATGTCAAGGCGCGATACTGTATTTCTGATGTCGACAGTTTCGAGCGCACCAGGTCTGTAGGGGTCGTTTTCGCGAAGGAGAAGACACTTCGTTGCAGATTCGGCCTTCGTAGCTGCTTGTGTAGGTCGCTCATCGCATTTTGATAATGTGTACTGGCGCTGGGATCTGCTAAAGGTCCCATCAAATGACCCGCCGTTGTGGTAACTTTTCTTCCAAATGCCTCCAAGCCTCTAGTCTGGGTCGAATCAGCAAGGACCTTGAGATAAATGTACATACATACGGATATTATGGCAGTATCCTCCTCTGCACCTCGAAACGGAGAGGCATTGCGGCTGCGCGATCCAGCCATACGTCTTCTTTCACCGTGAACAAAGCATGTAAAGAAGCAATATTAATTGACGTTCCGGCAAAGTTTGTGCTGTCTGGTGTGGGATGGTAGAAGTCAAATACTCAATGTCTTGTTTATATCTTGGTCGTGTGAATGGCAATGATGATGGCTGCTCTAAAGCCACACTTGTGGCTTGGGACCTTGGGCAGACGCGGCCGCCCCGGGCCGAGATAGGAGAGCCAAGCCAAAGTTTGTCAAGGTTACTGCAGCATTCACTCAGCTAGCACAAACAATTTAGAGGGTCTTATGTGGTATTACTTGTGTTTCCCAAGCTCTCGGTAATGATTTGGCAGGTGTAAATACAAAAGTTCTCTTGCTCTGCCTGGTTTCTTTTCCGTTTACTCCTCATCTCCTCTACTCGACTCTACCCCTCTATCACCACAAAGATGGATGCAGTAATCGACCTTTCCGATCGCTCTAAGGCATTGGACCTGAATCATATTCGCGTTCAACTCATGTAAGTCTCTTCTGCCAGAAATTGAACCAATTCATTGATTTTCCACAAAGTCGAATGGAGGACTCGATCATTTTTCACTTGATCGAGCGTGTCCAGTTCCCATTCAACGGCACTATCTACAAGGCTGGTGCCATCGACATCCCAGACAGTAGTCTCAGTTTCTTAGACTGGCTACTGTGTAAGCGGGAGGAGCTTGATTCCATGATTCGCCGCTTCCAGTCTCCCGATGAGTATCCATTCTTCCCGGAGTCTATTAAAAAGCCAATTCTCAAACCTCTTCACTATCCTAAGATCCTTCACAAAAATGATGTCAACGTCAACGAGAAGATTAAGAATAGCTATATCGAGAACTTCCTCCCAGGAGCTTGCGCAAACTTTGGACGTCAAGACCGCGGTGAGACTGAGGAAAACTACGGATCATCAGCTACAGCCGACATCAACTGCTTGCAGGCTATCTCTCGAAGAATCCACTTCGGCAAGTTTGTAGCTGAGTCGAAGTTCCAAACGGAGACCGAGAGGTTCACCAAGTTGATCAAAGAAGAGGACCGTGAGGGCATTGATGTTGCGATCACCAATGCGAAGGTTGAGCAGCAGGTATTGGATAGACTGCGTCTGAAGGCAACGACTTATGGCATGGATCCAGCTATCGGTGCTGAGGGACCTGGAAAGATTAACGTGGATGCGGTGGTCACAATGTACAGAGACTTCGTCATTCCACTTACCAAAGAGGTCGAGGTTGAGTACTTGATGCAGAGACTTGGACCTGATGAATAACTATGAAATGCTCGAGGTGCAAAAAGTTGATTGTCTATTGTGGTGGACTTAGATACTGGCTGATAGCTTTGACAGCGCCCTCAAACTTGGCTGCCTCAATCAAAAGCATGGATCCTTGTGGCTTGACGCCCATCTCTGAAAATGCTCTCTTACTGTCAGCCATTCCTTCGCCCTCGTCCTTGGTATAATCGTATGACCCTGATGCCAACGAATGCTTCATTAAAACCTCATCCTCAGCATGGAAATAGAACACTTCCTTGCTTCCTCTGTTCGCTTTGCTTTTCTTCGACTTTGGTGCATCCTCTTGATCAAGTGCAGAAGCGATCTCGTGATATGTTTTCGAGAGAATGAGGTAATGGGTGAACTCATAAGGCTCCTTGTCTTCAACCGCTGCCTCGATTTCATCAATCAGCATCGAGTACATAGGCGGAGCAATCTCTCCAGGGACATTGATCAGACGTTCTGCCAAGATAAGTCCAACTTCTGCCGAGGACGAAAGAAGGTCGGCGATTTGGTTTAGTGTAGGATCCGATTTTGCTTTCGAGATAATGTACTCCGTTAAGTCTTTGATGGGCTTCTTATCCTTGTGCTCGCGAAGGTTGAGGACAGTGAGAAATGCGTATGGGTCGGTCTCTTCGCCATCAACCTTTACTGTCGAACCAACCGTTGGTTGTGATAGAACAAGATCCGCAAGCACAGAGACATCGAACAACTGGGAGTCAACGTCTAAGAGTTGTCTTATCAAGCTTTTGACTCCATGAAAGTCAATGTCCGGCTTGAAATTGAACCATTCAAATTCAACATTGACCATGTCCACATCCTAAGGAGGGGTTAGAAAGCGCTTCAGAGGATGATTTGAATTTACATACGTCGTCGCTACCGCTATCATTATCGGCATCCTGAGCCGGAGCTTCTGGGAGGACTTCCGGATCTCGTATCCTTTTCCTGACCATTGTGTCTTTAATTTGTGAATCGTTGCGAGGCAAGTTGAGATTTATGGCTCGAGAAATAAAATGCTTATCGTTATCTTCACGTGAAAATTGCGGCTAAATTGCGGCAGCTTGTCTCGAAATTTTTCTATACCCCACCAAAATGTTCAACCCCTCCAAGTCTCACAACTCCCCGGATTTCATAGCCTTTCTTGTTGTTGGGATCCGGAATCAACTTCCTTTGCTAATTGTTTGAGATGGCTACCAATGGTGAGATACTTGTGGACGAGCCACACAAAACCTTCGACACCATTCTTACTCTGGATTTTGGGTGAGTCGTTCTAGCGCGTTCACATAAGCATCCAAGAATTTGTCGAATGTTCACAGAACATTGAGAATTTTACAGTGCCCAGTGGGCATAGAAATCTCTTCAAGTAGAAGTCTTCTCTGAAAGTTCTCGCCTATCTGTCTTCTTAATCTATACTTTCCCACGAAGTCTGACGCGCTCTGGTCGCGTGTCTCCTTAGGACGCGTTCTGATGCTAATACAATGGCAGTTCTCAGTACACTCACTTGATTACAAGACGTCTCCGCGAGCTCAATGTCTACTCCGAGATGCTTCCATGTACTCAAAAGCTCTCCGACCTTTCCTGGAAACCTAAAGGCATTATTCTTTCTGGAGGCCCATACTCCGTTTACGAAGCCGATGCTCCCCACGTCGACCCTGCTATCTTTGAGCTAGGAGTACCAATCCTTGGAATATGTTATGGTCTGCAAGAAATTGCATGGCATCATGGAAAGAACGTTGTGGCGGGAACCGAGCGTGAATACGGCCACGCTGAGCTCCAAGCCAAGAGAGTCGAGGGACATGTCGACAAGCTTTTTAAGGACTTAGAGGATGACTTAAAAGTCTGGATGTCACATGGTGACAAACTGGGGGCTTTGCCTCCATCTTTCCACATCATTGCTACTAGCAAGAACTCGCCATATGCAGGCATTGGCCACGAGACCAAGCCAATTTATGGTATACAATTTCACCCAGAGGTGACACATACAGCTCGAGGAATCAAGCTCCTGGAGAACTTCGCGGTCGGTATCTGTGGAGCAAAGCAGAACTGGACTATGGCCAAGTTCGTGGACAAGGAAATTGCCAGAATTCGGGCTTTGGTAGGCGAAAAGGGTCAAGTTCTTGGAGCAGTCAGTGGAGGCGTGGACTCGACTGTAGCTGCAAAGTTGATGCATGAAGCTATCGGGGATCGATTTCACGCTGTGCTCGTGGACAACGGCTGCATGCGTCTTTATGAATGCGAGCAAGTGAAGGAGACTCTTACCAAGCACCTCGGCATCAACCTTACTGTTGTCGACGCCTCTGACCTCTTCTTGGATGGTCTAAAAGGGATCCACGACAACCCAGAAGCAAAGCGCAAGTTCATCGGCAGCACCTTCATTGACGTCTTCGAAGCCGAAGCCCTGAAGATCGAGAATGAAGCCGAGAACTCTCCAAAAGCTGGCCGCATTGAATGGTTCCTCCAAGGGACACTCTACCCCGATGTAATCGAATCAATCTCCTTCAAAGGACCATCCCAAACCATCAAGACCCACCACAACGTTGGCGGTCTCCCCGAAAGAATGATGAACGGGCAAGGTCTCAAACTAATTGTAAACCCACCCCTCGATCAAACCCAAACTCTACTAACAAAAACAACAGGAGCCCCTCCGCGAACTCTTCAAAGACGAAGTCCGTGAACTAGGTCGTCAACTCGGCATCCCCCACGACCTCGTAATGCGGCACCCGTTCCCCGGCCCGGGAATCGCCATCCGGGTCCTAGGCGAAGTAACCAGGGAACAAGTAGCCATAGCCCGCAAAGCCGACTACATCTTCATCGAAGAGATCCGCAAAGCAGGGCTGTACGACCAAATCTCGCAAGCGTTCGCAGCGCTGCTTCCCGTGAAGGCGGTGGGCGTCATGGGCGACAAGCGCGTGCATCAACAGGTGATTTCGCTACGCGCCGTGCAGACGACGGATTTCATGACGGCCAATATCTTTCGGTTTGATTGGGACTTCTTGGAGAGGGTTTCGACGAGGATTTGTAATGAGGTGGATGGGGTTTGTAGGGTGGTTTATGATTTGACTACTAAGCCGCCGGGGACGATTGAGATGGAGTAGATGAAGAGAGAGAGGAGAGATTGATGATTGAAACAAGACAAGTTAGATGAGCTTGTTTTGTTGAAACATGCTTCTCTCGTGTTGGATACCCTTGTTCTGCTTTCTGGCGTTAGCGTTGGGTAATAGACCATAGAGGCGGCAACTTGCATTTGAAACCCAAATTGCGTTGATTTGACACTTGTCTTAATCACACCGTGATGGCATGCCCATATCAACCAAACTCAACCAATAACACATGTGATTTTGAGTATCTGCATTCCACTTCCTATCTATGAACCCTCTAAAGCATACCATCTCTTGCAACCACATCAATTATCCTACTTTACTCCACTTCTCTCCAATCGCCAACTCAACTCAAAACATGATCCATCCCTCCATGAATCCGGCCACAAAGAGCTCCATATAAACATATTCTTCATCGTAAAAGCCATCTACTCTCTCCCTTCCACCAAAAATATGCAACACAAAAAGCTCGCCCCCTGGAAGGCTTAGCCCATCATCCAACGCAACTCAATACAAGAATTTGGGTATATAGAAAGGAAAATAAGTTATATAGTGAGGTGGGTACACTAATGTACCCCTTTCTTCCGGTGAATCAAACAAAAATAAACATCGCGATACGCTGTTCATAGTCGTGATCTTAATTAGGCGCTGAAGTCCTCGAACGGCCAATAAGCCGGAGGCAGCAGTGTTTGTGTATGCCATGCGATGCTATGCAAGAACGTAATCTAGAACGTAACAGGCGTAAAGTTCGAGTGAAAGATGTGATGTGCGAGTAAGGCTGCATGCCGAGAGTTGTTTGGGATTTTCGGTAGCAGTTGAAGGCAGATAGGGTGTGGTGCTGAGAGACAAATGAAAACCGTGAACCACAACGCCAAATCCGGAAGAACACCATCGTGAGGCCATAGAAACAGAAAGCAAATGGACGTCAAGCCGGAGGTCATGATCCCGCACCGTGAGGAGCGCTGGAACCAGTCTCCGTTGATCCGTCTCCTTCTATCGTTTTCCTCCAGTGATCTGGCAAACAAACGCAAACCAGAGGGAATGCTTTGATCTCACCACTCACAGCTGGCGATTCGTCTCTCCGGCCCGATGTGTTAGAGACACCACTATCTCGTTGGGCTTTCCGTTTCGCATCCCAATCTTCAGCTCGCTCGTCAATCATCACTCCTGTTGCCCAGCCGTCATCCCAGATGCCAACCACTTTGAGCATGTCACCTCTTTCCAATGTGAACTCATCACCCGCTCTTGGCTGATACGCCCAAAGTGTTGCAACCTTATCACCTGGATGGATCTCATCCTGTGAGTAGTAATCTTTGAAGAACGGCAATTGCTCGGACTGCTGACTTGCAACTCCCTGTGGAGATGACATATCTCCACCGCTGCCCGAGTGTGGCGATGAAGGATCCTCCAATCCCAGCGCCGAATTGCTTGACAAGGATCCATTTCGTCGCCCTGTAGGAGGAGGTCGTAGCACACCACCACCAGAATTAGAGACCGGACTGTACTCATCAGAAGAAGACTGATCGTGATGTCTTCGTCGTCCAGCTGCATATCCAGCTGCGGCACCTGCAGCTGCCCCTCCAGCACCTACTGCTCCCAGTTCTCCTCGAGGCGGTGAGTCTCCTGAATGACCTTCCAATGCCGACATGCGCGCAATGCGACCCCCTGGTAGCACTTCGTACCCCTCCGGTGTCGTAGTCGTTCCCACCGGGTTGTAAGCCATCCCTGGAGCAGGTCCTCTCCGTGCTGGGGATGGTTGGTTAAAAACACTTCCATTTTGACTTCCACGTCTGCGCCGGAGGCACAGGATAAGTAGAATGATCAATCCTGCGATCAGAGCGGCTCCTACCACGGATCCGATAACAATGCCAGCGATAGCACCACCTGATAGTCCCTTGTTAGAATTGGATGCGACTCCGGTCGAAGAGGGCGTTGCCGAAGACGAGGATGTAGCTGATGCGGTTGGCGAGCTGGTTGTAAAAGTCATGAATGCAGTGATCGTTGGTAGCACGACACCAGCACATCGCGTCTGAGCATCCGAATTATAACAGCACGTGTCTGTACTGTTCTGTCCTCCTGAACCGCAATATTGACATAAGCCGATAGTGCTGTTCCCGTAGCCGCAATTGTCTGGCTCGTTTGTGGCACCCTCAATGCAGGTACCGGTTAATGATTCGGCCGGCAGCGCGCAATTTGTGAAGTCTGCTCTGATCTGGGAATCAGCATTGCTGCTCGGATTGGTGCACAGCGCACTGTTGGCGATGATTATAGCTTCACTCTCAGCTTGCTCGGCCTAGGTGGTATTTAGCACGCCAATTGTTTTGAGTGTTTGACAATAGGACTTACACATGTATCAGCACAGACCGGCCGAGAAGCAGCGGTCGACAATCCACATGGCGTTCGCGAGTTCTGTATTATAGCATTACATATTACTGTGGTGGTGAAACGGGCATAAAGGTTTGTGGTGTTTGTAAGATTAATACCGCCGCAGCCGAAAAGTGTTTGGTACCTGCATCTTGCATTAGAGCGATTGATAAGGGGAGTCGCAACAATATTCACTTTTCTTGTACGTAGCTGGTTGAAACATAGGAAGCCAATTGCTCATCGAATGTCGCGGTGCTCGAAACATATTGGAGGAAAGGACTGTGGTGCGACGAGATTAGTGAATGATCGCCATCTTGATCGTAGCTTATCTGAGGGGATAACCTACAAGAATCCGACCAAGGTGCTGTCGATCGAGATTGAAGCCGAGCTGAAGGCAGAACATTGAGTCGAACCCGACAGCGATATGCACGTCTCTGCCATTGCTCCTGGTGCAGCTGCGAGAAGTGACAGCAGCGCGGTTCTGGTGTTGAGACGGGTCGTTGACCTTAATTTCCGTTTGCTGTGAGCGCGGGCGGCCATTGTGGGCGCTGGGGGCAATCCGGACGACGGTTCTATCTCGACGATACTCGCATTGTCGGCTGGCAAAGACTTTATGGTGTTGACGTGGGCAATCGGTGGATTATCCTCCCTCATAGTTCGTTTTTGTAGTCCTCCGTCCCAGTCATCCACGCGCGCCCGCCGAAAACCACAGTCGTGTTGATCTTCTCCACGTTGGGCGACAGCGTCAACAAAAACACCCGTCGGTTTTCCCTCCCAAGCCAAAAAAAAAAAAAGGTCCAGCCGTCACGATAGCGGGCGTGAAGGCGAGGGACAACGAAGTGAAGATCTAAACGAGCGACTTTGGGGGTGGTGTTGTTGTTATGGTTGAAGGAGTGTGGGTGTCGTAGTATCAGGAAAGAAAGAGAGAAATGGCGGGCGAGTTAGAGAGTGAGGGAGAGGCGGACGGGCTGGTCGGAGGCAGGGAAGTGCAGCAGCAGTCGCAGTGCCAGGGTGCGTGAACGAGCGAACGAGCAACCGCGTCTGGCCCTGGCGAGGAGGAGGAGGAGGAGGAGGAGGACGCTGGCCTGGGACTGGGCTGGGAGTGGAAAGGTGCAGCAACAGCAGTGCAAGTTAGGGACTGGATGCGAGGCGGGAGGAGGTGGGCTGCAGTGCAGTGCAGTGCGGTGGCAGTGGGAGACGCGCGAGAGACCAGAGAGAGAGAGAGAGAGATTATCGGGGTTGGGATGTGCTGGGGACTCCAATGCGGAAAGAGCCAGGCCAGGTACAGTACTGAAGTGTGAACCGGGGCAGGGATTCCGAGGGCTGGGGGCTGGCTTGGCCTGGCCTGCAAGCAGAATAAGCGCAAATTCAATGTGCAAATCTCCAAGCCCACAGCTCGTCCGGGCATAAAATCCACTGGGAACCTACAATTTTAATGATCCTTCGAGGACAGCATGCTGCTGGGAGAACGAAATGAATGATGCACGAGACTACAGTACTGTCACTTGCTCCTCGCACACGGTATGCAAATGTGATCTCGATTATGTTTGAGGTTGTAGGCGGATAAAGAGAGAAGAGCGCGGAGCAGAGCACAAAGCGGTTTGAGACTCTGCTCTGCTCTGCTCTGCTCTGCTCGGCCTCGTCTCGTCTCGTTTACCTTCTGCTGGCTGGTCTGCATTTTGATTCGTTCCCAAGCAGCCCAGAGAGATATTATCCCGTCAATATTCCCGAGTCATCGTCCACCACTCATTGGTTTCATGGCAGAGTGGATGTTCGACGAACTCGCGTGTTGTTGTCGCTGTCCCGTCTTCAGTTTAGCACCAAGCCCTGGGAAATGAGGGCGTCGAGCAGCTGCAGAAACAACGTCCAGAGCCAGCATCAATGCGGTAAGGTCGAAACTCTGTGGTATTGAGAGCATCAGCGCGTCAATCATCCAATTGAAGGCCGTATTCGAGCTCTGCATATCCTGCCTGCCTGCGAGATTGCTGTTCAAAACGCGCTCAACTCGCTGCCTCTGGAGTGCCGTGGCCGGTGCATATCTATCTATCTATGTTTGGGTTTGTGCATGGACGTCCTCGCCCGTCCCGAGAAACAAACTTTTCAGCGTGAGGGATCGAGGAGGGATGACGGCTTCACAAACTTTCCATTCAGACTTCCCGAACCCACGTCTTGGCAAGAGCTTCGTGGAGCCTCCAACCTGGGTCCTTTTTGATGACACCAACAGAAATCCTCTAATCCTCATATCTTCAAGAAATGAAAAGCAAAACGTTCATCCAATCTTCTTGTGCCTTTATGCAGAAATAATATCACCTTGAAGGATCAACCCTCGAGGACCCTCTCTGACAGAGGCCATGGCGTCAAATTTTTCAAAACTCTGAGAAAACATCCTTCGTTGCCCCGCATTATCATGCATGCTCAATTCTTCGATGAATCACTTATGCCATTCATACACACCTGGCCCGCCATGCGAGAGTCAAAGTCTGGTAAAGGGACAGAAACTACAGGTGTTCTGTTCTTACCTGACCTTATTTAAGAACATAATTCGACTTTTATGCGTCCTCATGCACTGAGTGATGCATGAACGTTCCCGGTAATCTCTGCGATGCTGTTTGGCTGACCAATTGACCCGGACTATGTTTGGAACTTTGGAGTCTCATTTTTAGCAACATCTCTCTCCGCGCGACATCGAGAGAGAACTTTCTGTTTCGATAAACAACAACTCTGCCAGGGAACTGGGGCCGGCGGTGGAGAGGAGAAGATTGTCGTTTCGACACGCGTAAACAATTCTTCTCCTTCTCCTGCAGGTTGCATCTCGAAGGAAGAAGTGCTTTTTTGCGTTGGGATTCGCCCATCTGGGCACCTCGTCCCTGGACCAAGCAAGGGTGTTTCGGAGATGAGGGAGCAGGGTCAAGACTTCAAAACACGTGCTAGGGGAGAAGCCCCCGTCGATATTCCTTCCGATAAAAGTTTGATCGGTTTGATCGCCCATCGTTCCGAAGATGCCTGCCCTCCACGCCGTTCTGAAATTGAAATGCAACGTTTCTGACGAGCTTCAAGTGTCGAAATGCTTTGACACAAAACGTGATCGCTCGACTCCAAATTCTATCTCATCCAGTTTCTGACAGCGCAAGGAAAAAAGAAACAGCAGTTCCCAAAACTATCCAACTACAGATCTGTGGCTGGAAACGATATATCAGATGTCAGAACAGAATGAAACATGGACGGGAAGGCCTGAGGTTACACCATGACGAGTGGAAATGGATCCAGACTTTCAGCTATGAAGTATCGTTTCCTCATAATACCATCGTATTTCAAGATAGTTCTTGGGGATGATGTTGGCGTCCTTGTTGTCTTATGTGAGGCTGGACTTAGTCGATGCGTGTTGCTCGTCAATTCAAAGTTGAGGGAGAAGATCAACATGAAGACGGTGCCCGAATCGTCGCTCGGAACACTATTCCTGATGGTATTTATTCGATTTAGAACAAATTTATTTTCCAAAATGCTTGGTGGTTTTTCACAAAAGTTCCTAGCCGGCGAAGCGACTCGATTCGAGTTGAATAGAAGCTTTGGGCCATGACATCACATCACTAGGTAAATTCCATAGCGTCACGCACATCAACAAGGAACAAGTTTGCGAATATTAACAGATCCTTTGCTATCATTCTGCTTTTTCTATCCTTTCTAAATACCGTCATATCTCGAAAAGACAATTCTATTAATTCTTCAAAATGAGCGGAACATCAAACGTTGGCCAAGCCTCAGTCTACGAGGACGGAGATCAAAAGAACGTCCCCAAATCAGAACTTGAGCAGGAGAAGAAGGATGCTAGATTCCATGAGGGCAAACAAAACAGCCACAAGGCCAATGATTCTAGTAGGCAGATCCCTTGGGACAGACACTGCATCTACTGACAGTCAACTTTCTCAGAGGACGAGCGATCTATTGCCAACAAGCTGGCCCGAGAGGAAAAGGTCAGTAGAATGGAGTCACGCGAGCCGCTGCTTTAGGAAGCACATTGGGGTAGCATGGATCTTGCTGACATATGAATAGCGCGAGAAGGAGCCTGAGGAAGAGAGCGAGGAAACAAAGGCGTTGAAGAAAGACCCGACATTGCCAGTACGTCTCCAGTGTAGCTCTGCAAGAAACTCACGACAGTCCTATTCTTTCGCCACATGATTCAAGTAGCAGCTCGAAAATCCGCAGAGCTAACCAATTCTCAGGCTAAGATGCACGGCAACGAGCCCAGCAAAGGCGCCAAGATTGATGCTCAAATTCAGGCCGAGGAAGAGGAAGAGCTCAGAAGAAAGGGAAAGGCATAAAGGAAGCGGAAGATGTACAAGCGGGGTGAACATACTTGGGACAAAAGACCAACAATGTGAAACTAGCTACCATCTTAAGGAGATGTCAGGCTATGACGAGACTCGCATTCAAGCTATGCTATTCCGCTAAGGGATTTGAGATGATCAAGATTTCTAATGATTCTGTGACTATTACGAATTTTGAAACATAAACTCTCAGGAATATCAATTATTGAAAGCAGTTTTTTCCAACAGAAGCGACAAGGCTACCCAAATTTAGCTATCTTGGTCAGCTTCGCTTGCCATAGAGGGAACCACGCGGAGAGCTACCTGCAAGGCGGAACACCACAGTCAAACAACCATAACTTGTCGGACATTGAAATCAACACATAGCTTTGGCTTGCGCATTCACGCGTCACTTTCCAAACAATACTTTCAACCCTGCAGCTCAAGGACAAATTTAAATGTCCTAAGCTGCCTGCAGGCCTGATCGATGACCTCGCCCAGATGACAGCCAGTCCTCCACAATCATGGGACAAGGCTTCTCCCTCACGACGCTCAACGCGGGCTCCGCCGGCATCGACGTTCCAGAGCTGTCAGACTTGGTGTATGAAAAGTCTATGGGCACTACGCGATTTATGAAAAGTATCCGAGCCCGGCATCAGGATGGAGTTGTACTGGTTAAGGTGTTCATCAAGCCCTATGCCATGAAACTTGAGAAGTATAAGCATGAAATAATTCGTAAGCGTAGACGATCAAACATGAATGGAGATATATTGATATTGTCCCCAGAGGAAAGAAAGGCTTTGGCGGATGTCCCAAATGCTCTTGCATATCAGCGAATCGTGGAAAGCGAAACGAATGGCTACGTCGTCCGACAATACTTGTACAGCTCCCTATACGATCGCATGAGTACCCGACCATTCTTAGAAGATATCGAGAAGAAATGGCTTGCATTTCAGTTACTTTGTGCGCTCCGCGACTGCCATGCGCGAGAAGTATTCCATGGCGATATCAAGACGGAGAATACTTTGGTCACTTCCTGGAACTGGTTATATCTGTCGGACTTCTCTGCATCATTCAAGCCTACAACTTTACCGGAGGATAATCCTGCAGATTTCTCATATTTCTTCGATACGGCAGGACGACGGACATGTTATTTGGCACCCGAACGTTTTCTAGCTGCTGGAGAGGAGCCAGATCCGAAGGCTCAGGTCACTTGGGCTATGGATGTGTTCAGTGCTGGATGTGTGATTGCAGAATTGTTCTTGGAGGCCCCAATCTTCAATCTCAGTCAACTATTCAAGTACCGAAGAAAGGAATATGATCCAGTCTCGGCTCATTTAAATCGCATAGCAGACACAGATGTACGCGAAATGGTTGCAAGCATGATCCAGCTGAACCCCGAGTCCAGATATTCGGCAGAGGAGTATCTCGACTTCTGGAGAAAGAAAGTCTTCCCAGACTACTTCTACAACTTCCTACACCAGTACATGGCTCTGATAACAGACCCATCCTCTGGACGTAGGCCAATATCGGGAGCATCGGCAAATCTTGGAGAAGCCGATGAACGAATAGATCGTATCTACTACGATTTCGACAAGATCTCGTATTTTCTTGGGTATGAGAACGACAAAGAAGAAGAGAAGAAGACCCCGTACAGCGCTTCTGGCCTGCAGCTCTTCCCAGTCCATCTTAATATCCCCAACAACGATCATCAGGCTGTTGTTCTCTCAAAAAGGCCGAGTGATGATGGTACCCTAATATTTCTCGCCTTGGTGGTTTCATCCATACGAAACACTGCTCGAGCGACGGCCAAATTACGAGCCTGTGATCTTCTGCTGGCTTTCTCAGAGAGACTGACAGATGAAGCGAAGCTTGACAGAGTCTTACCATACCTGGTCTCGCTCCTAAACGACAAGGCTGACATTGTCAAAGTAGCTGCGGTGCGGACATTGACACAGCTAATGTCACTTGTCACTGTAGTCTCTCCTGTAAATGCTCATGTTTTCCCAGAGTACATCTTGCCTCGGATGCAAGTATTCCTTCCCAACTCACCGTCTGATCCCGGACCATTGGTGCGAGCTACGTATGCGGCCTGTCTTGGCAGCCTTGCCACTTCTGCTTCTCGTTTCCTAGACATGGTAGCTACATTGAGAGCGGATGGGTCCCTGCCAACAGCCGATCCAGAGACTGAGGATGGTGGTCATGTGGATGCTGCATTACAAGGTCTTTTCGACAACTCACGAGCGGAGCTGATAGAGGTTTTCGCCAGCCATACAAAAGCTCTGATTACGGACAGTGATTCTGCAGTCCGAAGGGCTTTCCTTGGATCTGTTCCTGAGTTGTGCATGTTCTTTGGAACCGCGGACTCAAACGACATAATCTTGAGTCACTTGAACACATATCTCAATGATCGAAACTGGATGCTTAAATGTGCTTTCTTCAAGACTATTGTCGGCGTTGCGACCTTCCTTGGTGGGACAAGTCTAGAGGAGTTCATTCTACCACTGATGGTCCAAGCATTGACAGACCCGGAAGAGTTCGTAGTGAGAAGCGTTTTGCACTCTCTCGCGAGCATGGCACAACTTGGTCTCTTCCAACGATCAAAGATCTGGGAACTGGTTGATGTGGTTGGTCGATTCACAATGCATCCGAGCATCTGGATAAGAGAAGCAGCGGCAATGTTCATTTCTTCTGCTACCATTTTCCTGTCTATCGCCGATACTCAATGTATCATCCAGCCACTGGTCAGCCCTTACTTGAAGACATCTATAAAGGACTTCTCCGAGCTCGGGTTACTCGACAACTTGAAGAAGCCACTATCTCGCGCCGTGCTAGATCTTTCGGTTACTTGGGCCACTAAGGTGGACCGTGGACTGTTTTGGAAGCCAGTGCATCAACTACGGACTTTCTCTTTTGACTCTAATTCTCTTGTCATACCAACAATCTCAAGTAAAGAGTTAGGTCATCATGCTATACAGAAGGTATCGAGAAATGAGGAAGATGAGCAGTGGCTATCGAAGCTGAGGAATATGGGACTAGGGCACGAAGACGACTTCAAACTGCTTGCTTTGAGGGAATATATCTGGCGACTTGCTCTTTCGAAAGCTCGAGAGTCCTCACCCCATCCCTCATATCTCAACAATGTCATCCAACTTCGAAGTATAGGCATTACTCCACAGACAGTCATGTTTGACGACCAGCAGGTCATGGAAGAGCCAATCCGACGAGTAAGCAGTGCAGTTGATGGTGGAGACAAAGTCCCACATACCATCGCCGATGCTTTGTTGGATGCTTCAATGACCATCGACGATTCAATCTCTCGACGTCGCCGCTCAGCCTTCAATACTCACAAAGCCAGAATTATCAGCAGCCAAGTCAACGTACCCTCTGGACCAAATAGGGGCGACGACCGTTCGCCAGTATCTCCCTCATCAGCAACTTCTACTTCTCCCAAAGAGATAGATCCTGCATCTCGCCGGAAGTCATCACTACGAGTTGGTGCTCCAAATGGCAGGACTAGCGACGATGAGGGAGGGTCTGTACCCGGGTCTGGATCAAGTGTCAATTCAAGGGAAAACCACCATCGACTACGACACAAAGTCAGTGCCATGAATCTTATGAACAGGACTGACTCTATCAAGACTGTCGCCGAGACTGGCACTACTTCAGCAAATGCCTTTGGTAAGGTAGAAGGTCCATTCTCCCGACTTGCAGAACCCTCTGCCTTAGCTCTTGCAAAAGATCAAGATCAGGTGGGACAAGATCAGATAAGGTTTAGAGGCGCTCACACATACCAAGGAAACGATCCAAGTATCCTGAAGATGCTTGATGCAATGTATGTTGACAACTATCCAAATGACATCGCCGACTTTGGTCCGATGATCGCGCCCACTAGTCGACGTAAGACGATCAACAAGAGCACAAATCAAGCCAACGATAGGCCTTGGAGACCGGAAGGTGGTCTGGTTGCAACATTTTCGGAACATACAGGCCCTGTACACCACATTGCGGTGGCTCCAGATCATCTGTTTTTCCTTACAGGCGGTGATGATGGCTGTGTCAAAGTATGGGACACTGGGAGGCTGGAGCGAAACATCGCACATCGTTCAAGGCAAACGCACAAACAGGGCACTGATGCAAGCATTACAGCGTTGTGCTTCGTTGAACACACTCACTCGTTTGTTAGTTGCGCAAGCGATGGTAGCATAAACGTGGTTCGCGTAGAATGTGTTCCAGTGGCCGGCACGGTTAAGTACCTGAGACTCCGAGTATTGCGCGAATTTCAACTTCCCAAAGGCGAGATGGCTATCTGGGCGGATCATTTCAAGGTAGAAGCCAATTCTACGTTGATTGTCGCAACTAATCGATCTCGTGTTCTTGCTATTGATCTGCGGACAATGACGATTATGTACACTCTGGAGAACCCAGTGCACCACGGAACTCCTACTTGCTTCGTGGTCGATAGGAAGCGACATTGGCTGCTTCTTGGTACTAGTCATGGCGTCGTCGATCTCTGGGATATAAGGTTCAAAGTTCGTCTGAAGGCATGGGGAATACCAGGCGCGACAGCTATCTATCGCATGTGCTTACATCCCACCAAAGGCAGAGGCAGGTGGGTCTGCATCGCAGGCGGGAGTGGGCAAGGAGAAGTCACCGTCTGGGACGTCGAGAAGACACAATGTCGGGAAGTCTATCGCGCTGGGGGAAGTAGAGATGGGCCAAAAGGATATGATCCTTGGCCTGTCGATGAAGATCGACCGGAGGGCATGCTTGGACGGTTTGCCACAGCTTTAGAGCCAAATGCTTCTACCAACGCGGACCGTGGTGTGCGAGCCATGATTGTTGGAACAGACAATCATGATGATAGCCGAGAGTCCAAGTATGGATTCATAATAACAGGAGGCTCAGATAAGAAGATCCGGTTCTGGGATGTTACTCGTGTGGAAAATTCTATGGTCGTGAGCGGACTTGATGGAGAGGAGATGAAGCCTACTTTCACCTCAGCACATCCTACAGCTTCTCTAACACTCAACACAGAAAGGATACCACGACCAGGCCCAACAGCTCCAAACGCAGGAGCCGGCTCACTTCGTTCGGCTTCGAGCAAAGGTTCCAGTAGCAGACCGCCAAGATCAACCGTGATCTCGCTTCAGCAACAACAATTATTGAAATCGCATTTGGACTCGATCCTGGATATTGCTTTACTGGAGTCGCCCTATGGAATGATGGTGTCGGTGGACAGGTCAGGCGTTGTATTCATCTTTCAATAAAGGATTTCAAGGCATTTGCAAGGCGTCGAGCAAGGAATGGGCATAGGAAATGCGGCGTCTGGTTAGATACAGAAGTGGAAGACTTGATTGCGATATTAAATTAATCAAGAATAGTAACATTCAATGTGAAAGAAATCTTTAAACATTTTGCATACCAGAATACCGTAAACCCTTTTGTACAATCGAATATGGGCAATCTTGAGATGAGAGCAATTGTCTCGTGAGTCGAGGCCTATTGCGTACTAGCGCATTTTGCCTAGTCGCCAATATTTTCAGAAATCTGGTGGAGGGGAAGCTTCAGCCTTGTCGCACTCACATCGCCAGCTACCTACAACCTCAATCTACAAGCGCATATGATCCTTGATTGTCCTTTTCAATCCAACTTGCCACAGTCAACAGGTAAAAAGCAATCGCCACGATGCGTCTCACAGCCGAGCTCATCCAATCCTCCCTCTCCTACCTCAATCCGCTCAAAGAGCGAGAATTAGACCTACGAGGTGCGTTCCCTGAAAAGGACTGATACTACACTTTGATGAGCTGAGTTGATATCAATTTTTCTACGTATCCAGGACATAAGATTCCCGCGATTGAGAACTTGGGTGTTGCCGGTGTAAGTCCTCCAATTCCTCTCACCTGCCTCGAAAACCAAGAAAAAGCCTGTAGGATATGAACTGATGAAGAATAGCCACACGATGCAATCGACTTTACAGACAACGATATCCAGCTCCTAGGCAACTTCCCCCTCTCGCCGCGATTACACACCCTCCTCCTCGCCCGGAATCGCATCTCGAGTATCCAGTCCTCACTCGCGAACTCGCTGCCGAATCTCACGACGTTGGTTTTGACGGCGAATAACTTTGCGGAATTGGCGGATTTGGATGTGTTGGGGACATTTCCGCGACTTACGCATTTGGTGTTGATGGAGAATCCGGTCACAAGAAAGGAGGTGGGTGATTTTGCTGTTCTTAGCTTGAGCGTAGACAGAGAAGATGAGGAATCAGTGCTGATTGAATATAGAACTATCGGTACTGGGTCTTGTGGAGATGCCCTGCTGTGAGATTTCTGGACTATACGAAGGTGAAGATGGTAGAGCGCGAGAAGGCAAAGGAGCTTTTCGGTACTGCTGCTGAGCCATCTGCTCTTGCTTCCAAGGTCAGTACTCTCTACGTTATGCTCCACACAATACTAATATGAGAAGATCATGGGCGTCAAATCTCGGACATTCGATATTCCAACAGCGAACGGCACATCAGCAACTTCGTCATCAAAGAACTACCGAGTCAAGCTCACAGACAAGGAACGAAAGAAGGTAGAAGAGCTTATTAGGAATGCCAAGAGCTTGCAAGACATTATCCGTCTAGAGAAGGAGCTCAATGAAGGACGAGTACCAGTCGGTGCGCAAGGTGCAGACGATGAGATGGAGGAATGATCTTCTGGTGTGCTCGGAGTGGTGCTTTGGCATTCAAACAAGCTTCAGCATAATTGGCGTTTACGGCACGACGATTGAAAAAGTACGGGCGTTTTTTCCTGGCTATTGAGCAACTCATCGATATCGATGTGGATATAGAAAAGTGGCTCTACTTGTTTGCACTAAGTAATCACATATAAATCTTCGTCCAAAGATGGCAACATGCATTGCAATTTCAAAGACGCGTGACCAGACCTGCTATGCACCCCATTTTCTACCGTACAAAGAGAAACCAGCAGAACGCCTAGGACCCGACAATGAATCAATCCATCTCCACATCCTGCGACGTTTCCTTTCCACTAAAAGCCCCCGCAGACCCAGCACTCGTCCTGTTACCCGCACCCCGACTCTCCATCTCCAACTGCGCATTTGGATCATCGTCATCATCCCCTACAGAACCAGAGATGCCATTCGTCCCATTCAATGTCGGCTTCTTGCCATCGAGAGTCGTTTGACCGGCTTCGATGGAGCTCTCGCCGTTGAGGGCTGCTCCTTTAGCGACCTGCTTTTCTTTGACGGCTTTGTACGGCACGGTTTGTGGGACTACATCTGAGAGGAACTCGAGATTGTCGTTGCGTGCTACGGCATGTGCTGGTCACTGTTAGTCGAGGTCGAAAGGAAAGGGGGAGGAAGATGTACCGAGATCTCGGTATTGGATGTTGCGGCGGGGTTTTCGCTCGGATCTGACGACGTTGTGGGCTTGTTCTGCTAGGTACTGGACGAACATCTCCTGTTTGACAGTAAGTGGAGAAGGGAAAAGGGGGTGGGGGGAACATACCGTCGCAAGGGTGATAACGAAGGACGCGGCTGATGAAGACGCGTTGATGTCTTGGTCGACTTGCATCATCTTCTTGACTCTTGATACTATGGAATATTAGGACATGCCAGCATAATAAGTTAGTGTTGCACTTACAAGGAAGTTGTGTGGTTCCTGTGGGTTCCTTTTCGCTCCGGCGAGGAATGGCGGTAGTGTTGTAAGGCATTGTGAGAGGTTCTTATCGAACTTGCGTTGAGACGCTAACAAAGATGGAGATGGATGGCAGCGGTATTCTTTCAGAAACTAGCGTTAGTTGACAACGACAAAAGGGATGGGACGAAAGCGAAGTGTTTAGGCTTGAAGTGTCAAAATCACGAGCTGCCTCCAAAGCATGACGCTAAGGATGTAGCAAGCGAGGAACTCTTGTGTAAAAGGAGAGGTTGACAACGCGTGCTAGACACAAAGGCTCAAAAGAGACAGTGAAAATGCTACAGAAGAGCTAGTACACTTGTACTTTGAGTGATTCTGCCAAGTGACTATATAGCCTACCTCTTGTTTCCCACTGAACCGATATAAACCCTCCCACACGAGGAGAGAACTTTTCTAGAACCAATAGTATCTGTCAATAGGGGCTAGAACGAGCTGTTAGCGAAACTACTGTGGTTGCAAGGATTTCAGATCATACTTGAGTAAGAATCGACACGTGCCGGTCTGTATGAGAGGATGTTGGTGATTCAGAGTAATCTGCGTTTGCAGAGAGAAACGCGTCGTGTGCAGGAGCAGATGGTCTGCACGCGAAGACATCTGCACGTGACTCGTCCTTGGCTCCTTCTCGCTAATTTTCGCGATGTAAAGAAGACATCGCAAAGAATGCAAAGCCGGATCAGGACTGTCTAGTTTCATTCTATCTAACATGGCCTTACTTTATGGTTAACAAGCATTGCGTACATCTTACAGAAGGAAAGACCATCAATAATCCCCGTTGAAGCCTCAGGCACTGTTTTAAAGAGATCCTTTTATTGCCCCTGAGTTCTGTCATTTCAGATACTGGTCGCATAGCAGCGGTGAAGTCCTCAGCACTTGTCAAGTGGCACAAGAAGCGATCGCGAAATATCTCAGACATCACTTTCCTGTCAACCCTGATGTGGAAAACTGGCGTCCAATATCTATGTCTCGTGGCGATCTTTTGGTCAGTGGCTTGCAAGCAGCGGTCTCAGACCGGACAAATTGACAGCTTGGAGACTTGAGAGCTAAAGTATCGAGCCTTGCACCCAGATCCATTTTTTGACAATCTCGTGCACATCGACCCACGGAGGACGTCTTGAGACCTTTTCATACTGATGCACACAAAACATTCTGGACCTCAGACATGGTCAGAGACTGGACCACGCTACACCATACCTATGATGGTTTGGTAGTCCAACCGAGTGCTACGAAGCCTGACGGCATCGTTGACAAGGCACAATGTATTGCAGATCTTCGTGCTCACCTCGACAATCTATATCCAAGTACCAGAAAAATTGCAAGCGCTGTGCCTGGATCCAGACTCCCTGACCACATCTTTCATGATTATATTGTTAACGTCGTCTGTGACCAATATACCCTGAATGTTCGAGCATATTCCGTACTATTCTTCTGTAAGCATCTCATCTGGGAATTAATTCAAGTTACTAAATGATTTAGTGGGACCACCGCCCGACGATCTTGCAGCGTATGCCAGTCATTAGAACTTCATTAGAAGTATCTACACATTCAGCGTATCAAATGTCACTCGGGGTGGAAGTGACGCCTGGGACAATTGTGCTCAACGGCAAGCACAAAGAGTTCTTTGCAGAGCCTAAGTCCCGATTACGCTTCCTTTCCTTGCCAAAAATCAAGCTCAGCCAATAATCGTTGACCCAGCATGGACTCCTTCGCAACCCGGTGATTTCTCCCCACACGAGGTAGATGTAATTCTGGATTCAGAGTTGCATTGGAGATATGTCGAAATGGGTGGCAGGGAAGTCCATGCAGACGAGCTTCCAAAGACTAGGACTACATGGAATCCGTCATTGTCACGATGTGGCTAGAGCTCCTGGATGTACGTATCCAAGCTATGGCAGATATGAGAAGCTTCCACATACTACAGAGAAGAATGGACGTCGGGCAGGCTTCATTCGCACATCTCGCGATCTTATCTGTGAGAATTAATTCTTGTTGTGGTGCTCGTTAGCTGAGTGTTGTTCCAAAATAAGCATCGGCTAGTGTTCGGGTCTTGATCATGTCACTTCCAACTCTTGTTAATCGGATGCTAGCCTTGCGAGAATTAGCCCTCAAATCTGCCTGCGCGATCCGAGTTTTTTTTTCAATGACACCTTACGAAAGAGGTTGGCACTCAGCCACTGGAATCGTACCTCGGATTAAAATGAGGCTATGCAAATCTAGGTAAAGAGGCACAGTCTGAACGGCTTGGCGAGAAGTGCACCAACATCTTTTAGACACAACACACTCGACAGACTATAAGTTGGGGTTTAATGGGTACGAAAAAGCTCGCAAATGTCTCCACTTCTCTGCAGGATGTCTCATTCGCTTGATGATGACTTGCTCGCGCTCATGACGAGGGCATGGAAGGTGAAGTCTTGGTGTTACCTACCTGGAGCTAGACGGAGCTAACGCTTTATAGCTATATAGAGTACTGTCAAAAGGCCCCGTCCAACTTCAACCATTGTGTACTGCTCTCCTTTCCATGATTGCTGGCCTAAGGGAGATTCATGAGATTATCTCCGATCATCAAATATCCAACGTTGACGAGGCCACGCTTCTCAACTTGAATGGTCGATGCGAGGCTGTCTTGTCTTCGGCTGAGAACAACTTGAAAAAACTGAAGTCTAAAGAGACGGATATCCTAGGCTTGACTAATATCCAAATTCAGATTGAAGATCAAACAAATGAGCTGTCTTCTGTTCTCGAAGGTTTACAAGAAAGGTGCGTAATACTTGAATCATTTAAGTATATTCAGTACCTCATGACACGATTTGCATGCACTTCCTACTGTTGCTTACTCTGGGTGATTTCCTCTATCACATTTGCGGCTACGCTGTTCAGCAAGTTTTACCTTCGAGGATCATCTGAAGCCTGAAGTCATCGTGATTCAAGTTATCATTTAACGGGCCTTGACTTGAGGTCGAGATGATAGATCTATGGCAAGCCTGTCTCCAAATAAGATGTCAAGAGACGGATTATTGCGTACTTGAGATTATTCATAATTCCCAGCTGATGAGCATCACAAGATATTCGAGACAATGTCTCATTCGGTCACTCGAGCAGCTCCTAGCATCGAGACCTCAGGACCAGGTCCAGGAAATCACAGCAGACTGGCCTATACTGGCTAAGGAATTACATCAGCCCGGATTGTCCTCGCAAAGTATAGACGAAGAATTCTTCTTCATTAATGCCTTCCTGGAGGACAAACTGTTACGTTTTCAGGATGAAGAAGAGGAAGAGCAGCTACCAGACTATAGTCCTGGTCGCAGACCAGGAACTGTTGCTGAAAAAGTAAAAAGTCTTGAACAGACCACAAGACTCATGTCACTCAGCGAGGAAATCGTTGAGCTAGTTGCAACCTCATCAAAAGCATCTCCTCCGCCATACACGTTTGAGAGCAACGCCGATCAAGACATGGACGAAGAGTTAGTAAAGAACATCCATCGAGCAATAGAACAAGAATCCCGGCGCCGCTTTCTCAGACACGAACGTTCTCCGACAGCTGGACCACAACCTTACTCATGGCTTCCCCTCGACTTACAGACCAGATACTCAGGAGTGAAATATCTAGCTCCCTTACGGGCTGACTGCTTCACTGTCATGGCCTATGAGACAGTTCCCCAATGCACGGAACAAATAGCTCGACTCACAAATCTGTTCCGGGTATCGTTTGACCACAAATTACAGGTAGCCACAGAAAAGGTGATCCAGGAAGCACCCGCAACATTGAAAGTCTTGTCCATTGCAATCTCAAAATTCATCCTATTACAAGACCAAAGAACAGCCAACGGCAGCTTCAGCGATCTGGACAGTTTAGAATACGAACACAGCACAATCCTCGTTGAAAGCAAAACCGTTTCCAGTTTCCCCCACGAAGAGTTCGAGCTCGCTCGAAAAAGTTACTACAACCTCCTAACCTACATCATGGGAATGCTCCACATATTCACAGACATTTTCCAAGGACGAACCTATCTAATCCGTCCACCAAACGAGCTCGACTTCCTCTGGCAAGACAAGAAAATGGCATCCCGCACAGCCTGGATCGAGAAACAACTCACGGCCTGGGACAAAGTCGAAAACGCAGTGCTTCACTGCCGATCTTTGCGTGCCCTCCAACCTGGACTTCGAGACCAAGCCATCAAGGTGCTCAACGATTGGAAAGAAGCTGAAACTATCCTCTCGGGAAGATCTGGAGATGAGATGATCACTTTGACAGTCATTTCCGTCTCGGGCTTGCCAAAACCAACGCTAGGTCAACTGTCAACTTTTGTGCGTGTCGTGTTTTACGGCCCGAACATCCTCGGTGGTGCGTACCGGCTCTTCGACGTCAAGACCGACGTTTCTGCGAAGACTCAGTTCCCGGTTTGGAATAAGAGTTTTCTGATGAGTGTACCAGAGGGTGCTAGGTTTGTCGATCTAGAGCTTTATCATCGGGCTCTGGGGATGGATAATTATCTTGGGAGGAGGAGGTTGGAGTTCTCGTTTGTGCCGGGAGTGGAGGCTACGTTTGCGAACCGGAGTTTGATGCATGGGATTGATGGTAAGTCTGCCATTTACTATGTTTGTGATACGGTGCTAAGATGAATGATAGAGGAAATTGATTTTCCAATGAAGCTTGCTACTGATGCGAAAGGGAAGGGGAAAGCTGTTATGATCACGGTTGGCTTGAAGTGGCAGGGCCGCTTTGGTAGAGTTGAAGAGATGGGATTGCCCTCACAACCACCCGGCAAGATGTTCAGGTCTGATATTGTGGGAATTCCTGTATAGATAATGAATTCAGTGTCCCAACATAACCGCACAGCAATGTCGAGGCAGGTAATTTGATCTTTCTTGTGTCCCGACATCCAGATATCAGTCATGGACCATAGCATCACATTGTAATCGCATGTGCTTTTCCTGCCCTCGTCCCATCATGTAGATTCCACTTTTTAATTCGCACCAGCCGCCTTCTCAGCATGACCCTTCTTGATCCCAAGTAAAGTCGCCTCGTGATCCAAAATATAAGGAAGCTCATCCTTGAGACTTCGGCTCTTGGGTGTCCATCCTAGATACTTTCTTGCCCGTTTGGCGTAGCCTTTGGAGTTCAGGCCCCATGTTTGGCCTTGGAACCCTGTTACCTTTTCGACTTCTTCGCGGCTCATTGGCTGAGGTGTGTGTTAGTAATTGTTACAAACATAGTGAAAAGAAGAGTGTGGGGACCAAGAGCAAGTAATTATAGAGTGAGAATGTCCGAGCCACGGTACCGAACTTTTGATCAATAGCTCTGGAAGAGAGCAGTACATTTTGAGCTTCAGAAGTCATCCACTCGGGTAGGACATTTTTGCTATGATAATGTCGCAGACAGCAACAGACTACCATTCAGTGAATCCATGACATTCAGACCAACAATTTCAACTTTGAAAGTGTTTAACCCAGATCCCCACTTATATAACCAGCGAGTCATCAACTGAGGACGGACACCAACATTCTTGTGGCACTAGAATTCAGACTTAAAGGAAGAGTAGTACATACCTTAACATCCTTTTCTTTAATATAACCCTTCTCAAACGCCACCTCTCCAATCTGCTTCGACAACTCACCCCACACATGATGGCCATTCTCCGCCAAAAAGTACCCCTCCTTGCCCCACAACTTCGAATCTAGCTCCTTGTCGCCCTTGAGTGCCGCATCAACAAGCAATACGAAAAGATCGCTCAAATCGTGAACATGGACATTATCCCATTCCGTCAAGCCCTTACCCACCATGGGCGCCTGACCTTCGTTCAACGTGAGCTTACATAAGTAATAAACCTGTCTGCTGTCTTTATTTCCCGGTCCTCTTCCTGGTCCATAGATCGTAGGCGGACAAACGATGGCTGTCTTCACACTGTCAGATCCGGCTGCTAAGACGATTTTGTCGACATCACGATGAAAGGCTTTGTCCGGAAGGCCCGTAAGACCGGTAACATTTTCAAGATCGTCGTAAGGTGGCTGGGATGGAGGTTCGCCGAACTTGCCATCTTCGACATCTTTCCAAATTAAGATACCGGTTCCTGAGGTGTGGAGCCAGTAGCCTGGGTTTTCCTTCGTGTGACCCTTTGCAAGACCGGCGGCGATTGCTTTCGCTGCTCTTGGGTGATCTGATGAATCGGCCGTGTCTATTCCTTGCTGTTAGGATTGAAGGACAGAGATTGGTGAGAGGTGATTTACGAATGACAATGTCTGCTCTGGCACTTTCTTCCTCGATGAGCTCGGAATCATCAAGTGTTCCGTAGACGAGTCTTATTTTAGGATACACAGCTGCTACTGGTGCTCCCTTGTCCGAGTTTCGGACGATTGCGGTATATTCGTAGTCTGGATGAGCCTTCTCTAGGGCGTAGAGTGCATCGCCTCCAATGTAACCTGTTACTCCTGTTCTGGTAATGAGATGTGTTAGCTGCCGTGGTTGCGTCAGATGATTTACGCCAAATGAGTAGATTGTCATACATGAAGATCTTTGGTGCCATATTGTTTGTACAACCGTGAGATTGTTTTTCTCCAATGGTTAGGGGATTGAATGAGAATTAGGAGGGGAGGTTTTACAATGCTGAATGGTGGGGTAGTGCAAAAGCGGGGCAATGACGATTTGTACTTGAGAGCAAGGCTTTGTAAGCAAGATAGTATCTCCGAATTCAAGATCTTCTCGATACAATCTTACAATAATAATATGTATCATACTTTACACTCAGATGATCGCCAAAAGCACACAAAACACAGTCTTGATTCTCAAGTGTTGGTTGATCAATGTCGATCCGGTGCTCGCCTGATCATTCTTCCTACCCGAGCCTCACTTATCCATACCACTGGGACAAGCTCGCCGAATTCTTTCAACTATTCTCAATTAGTCCAGATTGCGAACCATGTACTGAAGTCAGCTTACCATCGACAGCATACCCATTACGTTCCTATGATGTGCTGCTTCGCCGAAGGTCCATCCTGAATGACCATTAGCAAAATCCAACGAAACAAGCTATGAATCTCCCAAATCGACTGTGACATTCATGGAGCAGCAATGTCGTTCACAACAGTTACACATACAATGGGATGACAAGTGCGAACAGAACTTACCCAATGACTTTGATGGCGGCGTATAATTTGCCTGTACTTCCACCCACTCCAAACAATTTCGATCGCACCAGATCTCCAATAACATTTCCACAGTCTTTAACCATGCCGCTCCTGACATCAGATTCCGCTTATGATTCAAATTCATTTTCAGGACCACGAATCGCAGGTTCTGCAGTGTGACTTCACTAATGAACTGTGTGATATCCATTGGCTTTGTGAGCTGTGGAACATACGGAGGTGGCGAGTCCAGTATCAACGGCTTCCTGTACAGGACATCAAGGGCCTCAGAACTGATCTGGCGGTTGACGAGCAGAATCGATGGAGTGCTCAGAGGCGCAACATGAGGCCTCGCGATTCTGCAGAGAGGGGCCCATTTTGAGATCTCTTGGTCTTGGAGGAAGTCCTGATACTCGTGAACTCTTGCAAACAGATCTGTAAAATTGGGCCAGTCGACACTGTAGTTGTAAATTTCATTTCTAATCTCTGGTGGAAGAGATAAGAGAGGAGATGGCGACTTGGCAGTAGAGAGAGTCTTGTCTTGGTACTTGGGGATCATTTTCGTTCAAGGATTGAGAAGAAGGTAGAGCAGAGAATGACAAGAAATGACTTATGGGTATAGAGGCACAGAAAGAATCGAGCTGAGAGAGGAAGAAAGAGAAGAGAAACCAGACTATACCTCCACGGCGATTATATGTTGAGTTGTGAGTGGTGTTACCAGATACCACATGAGTGGGTTTCCTCCCCGAAAAGCCATTTAGCGGAGGTTTCGGGCTTTCAAATCTGAGATGTCAAGAGATGGAGTCCGGCAGACCACAGGACCATTGAGCGAAGGACTAAACCCTGTTGAAATCTAGCTCCTGAAGCTTAATCTGGGGTAAAACGCCGACTTCCCGAGTGCCGCTCTCAACGCCGGAACAATCTTTCACTTCCAGCCGGCACTCAGGTACTAACGACTTAATACAGATGGTAATTGGTCCTCGTTTCATGTTTATGTCAGACTCATCACCTCGCTTCGGGACTCGAATGAGAGTGCATTGCGCATTTGGGGATCAGATCAGCCTCCATTTTATCCTCCATGCAGGAGCAGCAGACTTAGACTTTGGCACTCCACTCCACTCATTCAACCAAACACACGGCGGTACCCCTCACTCATTCTTGGTCTTCCCTGCCTCGTCTGAGTGAAGTGGATAATAATTTTCCTGCAATACCATTCGCATCCGCACTCTGCTCGAATCGGATCTTCCTGGGACCTGGGCTTCTTGGCTATTCTATTCTATCCCGACGAAATAAATATGTGGCAACTACCTTTTCTCAAGCTTCACCTCCTCCCTCCCTTCCTACGCTCCTTTGGATATCCACTCGTCGAGACCGCGGACAATTTTCAACCCAATATGCGTTTCTCACAGATCACGTTGGGCGGATTCGTGACATCAGCAGCTGCCACGAACCTGTGGGTTTCTTCATACGGAGGAAATATTACCTCGGTGCAATTAAGTCAGTCGCCGAATGGAACATATTCGCTGAAGCAAACGTCGTTCAATGATGAATCATCCGATCCCTCTTGGTTGACCAAGGATCAGTACAATGACATAGTCTATTGTGTTGATGAGGGATTCGACAGCCCCAACGGCACCATCTCTTCGTACAAAACGTCGCCCTCAGGTGAACTTACCTTAATTGACCGCCACATCACCATTTCTGGCCCCGTAGCCTCAGTTCCCTACAATGGTGGGAAGGCACTCGTAGTTGCCCATTAGTCAGGTCCATAGTTCCTGTTCCTGGAATATTTGCTAACATGTCTCTCTAGTTCCGGGTCAGGAGTCAGTAGTTGGACCATCAACGCCAATGGCTCACTTACCCCCATGCAATCATTCCTTTTCACGCTCGCAAAGCTTGGCCCCAACCCAGCCCGCCAGGAAGCTCCCCATCCACACGAGGTGATTCTCGACCCAACAGATTCTTACGTCGCGGTCCCAGATTTGGGAGCAGATCTCGTCAGAATCTTCCACATCGACCCCCAAACCTCTCTTCTTACAGCTCAAACGCCCATCTCCGTCCCCCCTGGCTCTGGTCCTCGCCACGGAACATTCTTAAAGACAGACTCTGGAGCTACCTACTTTTACCTAATCTCCGAACTTGCCAACACTGTCGCTTCCTACAACGTATCTTACACACCTACCGGACTTAACTTCTCAACAATCGCCATCTCAGGAACGTATGGAAACCAAACCACTCCCGCCGGGGCCGCATCCGCTGAAGCCATCCTATCCCCCGACCACAAATTCTTGCTCACATCCGCAAGAAACGCAACTCTGTTCAGCCTCAAGAACTTTGACCCGAACAATAGCACCAAGATCCCCTCGGACACGCTACAAACATGGGCCATCGACGACACTACCGGCAAGTTGACTTTCAAGCAACTCTCTCCATCAGGAGGATTCTACCCTCGTCAATTCTCTGTGAATAAGAATGGGACTATGGCTGCTGTTGGACTTCAAGAGGATGCGAGAGTGGTGATTGTGAGTAGGAATACGACGACGGGGCTCTATGGAGGGTTTTTGGCGAGTATCAATCTGCCTGGTGAGATCACGAGTGTTATTTGGGATGAGTAAATGCTCTGATAGATTCGTCCGCTATCTTGAAGATAGGAGATAGAAGAAGGTTGGATAAACTGATAGATCTATCATAGATAATCAGACAAAAGTTTGGACATCGCTAGGATGTTAATGACCCGAAATATCACAGATATTATGCTCGTTAAAAACTTCTATTAAATTGCAGACTACCGATCTTCTAACTCCACCCCATCATCAATATCGTCCTCTGTACCATCCATAACATAACTAGTAGGTCCCGTCTGTCCCCTCGGCGGCCTAGGAATATCCCTTTCCCTCCCATGATCTCCGCCAATTCTGATCCTGCCTTTACTGACATCACTAATTCTCTCACTAACCCATATCGCGCTCAATTTTAGCACACCCCAAAGTCTCTCTTGGCTCTCAATCAAATGTCTGTCATCCCTAGGGTTCTCACTAGCCTCAACCTTGAACTGATATTTCAGACAATCTTTGACTGTCACTAAACCAGCCAATTTACCGTGGTATTCGATGAGGATTACTCGAGGACCTATCTTGCGGAACAGTTCCATGACTGTTTCGAGTGGAAGACGCGGATGAGCGGTGACGGGAGTGGCATCTATGAAGCGGCTGAAGTCCACAGAAGCAGATGCCATACCCTCGAATGTGGAGGAAGTAACAGCCGGTGTTGTAGGTTGTGATTGGCCAATAGTTGTTGGAGGACTAAAATAGCATTTTGCTGTGGAAGTGATGGAACGGTCTCTCTTGACGCGATCGATGGCGTACCGGAGCTCAGTCCGTCCAATGTATCCTACTAAGATTTTCGAGGCACAGTCTTCCACGATTGGGAAGCCTTGGTATTTGTCTTCGGCAAGAAGTTTTTCGAGGTTCTTCATAGTGAGACCAGTCGTGGGTAGTGCTACGATGTCGCCAGTCATGACTTGTGAGACGGGTACACCGAATGTGTGGTCTTCTTTGTTGTCGAGGAAAGGGAAACCGTTGAACCAGATCATTCTGTCCGCAATTCCACCTTTGCCAAAGAGCTCACTCACTGCTTTTGTGACGCCCACAACGATCATTGTTGGCAAAATGTATGTCAGAGCTCCAGTTAATTCGAACATTATGACAACAACAGATACCGTGATATGCATGATACCACTCAACGCAGCAGCAGCCCCAAGAAAAGCGTAGGTTCCTGGCGTTATGCATGGCACATCTGGTTGACATGCTGAGAAGAAAACAGATCCTGGATATGCTTCGTGAAGTGCTTGTACCAGTATACCAACGGTACGGCCAAAAGATGCTCCGATAGCCATAGATGGGACGAAAATGCCAGCCGGGACCTTGCATCCATAAGAGATGATAACCAGGAACACCCTTAGAATCGTTGCTATGGTCAACGAGAAAACCATACTCCATCTGTTCTCTTTGTCGCATAGTCCATTGTAATCCTCAGCTCCTTCGCATTCCAAAAATAGAATCTCCATACTCTCAGTCATATCGATTCTCAGAAACATATTCGGGTAGCAGATTATCGCGGTTCCGGTAGCCAACAATGTCGCTTCTAGAATCGCATACTTTGTGAGATATTTCTTTCGAAAAGCTTGAGCCCTCAGATTCCATTTGATCACGAATGCACCGTATAAGCCTCCAAATATACCAATGATGATATAGAAGACAACCTCAAAGAAATGCCATGATCGATCATAATGAACTTGGAACATGACCAACTGACCCGTTCGGAATGGATTCATGGCTGCGAGTACAGCTGTCGCGACTAAGGCGCAGAAATAGCTTCGCCACATGGTCTTCAATGGAAAGTACGACGACATTTCTTCGAGTGAGAATAACACTCCTCCGATCGGACTGCCAAAGGCTACAGCTACTCCTGCTGCAGCACAGGCACTGAGAATTTCTCTCGTTTTCGAAGCATTTCGCTTATACTTTTCGAAAAGTCTTGAAATCACATTTCCTGTACACACAGCGTAGTGTACGCTAGGTCCCTCTTTGCCAACGGAAAGGCCAGAGGCAATGGCCAGAGGTAGAGCAATGGACTTGATGACGAGGGTCCAGAATCCTAGGAAGCCTTTCATAACGAATCCAGCAATGATACATTTGATCTCTGAGATTCCAGATCCGGCTGCATATGGCGCAAAAGATCTGACCAAACTGGCCGAAGTTAAAGCAAATATTGTCTGTCCTCAATTAGCCAACATATACTCAAAAGTTGGGGCTCCATACAGCAAACATAATATATAATACATAGTTGACCAGCGAGAGAGAACTCCATCGATGCCAGTCGTCACAACCTGTCTAATGTAAGCAAGTGGTTGCCTGGCATAGATTCCCTGCATACCATTATCTTCTCCCCAGCAGCAGAAACTCTCATTCAGATAAAATGCTGTCTTGCAATACCCTAACTTCACATCTGAGAGCCATTCCGTAATAATGTTGAGGAAAGCAGCATTCAACCCGATCGCGGCACCTATGCAAGGTTAGATATGCTTTTGGAATCGTTATTACGCATTCACCAATCAATGTAACCACTATCCATCCTTGGGCGGCTTCATAAGACTCCCATATTTTGTATCTCCATCCTGCATGGCCTCCTCTTTCGAAGAAACCAGCAGTCTCTTTTCGCCGAACCTTTCTCCTCAATTGCTCTTTTGCAGCATCCTGGACCCAATCTGGGAGCACTTATCAGCAAGCTGACTTCGACTCGTGAAGCATTCGAGCGTACCTATTGTTGTGAAGTCCTGCCAGCTGTTAAAACTTTCTGGTCATATAAAGTATGCAGACTTATGACGTACCTCATATCTCTTGATTTCGTCAATCTCCTCCTCTATTTGATGTTCTGCTGCAGTTGGCGCAGCCCCAGCCTCGCCTTGCTCAACACTTGATACCGCGAAAGATAATCGGGAAGCGAATGATCCTCGGGACTGGAGACGCGGAGCTGGCAGTGATATGGATGATGATCGAGAATTCATTGCCCTCTTCTTGGTAAACGCATTTCCGGAGCTTCTCAGTCGTCCGAGGCACTCTTGGGGATTTGTTTGAGATGTTCGTGAGCTTGAAGCCTGGAACAGCAACTCGATTGCGACAATAGAATGCGGCCGCTAGCTTACGATCGGGCTTTCAGGGGTGTCTTCGGTTTCCGATACAGAAGACTTGAATCTCTTCATCATTTTTTTGGTTCACCAGCTCACCTCGAAGCATTTCGTTGTGGACTCTAGGCAATTCTATATCACGAATCGAGCTCGAACACTTGGCCCGGATGTAGGCGTTGGGCACTATCGCATCACTTAGAGTATCTTGAGAGGACAGGTGGAATCGAGCCTACGAGTGTGCCTCGATTCCCATGTTCTTATTGCTGTTGTCAGTACTTCAGACGAATGAATCTGTCCCAACTTTCGTGTTCTTGGCGGTTTTCATCCAACGTCATGGTCGGCGTTGCCAAGTGCAGTCGGGGGGAATTTCTTTTGGGACGATTGTCTTACAAGTCGATTCGAAATTCGCTCTTGTCTTTTGATCCCTTGTCTGATTTAGAGGCAAAGCCTTTGACAGTGGAAAAGGTAAGGCCGGGACAGAGACACCCCGCGGCAAACATCCTCGGGCGCGTTTGAGAGTGATCACGACCGCGTGGAAGATGGTGGCTCTCAATCGCAAAGAATCCTGGTGGCGTCGTTTTGGACCATTAGAGTCCAAAGAATAATACCTAGGTAATTGCTACTCTTTTATCAAACGAGCGAGCCAGAGAACTGTTGATAGATGCCACAAAATCGTCCTCGGAAGTGTAGCTCGCTGAATGTTACCGCAAAGGTCCATAAGCCTGCATGGTCACTTTGACCGAGTCTTTTCGACGGAGTATGCCATGGTTTGATGCCACATTTTCCATTGGATAGACGATGATTTCCCATACTACGTATCTTCTCACGTACTTTGGCTTCTATCGGCGTCAATGTCCCAGCATAATTGGTTGAATACGGAGTTGGCTTATCTTTGTACTAAATGCTACGCCTCTTACCACAACACGCTGGTATATATAGCAGACAATACATTGCTTGATTTATCTCAGTTACTTCTTGCATCGACGGCGCTGGGTCTGAGCTCGCTATCAGCTTGAACTTCTTCCCATAAAATGCAGGAACAGGCAGTGAATATTGTGGTGGTGAGTGCCTTGTTAGTCTACAGCATCTTGCTAGTCTAAATCTGTGCCTCTAGGTTGGAGGCTCCTTGGCTGGCCTGTTGCATGCAATCATCTTCAAGCATTTGGGTCATAAGGTCCACGTTCTAGAAAAATCGTCCCAATCGACCCTGCAGAGTCAAGCAGCTGGGCTTGGAGCGGGCCCAGAAGTGCGGAAGCTCATCGACGAATATATCAAAACTGATAAACCGTACGCGACGACTTCAAGCCTCCTCGAAATTGTCAATAGCCAGGGAGATATCATCAATTCGATTCCCACCGGTGAGGTCATATACCTGACCACCTGGAGCTTGCTCTACAATATGCTCAAAGCTCACCTGCTCGGTGATAGGACGACGCCGCCAGCAACGTATGAGACGGAAAAAACTGTGCGCGATGTGAACTACGATGGAAACAAGGTTACTGTAACCTACTCCGACACGAATACGGGAATTTCGAATGTTCTCCAAGCCGATCTTGTCATTGCAGCTGATGGTGCACATTCCTCAGTCCGAGCAACCGTCTTACCAGATGTGCATCCAAAATATGCTGGCTATGTTACGTGGAGAGGTGCTGTGCCAGAGGCTTCAGTCTCGGAAGCCTCAAGAGAGGTTCTGGAAAATAGAGTCATCATTTTTCGAACGGAGAAAGGCTACACAATATCGCAAGAATACTTCGAAGCATGTGAGACTGAAATATTGATAGTATCAGATATCACGTACCTTCGGAAAGCGGAAGTATAGCGGCTGGAGAACATCAATTCATTTGGATTTGGTACGAGATGCTCGAGGAGAATTCCGAAGAGTTTCGTGAGACTTTTACGGATATTACTGGAGTCACTCGTTTGACGACTGTTCCTCGAGGCAAGATGAACCCCACAGTCTGGGTCAAAAGACAAGCCAGTGGTGCAACACTCAGCGCGCCATTTGCAGAGCTCCTCAGCAAGACTTCAGATCCATTCGTCTCCGCCATACGGGACTTCGTTTCGCCCAAAGCAGTGATTTATGATGGTAAATTGCTGCTTGTTGGAGATGCGTTTGCGTTGTTTCGTCCTCATCTTGGTGCAAGCACAAATCAAGCTGCAAAGCAAGCCGATGGTCTGGTAGATGTATTCATGGGAAAAGGAAATCTGGCAGAATGGGAGAAGGCATCCGTAGAGTATGCAACGAGAACCAGCGCTACCAGCAATGCTTTAGGAGAATATTGCTTTACGGGCAATGTCCCCGGCAGACTGAGTACTGCTATCCAGCCCGACAAGAAATCTCCATAGATCTCAGTGTGCATTTCCCATGGATAGCAGTGTAGGTTCTTGAAGGGATAAAGGCTTCTAACGCGCGAACAAGATAAGGCAACATAATATAGTTAGTTGATCAACTTCTGGCTTTTTGTTTTGATCCTCGTCTATGCTCCTTTCTCCCCTTGCAATACTCTTTCACCTCTTCTGTATACTTCCAGTAACATACAAAGACTACCAATCACCTTGCCTCTGATTGACGATTAGACGAAAATCCAGAAGGCTGGACATAACACTTGACATGTCTACCTCACCACCTCACGATACTTACCTAGGTACCTTTTCAACAGAAACCAACACATCGCAAAGGCGTGCGATACAATAGATAAGCTTCTCTAGTGATGATCGCCTTCGGCTTAGTTGCCCCCGGATTTTCACAACTGGGCTTGCAGTGGCGTTCGGAGCAACATGGAGTGAACATGGGCCGTTAGCTCGGTTTCCTTCCCCCTTTCAGCGCTCGGAAGGCGCACCCCACCTTTGCTAAGTGCACTACGTATGCAACCTCACACCTTGCTCGCCACTTGAAAAGCTCAACGTAAGTAAATGTATGAGGGAGCTTACCTTTTCAACACGACGTATTGATGCAAAGGCGCAGGCAAGTCAGTCGAGATGGTTCGACAGCAAGTGCTTGCTGCTGAACGCCCTTTTCCAAACAAAAATAATGAGGTAAGTTCGACATATCAAGTTTCTCATGATAGGCATCAAAAGTTTGATGTCGTGTGGCGTCTACACATTGGCTATATAAGCCTACCGTTCCATCAGAGTCAATATATAATTGCAAACATCGAAGAACCACCTTGTACTGTATCTTCCAATTTCCCAATATTCAAAATGTCTAGCTCGCTTGCCAACCCGTCGTGCTATTTATATGGCCCTGGAGATGCGAGAATTGAGGAGAGTGTATATCCAACAATCGAAGATCCACACGATGTCGTCGTACGCATAGCTTATGTCGGGGTTTGTGGCAGTGATGTGAGTTCCTCTGATCTCTTCTGCCTGCCCATCCTAACAAATTACTAGGTTCACTTCTGGTCTCATGGCGGAATCGTCAACAAAGTCAGTGAGACGAACCCTATCATCATGGGCCATGAAGCATCTGGCATCGTCCATGAAATTGGCTCAGCAGTCTCAACCCTCAAGATTGGGGACAAAGTTGCCATCGAACCAGGTCAGCCGTGTCGTCGTTGCAAAGCTTGTAAGGCTGGTCATTACAACCTTTGCTCGACGATGAAATTCGCAGCTGATCCCCCGCACTCCCATGGAGCACTCAGGAGGTACTTCAAGATGCCCGAAGATTACTGTTACAAGTTGCCAAGTTCAATGGGTCTGGATGAAGGTGTACTCGTTGAACCTTTAGCTGTTGCAGTCCACGTTGCTCGTCTAGCTGAAATCAAAGCCGGGCAAGACGTCGTGGTCTTTGGAGCTGGGACTGTTGGATTCCTCTGTGCAGCTGTTGCGAAAGCCATGGGAGCGAAGAAAATCATCTCTGTGGATGTTAATGGGTCTCGCTTGAAATTCGCAAAGAAGTTTGCAGCGACTGGGACTTTCCTTCCTTCTCGCGAGGATTCTGCAGAAGATTCAGCACGCAAGATCATCGAAGAGAATGGATTGGATGAGGGTGCTGATGCAGTTCTTGAAGCTACCGGAGTTGAGATCTGCATTGAGACAGGAATCTATACTGCAAAGCGTGGTGGCACTTTCATCCAAGCTGGGCTTGGAAAGTCCAAGATTCAGTTTCCTATTGTGAAATTGTCGGAGAAAGAGATTAACATGAAAGGATGTTTCCGGTACAACGCTGGAGATTATGAGTTGGCCATGCATTTCCTGGAATCTGGGAAGATATCTGTCAAGGAGCTGATTAGCAGCGAGGAGCCATTTGAGCGTGCCACATATGCGTGGGATAAGACGAAGCGTGGGGAAGGCATTAAGAATCTGATTCGAGGACCACAGGATTGAATGCTTATACTTCAAGTATGACTTTCTCCGTTCTCCGACTGGATGGATCGGCATAGATATAGACCGCATTATCTAGCAGCGATCTCTGCCAAAGCACAAGCTCAACGCCATAAGTCACGGGAGATCGTCAAGCACCACAATAGCGATCATCGATAGCTCAAACTTAGATTAAATTTATATACTTACTTCTCTTTCTACTTTTGATAATCAAACCAGCAATAATTAGAGGAAATGGACTCATCCACGTACAACATTCCAACCAAACAACTCTTCACATTGCAAGAGCGCACCATCTTGGGCACGAATCCTACCCCGCTACCCCACCATCATAAGCTTACACCACACAGTGACCGGCGGACTTGGAGGAGTCGGCGCACCTGTCGTCGATTCAATACTCGAATCAGGCGGAGATGTAGTTTGTCTAGACCTGCCTCCTAACCCAGACAATCTCAGTACTCCCCCATTTCCCCCCTATATTTAATCCGTCTAATCACAAGTTAGCCCGATTCCAGACCATAGCCTCCAAGCATGGGACTCAGCTCTTCTACTATTCCCTAAACGTGACGGACGAGAATCAAGTCTCGTCTGTAATTAATGAAGCGGTTTCCAAGCTCCGGTACCCATTGAGGGGAGTGGTGACCGCGGCTGGAATATCGGGAGACGTTGATGCCGTTGATTATCCTGTCGAGAAATTCAGGAAAATAATGGATGTCAATGTTCTGGGTACTTTTTTGGTGGTTAGGGCTGCTACGAGAGTAATGCAGAAGGAGAAAGTGGCAGGGAGTGTGGTGTTGATTGCGAGTATCAGTGGGAGTATTGCGAATAAGGTAACGTTTAAAACTCTTCTTCTTCTTTTCTTTCTCGAGTTTAATTCGCCATTTTGATATGTTAAGTCTAACAATGATCAGGGAGTCAATACAGCTGCATACAACGCCTCAAAATCTGCTGTGCTACAGCTTGCTCGTTCACTGGCAATGGAATGGGCGAATTCACCAAATCATCCTCCTATTCGTGTCAATTCTCTAAGTCCTGGGCACATTTATACACCACTTTCCGCTGTATCTATCGCAGATGAACAGACGAAGAAAACGTGGACGGATATGATTATGATGGGGAGGATAAGTTACCCGGAGGAGTATAGAGCTCCTATTTTATTCTTGCTGGGTGATGGGAGTACTTTCATGACGGGGGCTGATCTGAGAGTTGATGGCGGGCATTGTGCTTGGTGAGTTGGTTTGAAACAGACTGTTGTAGAAAGAATTTGGGACTTAATGTTTGCATTTGATTCCTAGTGACATGAGCCAGGGCATGTTGAAGCGGCCCCTGCTTCATGCCTTCCCAGTCGTTCAATGACATTGTGTTATGAGTGAAACATCTAGCTCGAAGCTATTGCAAAAAGTGATAAACTCCGTTCGATTGTTCTGATACTCTTTGTCTATCAGTATCCCAGAACGCCAATACCAATGCTGTTTCCTGTAGTACCCTTGAATCCCAAAACGCCATACTTTTCCAGTGAATCAGATTGCCGCATACCAAGAAACTATGATGGCCTTCATAACATCATCTCTTCTTCACTAGTCTCCGTCACGCTTGTATCGCTGTCCATTCCACTTTTCCGTTCCTCTAAGTCACTCTCTTCCATCAGATCGACGTCTCTTTCCCGAGTAAGACCAGTTAAGGGATGTTCTTGTTTTCCATTGCTGACGCGGTCGAGCTCTCTTCGAAGAGGTGGATCGTCGGTCCCGTCTAAGCCAAGGGCTCTCCTTTCGCTCGACATACTCTCCAATTTCTCCTTATTTCCTCGCTCTTTCTCGAGCTTTGCTGTCCTGGCGGCTCTTCGACGATCTCTATTGTCTTGTACCCTTCCGATTGCCAGCATTTGGAGAACAACCATAACACCCGTATATCCCCAACACAATCGGTCGTCCGCATGCATGTCGAGATAAAGTGTTGATCCTGGCGACGGGCCTAAACTTTCCATAATAGGATGTGGAGAGACGGACACTGTCGGCGCAGGTGGCATGAAGTGAGAAGCGAAAGTATTGATGATGTGGAGGACGAGTGCCGGATTCAGCAATATAGCTGGGAGCAAGTAGGTGGAGGTGAAAGCCGGCATCTTGGCCGTAATGAGGGATTTCTGATATTTGTTAGATTAGAGCTTCTATGCCAAATAGCAATATACTCACAAGATATCCCAGCTGCAACAGTCATTCCTTGCAGTTAATGCTCAGAATTCGATCCGCCACACAGTTGCTGGCACGTTTTCCAAAGTTGGATACGATGTTGACCAAGGGTACACGAACGGGTGCCTGCGTTAGAAGCTAAAATGGTTGCGCAACCGATAAGAGTACAGCGACCTAATCAAGTTTGCGTGGAAGTCGAATAGGTGATTCAACGTATGGCGATTTCTGGATGTTTAGATACCCCGCAGTCTCATCGAACGGTGATCTTTGTGGGATTCGGTGAGACAGTGTGCGCCAAGGCGTTATTGAGGCGCAAGACGATACGGATAAGAAGAGTCAAGGTTCATGCCTCGGACAACAGCTATTCGAAGATGTAGATGCTTGTAGTCAAGGTTGAGGAGAGAGGGGATAGGTGAATAGGTAGCGATTGAAGATTGTCAGTCCAAAGATTGGAGATTGAGGAGGAAGGTACAAAGTGTGCAGAATAACAGGATGGATGTGGGAAACTACTTCCCAAGTTGCTGCACATGCAACGCAACCTCACGAACCATCATCCGTGCTACTTACCCAAGCTCCATCGCAAGTTCGTAGTCGGACGTCCAATCAAGCGGAGTCGGTTTCGAATTTTGACATGTGTTGTCGCTACCGAGGTGCTTGTCTCCTTCTGATACGAGGAAGTCCAAACAGGAGCAGAAAAAAGAGCAGAAAAGCAGGCTCACCAGGAGACTTTCCAGGGTCTCCTCGTCCCTGAAGATCAAGGCGGTGACGTGATCAAGCCACACCACACCACCACACCACATCAAGCCACTGAAGTTCAGCCACCGGGTTCAGCCACTGAAGGCTGAAGCGATTGAGTTCTAGCCACGTGTGGACATGCAAAAACACAAGGCTACAAAGCAGCCAACCTTTGTCGAGGACAACATCGTGAAAGGACATTGTGTCCGCAACGCCCATCCTTATTTCTTCTCTGCACATATTGACACACATCTTGTTGAAGCTCTGAGCTTCACCCCGTCTTACAATGGCAAGCAACCTCAACCACTTCTGGTCTACTAGCTAATTGTCTACTAGAATACACTCTTCAACACAGCTCTCAAACAGTCCACTTCTCTCAAACGGGACCTCTCATCAACCCCTTCCGGCCAGCCTCTATCTCCCTCATTTCTCGGCCAGATTTCCGCCTCTCTGACATCCTTCTCACGAACCCTTGACTCATACGCCGACCTCATAAAATCAGAGCTGAACCCCTCGAAAAAAGAAAAGGCCGAAGAACGTTTGAAAACGTTCAGATCCGAACTGCAATCCTTCCGAGAAGAATTCAAGGAACTAAAATTGCAGAATGAAGATGCGCAATCTTCTGTCAATAGACAAGAGCTGCTAGGAAGGAGACCGCATAATACTGCTACACCCGATAATCCCTATTCGAATACTGCGGCCTCCACGAGTCCGAGTATGCATTCACCATGGGCGCCCAAAGAGTCAGCTGGTAGTTTGAGCATGCAATCGGGAGATGTAACGAGGGAAGCGCATGCTTTCAGGGAGCAGAATTTCTTTCAGAATACCCACACGGCATTAGACGAGTATTTGGCCAGAGGACAGGCAGTACTAGGAGATCTGGGACAGCAGAGGGAGATCCTGAAGGGAACGCAAAAGAGGCTGTACAGTGTGGCAAATACACTGGGTGTGAGTGGAGATACGATTCGAATGATTGAACGAAGAGCGAAGCAGGACAAGTGGATCTTTTGGGCAGGAGTGGTTATCTTCTTCCTGTTTTGCTGGCTGGTGCTGCATTATTTGAGGTGATGAAAGTCTTCTGAGCAAGCATACTCGTGTACGATGTGCATTGGTTTGATAGCGAGGCGTTCGGCGTGCATTGGGAATGAAAGATTATTTGCTGAGTATGTACAGAATTCTTGCATATTATCTCATTCCCCAGAGTCTCATATTACCTCTCCGCTTTGTCCAGGTATCATATCTCATTAACGTCTCCTCATCCTTCCCATTTGAAATCTCCCTCTAGTAAGGGCACTTCACTGGCCATTGCTTTTGTCCTTTAGCCGCTTGGATGTCGATTGCGGATTGAACGTCTGCGTTGCAAGAGCAAATGCCGCCGAGGTAGGTCTCATTTGCGCAGCCGTGAGTGAGGCAGCCAATTTGGTTGCCGCCACTGCAGCAAGTTAATGCCAGTCTTCTCTTTGGGTAAGAGTCGAAGAAGAAACCATGACACGGGGATAGAGTACAGCGAAGACAACAACTAGTGAGAATGAGGAACAGAGAAGTTTGATGCTTACTAGTAACACGTGCCCATGGACAAGCAGGCGCCGATCAGGAGATCGGTTGTGTTGATGGGTGTTGTTGAAGATTGGCGCTGTGGATGCTTAGTTGGAGGCCTCGTGAATTAAAAAGAGGGGTGAAGAGGCAATAGAAAGACCGTAGGTAAGTCTAGAAACAAAGCTAAACATACAATTTCAATCTCAGCTGTTGCAGGAATTGAGAAGACCGCGAGTAGAAGGGGCGCAGCTGCGAGAAGAGTTGAGAATTGCATGTTGGCGAACTGTTCTATGCGCTTTTTGCTGCTGGACGAGTTCAGACAAGGTTGGAGCAGAGAACGAAGATATATGCTCACTTTTGATGAATGGCAGTAGTCTTGGTAAGTTCACAAAGTCGAATTGCTAACTTTAGGAAAGAAGACTTGTAATTCTCCGGACACTGCGTTTACATATATGCTTCAACTTTTTCATATTAATCGTCGTCATGTAACCAACCCAGCTCCCCTTTCACATTTCGGTGCTACTTCTAGAATCCTCTTCCGATAAGCCCCAGGGTGAGTACCGGCGACGGCGATTCTCACAAGCAACAAGGTTTAAACAAGCCTGCATCCATCACCCGACAGTCCCCTCATGCTAATCCTTCTGACTCCCTAACACTTTTCTTCGGCTGCCCCACCCGAGAGGAAGGGGATTTTAGGCGCCCGCTCAGATTCTCCGAATCGACTTCCCGTAATCTTGGTACATTAATTACGGCGCCACCCAGTGCTTTCCCATGGCCCTCGAGAAAGGAATACTTATATCTCGCTTAATGATGGAAATCTAGGGTCTAGACCAATACCCAAGAACTTACGAAAAGAGGGTGACGACGACGATCGGGGCGCAGATGTGTGGAGAGGAGATGTGATCCAACGGAGACGTGCTTAAGTGAGATAGACTGCCGTCCACTATTCCACGAAATAGGAAACTTGAAGCCGTGCCTGACAGGTATTAAGGTGGGAGATGCCGCATTCAGGAGAGTACCGGCGTTTCCCCACCCTTTGCCAGGAGCTCGGTTCTCAAAGTGGTCTGGATGTGGGAGCCGGAGGAAGCGATCGGCAGTGTTTGATGAGCAGTAAAATTTCCTTGTGTGTTATCTGTAAGCAGATTTCAACTTTTGACTTGGGATGATAAAGATATCTTTCTCCACTTTGTGGTCGTTGTGTCCCACGTGAAGCTCTCCGAGGTGGACATCGGCATCTTGCGCACTGAAGTTTTCCTCAGCACGTATACCCATGTGGTCTTTGCGTGAAGGAAAATCCTCCAATTGGCTTCCCGAACAACATCCTCAAGTTCTGTCTTGATACCGCCGCTGATATTCACTTTCCGAGACCGAGATGAGCCGTCCTTCAAGTGAATCGGTCTGCCCTATCAAGTTCTAGAGCACAAGAGCCAAGACTTTTCATCTTCCTGCCACCTCAGCTCTCTGAACGGATTCGACATTTTGCATTTTGCGCTGCTGCTGCTATCCCATGGAATTTGGGAGCAGCACACAGTATTGTCGTAGTCCTTGTTTGCCGCCAGATCCATTGCCCTCTCTCCAGTCTCATCGACGAAGTCCACGTCTGCGCCCCTTTCTAGCAACAACGTTACGCTCTCGATCAAGTTCTTATCACAAGAGCGCTCCTTCTTTTGATTTGCTTATTCACAAATGCCCCTGCATCAAGAACAAATCGAAGCCGGCGTTGGTCCGTGAACCGTGCAGCGTTGGCGAGAGAGAGCCCATCTCCAATCGCGTTAGGATCCGCTCCTTTTGAAAGTCGGTGTGTTAAGATATCCCCTCTATTTTTTCTGAATGTGGTCGTTACCAGCGAGAACCCCTCCTGATGCTTCTCATGGATGGGCACACCAGCTTCAAGTAGGATGTCAATAAACTCTATCTTGTTATGGAGGACAGAAAGCTCGATAAATCCTTGAGATTTTGTCAGATCGACGCCTCCGATTATAGACTTCTTCAGTATCACCGAATTCTTGACTGCCATTACTAGAGGGATATCTTGTCCTTTCATATTCGGATCCACGCCTTTGGCTAGAAGGAAGTCGTTGACATCCAGACGATTCTCTTTGATCGCTGTGGTCAAAGAGGAGTAAACAATCTGATTGTTTCAAACGATATACACGCCTTCCTCAAGGGGAACTATATGGATTCGAATCTGTTGTGGAGGGCCGATAAGTCAAGGAGTCCTTGATACTTAGTCACATCTACACCACCCGCTATGAGCTGTGTGAGTATGGATGGATGTCGGATTAACCAGCGCAAGAGGAACATGCTGCCTTTCATAATTGGGTCGGCTTCTCTGGCCAGAAGGACATCGACAATCTTCTGCGTGATTGTCACGAATCGCTGTGGTAAGTGGTAAATATACCCCGTCATTCTTGCCATTGGGTTTGAGTCTTGCATCTAGCAAGAATTTGGCTAACTCCCTGTTGTGATTTACTGCTAGCTCCAAGATACCTGCCAGTTTCCCACAATCCACACCACCTTTAACGAGCTGCTTGAGCATCCAGGTCCTAGTGACAGCCATGGCAAGTGGAGTGTTTTGACCTTTGAGGTTTGGATCTGCATGTCGCGATACAACGAGGGCTAGTGTTTCTGGCTTGTTGTCGATGAATGACCATCGTCAGTGGCGTATAAAATTCATTAGAATCCACATCGGCATCCAGAAGTATTTGCACCGATTCTAGCGAATTGTGATGCAGGGCCTTCTCAAGAGCTTCCAGATTCTTCTTAAGTCTACGCCACTGTCCAAGGGGATATGAAGTAGTTCAGACCGGCGTGTAGCTATGAAGACTGGCACATTCCGATCTTTCAGATTCGAATCACGGCTAAGAGAAAGCATCGCCAGATACTTTTGGATCTGCGTCATGCCGGGTCAACAAATCTACCTCGTCTTCTCGGCTGACTTCACAAGCTATCCCGAGAAGCGTACTTTTTACCTGTAAATTTGGGATTCGGATCTGCCCTAAAATGGAGAAGCAGATTAACAATCTCGATATTTTTACTCTTGATAGCTTCTACCAAACCATTCTCTTCTGGACCAGTATCTGGTGGAACTCCTCTACAGAGCAGCTGCTTAATTTGAGGTGTCTGATGTCTGAAACATTGTAGAAAGAGTTTCAGCTGACAGATGTTTGCTCTCAGTGTCCATTTGTTGTTGCTTCCGTTCTAGAAGTTGAGTGGAAAGGGGCGCCACGTGAAGGCCACTACAAAGTAGAAACGTATGTGGCGTATGTCTGTCACACAATCTGCAACTCTTGAGTGCATATTTATGAAATCAGGAGCTTGTGGTATGCCCTGGAATCTTTCGTGAAGGAAATCAAAGAGAAGACTCACGTGACACAATCCACCATGCTTCCAGGTTGTTGCTTCTAGGGGTGCTAGAAAGAGAGCTGCAGGTTCAGAGGACTAGATATTCTTGTGTCAAATACATAGATATAGGAGACTAAATGGACACGATAAACCATAATTGATATCGCTGCAAACATGAACATCTATGCGGGTTTGTCAAAACAATCGGAAGGCGACATAAACTGTGACAGCAAGAACGCAATCCAAAAACATCATCTAACTTGTAAAGAAATAGTACCCTTTTGATTTTCCAACAAGTCCTGCAGAAAGTCGGTCGGAAGAGTGAAGTCTGGAATTCGAAATACCTAATTGCAACGAGTCGACCATTCAACGCCTAGCACTAGCGAGTCTGACTCATCCAATCATGTTGGGGAGTTTCTAGCGAATTTCCCACGAAAATTTTCTTAAAATTGGTAAATGCTTTATTAGATCAAATAACGAAAGTTTGGAGAAATCACTTTGATTTGGCCCGCTTGGCATAGTGGTACTGCGTGTCACTCGTAAATTCTCGATATCATGACAAGATCCACGGTTCGATTCCGTGAGTATATTCCTGCTACCAAAAAGACAAATAACTAACGCGCAGTAGGTGAGTGGGCAAATTGGATTCTATTTACCACGATTTTTTTGCATTCTTGTTTGAGGATTTGATTGAACTCTTTTACAAGTCGGTGATGACGCTAGCTTAGAAACCTGATGAGCCAAAATAAAGCGAAACCAGAAGGCTCTAAGCTTTACTATACTCTAGACTTTCTATGACAACGTTGTTTTGAAATTACTGCTCATGTTAAGCAGTGAAGCATAGATAGATAGCTAGTTGGATAGGAAACCAAATGCAGTCTGCCGGGTCTGCATTCGTCTCTTCGCGTGCTTCTTGTTTCGCTTGGAGATATTATCAAAGTAAAGTAGATATTCCAATTTGGAGGACGGTACAAAGAGTTTCTTAAAATCTCAACTACTGTTATCTCTGCCGGACGCTTGATGGATAGAATAGAGAGGACATGTCCGAGGGTCGCTCTTCGGGCTGTGCCGCTGGCCTTGATACAAAAAGGGCAGAAGGTTCCTCAAAGACCCAACATGCAGAAGCCTCACGGAAGTCCCAATCTGCTTCTCCATGCATCTGGAGCACCAATGTGTCCCCACTATCATCTAACTGCCACATATCCTTCGATTCATCCCACTTAGCCTAGTCAGGTACCACACCCGCAGCCAACCCCAAAGCATGTGATGATGACGTGGAGACGCCGTTCACGACTTACAACCAATATTCTTCTTGTTGCTTCAAACACTGCATAAACTTTCTTCCTTATCGCTTGCTTCCTTCAATCGAGGCATCGTTCTCAAGGAGAACAATCCTCTCTGTCCTGTTCGCGACAGACATGGAATCTTGATCTCGCTCGCTATCCTTTCTCCCGAGAGAGCGAAGATGCCTTTATCCGGAACCTCGCCCACGTATCTCCACGTCCTGCAAAATGCGTCCTTGATCCTGCTATCGATTTGCTGCTTCCCGTTGTGTACATTCATCGCTGCACTCAGCAGTGCAATTTCTCCGTACCTCAAGACTGCGAGACATATCCAGCATTATCGAAAATGGAGGCGGGTATCATCTTCCACTTTCCGACCAAGGACCATCCTCGTGACGGGCGTGGGCATGAGCAAAGGATTGACGCTGGCGCGGACGTTCTATCGAGCTGGACACCGAGTCGTAGGCGCTGATTTCGAGGATTACATGATCCCCGTGTGCGGGCATTTTTCGAAATCAATTGAGACGTTCTATCGACTTTCGCGGCCGAGTTCGGAGATGGGGACGCAGAGGTACATGAAGGACATGATCGACATCATCAAGAAGGAAAATGTGGAGTTATGGGTTTCATGCTCGGGCATCGCTTCTGGAGTCAAAGATGGAGAGGCTGCGGAGATCATTGAGAAGGAGACGAAGTGTAAGGCGATTCAATTCGGGCTTACATTAACAGAGACGCTGCACGAGAAGCATTCGTTCATCGATAATACGCGGCAACTGGGTCTCAATGTCCCAGATACACATTTAGTGACGTCCGAGACAGAATCACTAGCCGTTCTCTATCCAGAGAAACCAAGATCGGCACAAGGCACGAAATACGTTATGAAAAGCGTGTTCCTCGACGATTCGAGTCGGGCGGACATGACTTTACTACCAAGACCAACATTAAAGGAAACAGAGACCCATATCAAGCGCCTAAATCCAACACCGTTCCGACCGTTCGTTCTTCAAAAATTCATCTCGGGCCCGGAATATTGCACGCATAGCCTAGTCATTAACGGGAAAGTGAAAGCGTTCGTCGCTTGTCCTTCAGCTGAGCTGCTCATGCATTACGTTCCCCTACCTACATCCTCAGCACTCTCCCAAGCCATGCTTCTTTACACTACTCTGTACGCCAAGAAAACGGGACCAAGTATGACAGGACACTTCTCAATTGATTTCCTGGTCGAAGCAGACGTAGCCCAGGACGCCGAGCGACGAGTTGGTGTGTCGGATACAGAAGTTCGGGAGCTGATGAGTCGGATCTATCCCATTGAATGCAACCCACGCGCCCACACTGCTGTGGTTTGTTTAGCAGACGAGTCTGAAGACCATGCTGAGGCTTATCTGTCGATTTTGCCAGATCATGAACCAAAGGGTATCTCGAACGGACATCGAGGTGAGGCGCTCGTTGTGCCTAGACCGGGGATCCAGGGGTATTATTGGGCTGGGCATGATTTAGTTACGAGGGTGCTTTTACCGCTGCTGCGATTATTGAGGTTTGAGATTGGAGTGATGGATATGCTGGAGCTGTGGATGGAATTTGCGGAGCATGTGCTCTACTGGAGAGATGGCACGTTTGAGATATGGGATCCGTGGCCATTTTGGTGGCTGTATGTTGGGTATTGGCCGGGTATGTTCCTGGTTAGTCTGTGGGAGAGGAAATGGTGGAGTCGGTGCAACGTCAGCACGCAGAAGATGTTCGGATGTTAGACACAAAGGAGCTGGCTGAGTGGCTTCATAAATTTCAATTTGATACCGAATGATGAGCTTCTATGCCGCAGTAGCATGTCCACTGAGTTCTGAGATTCGACGCCCTGAGCGGAACATGGCAGACTGCACAAAATACAAACATGACCAAACATTACACCGAGAGAGCACATCAGGCCGCTTCTCTTTTCCTCTGTCCTTTCAATATATCACCAATTATTGCCTTCCCCAAATGAGATTGATCATGAAGCCGCGAATTCGACCGAGTGTAGTGACTTCAGAAGCTTGTGCGGGTAGCTCGCCTTGGAGAGCTTCATGCCAGACTTGATACTGTACGAGGTTGCCGATTAGATCCTCCTCATCTGCATCATAGAAATGAGTAGCGTTCAAAACGACATTGTCGTCACGGACGGCGTCCAAGTCTTGTAGCACCAGATCGTTTGTCTGCGGCTCTGCTTCAGCAGTGCTTCCAGCCAGCAAATTCAGTCCATCCATCTCCTTGTCTGTGTCATAGACACGAGTAGCGCCCAAATTGACATTACAGTCATGAATAGCATCTAGCTTCCAAATCATCTCATCTGCCGGCCGCTCCACTTCCTGAGTACCTCCTGACCTTGCCGACATATCGCATTCTCCAAGTGCATCAAGCACCTTCGATGGAACATCGTGGCCGTTCACTTCGTCTGGCAGAACGGAAATTGGCAACTTGATCTCTCCTTGCTCAATTTTGACATTAAGCAAACGCCATTCTCCAACCTCTGGTGGCGTGTTTTCGAGTTTGATGACTTCAGCTGCTTGATATTCTGCCTTCACCTCGACTTTTGTCTTTTGATTGTCGATACATTCATGATCGTGCTCGGGCTGCGTTGCTAATGCATCAAGCACGCCTCTCATATAAGCCTGGTCTTCAGCATTCAACAATGCATCCATGAACGCAAATTCGTCGAGCTCGTCAATACCATCGCTGTATTGTCTCTCGTTCTCCTCACCAGGGATTCTCCGGGCGTTCCGTACAGTCGAGTTTCTTGCTGGTCTGGTGAAACGCTTGGCCTTAGCTTTCGTTCGTCGAGGTTTGATCTTGGGCGGGCAGGCTGCTGCAAGTTCAGCCGGCGTGTTGATAGATGGATCTCTGCCAGCTTCTGGGTGCTTTCGAGGTCGGCCGCGACCACGCTTGGCTGGCTTCGTTCCAATCATGACGGAGTGAGTCGTCAATTCGGACAAGCTCGAATGTGGGAGAAAGTGAAGTCGAAGGCTTGAAGATTGATGTAGAGTCGGCCTGACTGTCAGTTGAGCTAGTCTGAGGACTTTTCAATTCTTTCACTCCTCTCGACAATGCAAGAGGTAGGAAGATGAGATCGAGACCGACGAAAGTGAGGAGGATATACAGTAGATAGTAACAAGAGGGGTAGCAGTCTCATTTTAAATGAGATATGGGTAGTAGAAAAGCAAGGAAGTCACGCCTCCCCGTTGGGAAGCTTCCACTTGGGAGTGTCGCGACTTGGTGGGGGACCAAACCGGCTTACTGCCCGACGCAGAATATTGGTTAGAAAGTAACCAAAGACGTGATTGGGAGAGAGGCGAAATAAATAAGAAAAGGAAGGAGCTTGATGTTGCACTTATCTCGAAGAAAAAAAGAGGAAAGCATGACAAGTAAAGTTTGATGAAAGGGAAGGAGAGCAGGCTTGACGACTCCTGACCTGCCATTGATTCAATCGCCAACGTCGAGTGATGCTTCACCTGTCCATAAATTAAGACTATGTCTCGAGGCGAGATATCTCCTCAGCAATCTTACCTAGTTATATAGACCATGGCTCTCTTACTTCTGAATGCTGTCCAGCTTCGTATCTCAGCCAGAGTATGTTCAGAATACCAGTGAGAGAACCATTGCCAAGTTTGATGTAGGCAAACGTTAGGAGCAAGTTCTTTATCCGAACCATAGTCCATCATCCAGATATCGCAGTCCTCAGCAGAGGAGCTACCTGCTTGCGGCTATCCTGTGCTTTCCCTTGCGACCAACAACGACACCACTGATTATTGTCCAGGTCGAGAGACCCATCTTTCCACGTCTGAAGGTCAAGTTTTGGTTTTGCATCTTGTTCGAAACTTTTCGCAGACTCAATTCCTTTTTGACCGAACCCCCAAACAAGTAGCTCTCGTGAAAAGACGCCGTTGTTCAGGGTTCTGGTCATGACTGAGCAGACCGAGAGCTTTCGCTCTTTTGCGAAATCCTTGACTGCGCTTAGGAATTGCTCGGTACCACCAGCTTTTTTGACGAGGAATGGCATATCCTTGACCACGGAGCAGATACCAAGAGGGACGCCCCCATCGTTCCATTCTTTGTAGTCCTTCCTGAGAAGATCAACAAGGCTCATACTATCGACATCTTTCTCAGCATCAGCAATTTCTTTGAAGTAGTCTTCTGCATCGAATGGACCTTCTTCCTCAGAAGTGATCCAATGCTGCAGATATTTGACGACTTCCACGTCAACGGGCGTGGTTTTCGATTCGTCCTTCAGATTCGAGGTATCGATAAGTATTGGGGCCAAGGCTAATCGTGCCAATTCAGCGTTCCATTTTGCTTGATGGTCTTGGCTTGTCTTTGACGCCAGCGAGTCCCATGCTTCTCTGCCGTATTGTACTACCAGACTGGAGCAACTTCCGCACTTCTGTACAATCCTTGGCTCTTCTGCTGTATCTTTGGGCACTTTATTCTCTTCGTCGTGGTGATCAATGCAAGCGACTAGTTGATCGCCGTATATCTTCCCCAACTCCCCTACCATGACATTGTGGTCGACCAAGACCCATTTCGTCTTCTCTGGAGATAACCTTGACGAGTTTGACGTAATGGAGGGTAGATCAGATAAAGTAATAAGGTCGCTTGGTCTCAGATTGGCATGGGAAAGCACCGAGAGCAACTCAGGTCGAAGGTTGAGATCAGCTCTTGGAATGTTCGACAGAGGTATGTAGAAGGTCTTCGACTTTAGAGAATAGGTTCGTATATATGCTAGGACGACAGCACTACAGAGAGAATCGAGATCTGCCATAATATTAGTCAAATTGGATAGCTTTCTAGGAGGAAATTCTGCCTGCCCGCCGATTCATTCCCGATCACGAATGTGACGGGTGAGCTTTGTTGTGCTGCATTATTCAAGGCAGACTTGGCAGATGACAGGAAAGAACGTAGAGATGCGCGTGGTAGAGGCATTTTGACTCCCAAGTTCGAAATTCGCGACGCGTTTGAAGCCCCTCTCTGTCTCTCGCCTGTCTGACGTCAGGGCCTGCTCTGAAGCGAGCCCCTATTTCTTTGAGACAACATTGAAGTTTAGCATTCATCGGAACAACCTCCGTTCTGGTCTCACGAACCTTTGATTCAATTGTGTTTCATTCTGTCACTATCTTTCTGATTAAAGCGATTTGTTTCATTTTCTCTTCTCTCACTGTTGCAAACCCAGAAATAGCGTTTCTGACTCGACAACAATTCTCTATCACTCGAATTTGGGAATATATGTCTATACGGTACTTTATAGATGGGGTGGTCAACGTGTACTACCTTGTCTTCAGTTATTAGATCACTTGTAAGCTTTATTCGATCGCTTCTCATTATCCTTTCAAGAACTGCAAAGAACGATGGTTGGCCGTCACCGTGGGATGAGACATCTCTCAAGACAACCGTTCCTTTTCAAGGCAATTAATGCGATCTCAACACAAGATCTCACAGTATTCCCTCACGATTACATAAGAAATAGACACTGTGTCGCCAGATTCAGAGCAACATTTGCATGCAGTATCAAGTAGTATGGTCTCTACCTTTCATATAAATTGGAATAGTTCTCCTAGAAGGTCTTCTCTACTCATAGCAAAATACATCTCTTTTCTATTCTTATCACAGCACTGGCTGCTACCATTGTCCATAGCCGCTGTTTCGCTGGCATGGATGAATCATCTGTCAATGTTCACGACTTTGAACGTATCCAAGTGCCAGAGACAGCTATCAAACAACTTCCCCCCAAGATCCACGAACGAAATATCGCTGTCAAAACATGTCCTCCCATCTGGACCTCAGTCATCGCAACACTAATCACCTTGTTCACAGACTCTACCGTGAAGCCCGCACAATGCAACGATAATGCTCGAGCAGCCATCAGAGTAAGTGCTCCTTCGCCACCATCACTAACAGGGAGCTCACAGCACAGGCATGCTTCCACGACTGTGGAACTTGGAACACAAGCCTAGGATCCAAATACGGTTGCGACGGCTCCCTGATCCTCGCCCGCGAAGCCTTCACCCAAGCCGACGACAACGCCCTCCAGAACATCTCCAACACCCTCACCGCGGTCCGAGCCCAGTACCCCTCCATCGGCATGGCAGACCTCATCGTCGTCGCCTCCAGCGTCGCCATCCGCGTCTGTCCCGGCGGTCCGACAGTGACCACCTACATCGGCCGCAATGATTCCAGCATCCTCAACCCAGCCGGCCTCCTTCCCGGCGTGAACGACACGGCAACTTCCCTCATCACGCTGTTCAAGAATAAGGGCTTCAGCACGAATGACCTCGCGGCTCTGATCGGAGCGCACTCCACGGCTCGCGCCTTCGCACAGCCCAATATCCAGTTTGGCGCCCCGCAGGATAGCACGCCGGGGGCGTGGGATATCGAGTATTACAAGCAGGTTGCGAGTCCGCCGGCGGGGGTGTATAGCTTTTTGGCGGATCGGAATCTGGCGGCGGATAAGACGGTGGGGTCGCCGATGGCGGGGTTTGCGGGCAATAAGACGAGTTGGAATGGTGCGTTTGCGAGTGCGATGGGAAGGTTGACGTTGTTGGGTGTGGAGGGCGGGAGTAGTTTGTTGGTGGATTGTACGGGGTTTTTGCCGTGAGGGTGGATGAGACAGGACGACTACGGTTGGATGTGATGCTATCTGAATGAGTGATGAGAAATGAATGAGGGAGGGATGATGAGGGCTAATTGGACGACGAATGTACCTATTGAGTATTAAGTTTACGGAAGCTTTGTTACTCGTCAATAGCATTCGGCCTCAAACGAATTGTTTCTTTGGACCTTTAGCAGATGCTATTACAGTACTCTGTATCGCTTAGCAAGGATCTTAGAAGCTTCAACGCCACTACGGTGTGCAGAGAGATAGGTTTCATGTATCTTTGCGGCAAGGACTCGGAGAAAAGATTGAGGACGAAGGACATCCACATTAGCACCACCGATGAAATTTCGACCCACACGTCACTTCTGAGACAAACAGTCATTCCGACGTTGGATGAATGGAGCAGTCTGTTCTGTTGTCTGGTTCTGATTCCAATATTCATGATTCCATGGACGTTGAATAGATGGATCAGTCTGTTATATTTTTAAAATTCCAGTTCCAACATACATGATGCCATGGAGACGTTGTGTTGCCAACAGCAGGTGGCAGCATGAAAAGCAAGCCAGATCCAGAATCGGTGGAATAGTATCGAGGTAGAAGATAAGAGATATACGAATTGTGTTCGCTTAAGGTAAGTCGAGCTCCAGGCCTATCGCAAAAGCAAAGCAATCCTGCAGCAGCCGTGTGGCCGAGGGCTTTCCCCTCAAATTGCCCAGATCAGGTGAGGCATTTCAACGTTCGGTGAGAGGCAGCCCTGCGCTGTCTGCTTGCCCGCAAATGGCTCATGTGTTGTCGTGGAAGCGGTCTGCAAACACCATACGCGGACTAGACTGCGTTCCACGAGAGCGTTCTTGTACATCTTGAGTATTGAGATTCAGAAACACAATGCTGCACGAACATCGCATGGTCGTGCTTGGTGTTGCTTGACTTGGCTTGGATTGTTCCCCGCGGCAAGGCAAGCATTGCGCTGAATCTGACCCAGTAGTTCGGGATGTGATGTGACAAGCTCAGCACGGTTCACAGCCTGGCAGTGTCTCATGCTTCCACCCATGCCCGCGACGACGACCCTGGAGCACGGTACCGCATCTCATCCCTACAGAACTCTTCACATCCTGGACCCGGAACTTTGTCTTTGGCACGCATGCTCGTCATCATCGCCCATCTCAGGGGTGCGAGAGAAAAACACACACACAAAGCCTGACGCGAAAATAAATCCGGATTTCGGTGTGCGTTGGCTGGCTGGCTGGCTGGCTGCTGCTGCTGCTGCTGCTGCTGCTGCTGCGTGAACAGGTGAAAATGTGTGATGAAAATGGCTCCCTGGTTGGTGGCTTGTGCTTGCTTGGGCTGTGGACGCTGGGCTGTTGTTGTCCATCACGGGCTGGCGTGCGTGCCACGATGATCGACAGGCGCTTCATTCAATAATTTCTCTCTCTTCACCAGATCGACTACCGACGGATCCATATCCATACACACGAGGAGAGGACAGGAGAGTTGAAGTCCACTTTCTGCCTGATCGACGGACTCTCTCTTCACGTACGGGTTCCTGGATCCTCCTCCTCCTCATCATCATCTCTTCCTCCCATCTTTTCTCTCTCATTCACCCACCCACCCACGTCCCTTCACCCTTCCTCGCAAAATCATCGTAACCGACGAGGACATTCGCGGCTGGGATCACATCGCCGCGGCCAGCTGAGAGACTGGGCGCGCCCCAAACATCTTCCCCCCACGTTACTCCACGGCAAGGCTGGGCCGAACACACCGCCGGACAAGTAGCATTTATTTCGCACATCGTCATCTGCCGCCCAAAACCCTTCGAAGGAAGCCTCAACAATCTTTCAGACTTGGGGACCGGGGACGACGTATTTGTATACACTCTCGACATCCTTTGTAGGAAACAAACACCGCAACCACTCAAAGAGTCGAAAACATTGAACATCTTAGATTTCCGCCAAGTTGATATATTTCCGCATCGGGTAGCCACAACCGGAATACACCAACGGTCGATCATGTTGGCGCTACGAAGTAGGAAGGACTCAATCACGTAGAACTCTATCCAAACTTTCCTCTCTCTCTCCCCCCTTATTATACCTTGCGACGAAACGGACAATCGTTCGTCGCAATGGCACCTTTCTCGGCCGGCATGGCCAATGCAGTGCACGACCTTCGTCTCGAATCTCGAGGTCTCGGCGGAAACAATACAGGGACCACGCTTTCGAAATCAGCTTCGCAAGGAAACACGCTGCAAATCCTGGCCTGTACTTTCTCAGCTATCAGTGTGACATCTGCCATGCTCGCTTTTCTATGGTTTGTCAAGATGCGAAGGACTTTTAGACATGAGTAAGGATGAACCCCTTCAATAGGATGTAGTACTAATACTTTCCAGCCTCATCATGTTGCTGATCCAGAGTGACATGTTTAAAGCTCTCTGGTTCATGATCTACCCAATCGTGGTCTTCACTCACGGTCCTGTCCCAGACAGCTCGACTTTCTGCCAAGTCACTGGTTTCTTTCTGTCTCTAGGCATTGAAGCGTCAGGTTCGTTCTGCTACCCTGTTATATAGCTATCACGTCTGATATGTCTAGACTTCGCTGCACTCATGATCGCTCTTCATACCGCTTTATACATATTTCGACCGAGATCCTCCAACGGTGAAGGAGGATTATTCCCGTATCGCCATATCGCATATACACTCTGGATCATCCTCCCAATTTTAAGTGCTTCGCTCGCATTTGTCAACAAGGACGACGGCTATGTCTCCGATGGGACCTACTGTTATCTTCCTGTACGGCCATTCTGGTATCGACTCGCTCTTGCCTGGATTCCTCGTTATATCATCTTCATTTTCATTCTGGGTATATACGCTTCTATATATTACTATGTGCGATACAAGTTCAATGGTTTTGAACACCTGGGGGGCATGGACGCTGGAACAGTAAACACTGTGAGCTCCGGTGGTCCTCAAATTCGAGCTGCTAAGCGCACTGTCCCACCTACACCGACTTTGGTCTCTCACGGCCTGATTCCTGAATCGAGACAGAGTTCAATGGCAGAACCTGATGGAAGGAAGCAATCGGTATCGACGGTGGACTCGGCTCGGTATCCAAGACCTTCTAGAGTCGGGGCTCATCGATTTATATGGGGAAGCTTCTCGGCGGGCAATGGACTTCCGCCTACACCACCCTCTGAGACCTCAAACGTTGATGAAGACTCATTCACAGGGCCATCTCCGCCTCACCCCATTCCACTAACTTCGCTCCACACAATAACTCCCAGACCAGAGGGTTCCGACGATTCGAACACTGCGGTGGCTTCTCGAGCGACCTCGTGGAGAGATGGATTTGTTCGTAGATTTTCTCCCGAGCTAAGTGGCAATTCCAGCACTCAGCATTCGGTCACGGACATCTTTACCATTTTACGCCATCACCCAGACTCCTCTAATAATCTTACACCTGTGTCGCAGCTCCAGCTTATCAACTCCCGTGGGCAAACATTCGCTGCTGCTGAGATGATTCGTACCCGGGACAAGATCCGACGCCAGCTGCGCTTCCTGTTCATCTACCCCTTGGTTTACATGGGGATGTGGATCTTGCCTTTCGTCTCGCACGTCTTGCAATACGATGACAGATTTGCTGTCAATCCTCCCTTCGGACTTACCTGTGTGACAACGATCTGCATATGTAGCCAAGCAGCAGTTGACTGCTGGCTATTCTCAACCCGCGAGAAACCATGGCGACAGATCCCTGGAACTGATGGTACCTTTTGGGCAAGTCTTAAGCTGTGGTCTGGATGGGGGGGCTTAGGCAAGCGTGTAAGGGTTCACGGACCGGGCAAGTCCAGAGAAGAGATGGCACGAGAAGCTAGAGCCGCGTACCAAAGACGTGATGAGGAGTTGGCTCAGCGGAGAAATCAGACGGACTCGATTGCCAGTGTTGGAGAGGCGCCACGGAGAGGAGAGAGAAGTTGGTGGGAGGCTGTTGGAGCAGATGGGACAATGAGCCCCGTCAGCGAAGAGGTCTCCAATCCGATGGAAAATGTTATTACCATAACCAGCGAAGGAGTAGCTTCCGATGATGCAACCTTGCAGGAACCTGCCACGGAAGTATCAGAAGGAGAAGATGGTCGAGTGTCGCCAGGGGGTACTGTGCATAATATACAGGAGGACACACATACGACATAGGAGACAGTTACATAGAAGACACAATGGCTGCACACAAGGGTTTTGGGCGTAGGGTACTGTTTAATTTCCAGCGGCATCTGAAAAGGCGTTTGGGTCTTTAGCATTGCTGCATGACTGGATTGGCACAGGACTTCACACGGAAGGCGGTTTGCATTAAGGTTCAGGAGTCCTCCGATGTGTCTACGGACCCGGAATGGTGTTACATTGAGCAGGCGTTCATTGGCGTTCATTTTGCTTGCAATTTGCATTTGGGTAAGCATGCATGATAAGATCGAGCATAAGTAGGATAGACAGAAGGGTGGGCTGTGGATATTGAGAGTAGTGTATGTATCGAGACTTGTCATTGAACCACTTGCCAAAGTCATGCAACTGACAAGCTGGCCTGGAACTCGGTGTCATTCTTTCTAGGTGCTGCAGCTACGGTGTTGTCGTGGTGAGTATCCACAAGTTCAAGTCCCTAGTTCCTAATATATCATCTGTATCCTACACTCTGTCATCCATCCTATCCTTCGTCTGCAAGCAAATGTTTGATATTCTGACCCTGTTTTCGAGTTGACTTAATGCTCCTCCTCCTCATAGTGCACGCAGTGACACTCGACACAATCGCATGTGGACTTGGTCCCGCACTCACATCCCCTTGGCCCAGGCTGCGGCCGCAGATCTCGCGGCGTGAAGACAAGGCGGCACGCGTCCCAACGGGACCGGAAGCCGTTCGCTTCGAACGGCGCCACTACAGTATAACCAATTAGTACCTACTTAAATACTTTGCGTGAAATGTTTGGAAATAGAGACATAACATAACATATATAACATACTAGAGAGCGGCGTCGTCTCAGGCGCAACTGACACGCGAAAAGCGCGGATAACCGCCGCCAGGATCATGCGCATCTGGAAAGTGGCCATGTTGCCACCCGGGCAGCGACGGGCGCCCATCCCGAAGGGCGCAAGGCAGCGACGTCGCTCAGTATGTACAGACTTGTCGTCGTCGTCGTCGTCGTCGTCGTCGAGCCAGCGCATCGGGTCGAACTCGTCGTAGTTGGGGAAGAGGTCGGGTCGCTGCCGGCTGAGCGAGAGCGACTGCGTGGTCACGACGGTACCTGCAGGGACGAAGTAACCGAGAATGTGAAGGCCGCCTCGAGGCACGACGCGGCTCCCGGTCAGGGCTACTGGCGGGCGGTAGCGCAGGCCTTCGGTAATGCAGGCGTTGAGCAGCTTGAGGTTCTCGATGCCGTTGAAGCCCTCGACGGACTGGAGCTCCGCGTGCATGGCCTCGACCAGCTTCGGATCTCGGGCGAGATAATAGAAGATGAAAGCGAGTGCCGACGACGTGGTCTCGGTAGCCGCGAGGATCTGACCAGCCATCTCGGCGCTAATTTGGCTCTTGGTCTTGGTCTTGGTCTTGGTCTTGGTCTTGCTCTTGCTCTTGGTCTTGCTCTTGCTCTTGCTCTTGCTCTTGCTCTTGCTCTTGCTCTTGCTCTTGCTCTTGCTCTCGTTCTCGCTCTCGTTCTTGCTCTCGCTCTCATCCTCGTACTTCATGTTCGCCATGAGCTGATCGTATACGGATATCGCGGACACGTCGTTGGCATCGCCATTTCCCGCCCCCTTTTCCGCTTGCTCCACGAGATCTCTACCGAGATGCAACAAGGCGTCGCTGGAGCGAACGCGAAAGGCCGCATGCCGAAAGGGGCTCAGCTTTAACCATTCGAAGAGCCATTCAGGGAGGCAGAGGCGCCACACAACTAGGAAGTTATACTCGCCAACCACATGGGGGAAGTCTCCCGGCTCCAGATTCGCCTGAGAGCCGGCCATGACAATCTGCGAGTTCAGAAGCGTCGCAATACGTAAGTGATAGACAATGTCTTCCGGATCACCCCCCTGAGATGCACCTAGATCGACGATCATCTCCGCGATGTTCTGCTCGAACCTGGGCTGCCAATACCGCATTGCCTTGGTCGTCGTCGCCATCATGACGGGGCGGCGGCGCGAGCGAGCAACCGCGTTCTGTGGGTACGTGACCGTCCAGTCGTGGCCGCCGATGCGCAGCGCCCGGATAGCCTTGGGCGCCGTGTCGAGGTCCTGTCGCATGAAGAGGCTCTGCACGGATTGCACATCGTTGACGAGCACAATGTTGGGCGCGATCCGGACGATGGGCCCGTATTTCGACAGAAGACCGTCCGCTGCGAAGGACAGCCGGCCGTGCCATCTCTGCCAGCGGATCCAAAGAGAACTCGCGGCCGGAAACCTGGGCCCGGGGATCTTGGAGAGGACATGGAGCCTGGACCAGTATAACATCTGGCAGGCCTGGAACAAGGTAAATATAGCCAGTATCGCCAGTGCTGCGCTCGCAGACGGAACCATCCAGAGGGTAGTCTCGATCATGTTGAAGTGCTTTAGTTGCAGTACAGCCGACGTCTGGCGGGATCGAGAAAATGTTGTTCTAGTCTATAGATTCAACGCGGGAGTGTAAGTTCCTCCCTCCGAATAGCCGCTGTCATTGACTTTATATGCGAAAATTTATTAAGGTGTCTTTTGTAAACATTAAGTTTTTATTTCCTATTTGGAGTCGGAGATGACTCCGTTGAAAAGCGCACATCGTACTAGATTCAGAATTAAAGTTTTGTGCTGTTCGTTCACGGATAGCTTTAACCCTAAGTAGCGGCAATATCGAGAAAGTCAAATCCACTCGCAAAGGAGCGGGGTCATTATCTTTAAGCAATAGTTAATTTTCACTGGCAGTTGCAGCACGGCGTCCTAAATCAATTTTTCATTTCATTTAAATTGTCTGTAAAGGGGTTTCGTTCTACGTTCAGCGAAAGTATACTTCGTAGTCTGGGAAATGATTGCGCCAAGCCTTCGAGAGACTTCTTCGGCTGCATGGGAGTATTATCCAATAAAGTTTAAAACTTTGGCGAATCGTTATTTAATTGAGTAAAATTTACTCGAAAGAACTGACCCTTGTTTTTGGAATTATTTCCGAGATATACGAAGTATGTACGAAAGTATATTTGGATTTCCGATATGCAGGAGAAAATCTTGATACGAAACCTTCTCTCGTCGCAATTTCGCCAGTAGATGAATCATGCTAGTTGTGGTATCGGCTCTGCTTTGCATGAATTTCCTACAGCAACTATGTAGGACAGCAGAAGCCGTATGATCCTTTCTCGTTCTCGCATTGCTTGTGAAGCTTGCCTGGCTCCCCTGCTGAACCTATCCATGAATCTTCCCTTGGCTCAACCGCCGAGATGATTCTACCTTGACTTACTTGCATAATATTCTCCACTCCTCAGACAGACAGAGCCTTAGTATAGATATTTCCTTGTTTGTATACGATGAGGTTGAATTTGTGTCAAGTTTTGGAAAGGGGCGGGGTACCTGATAAGGATCCGGAATTGGCTCCGAAAGAATCCTTGGAGCCGAAACAGGTCGCCCTACGCTCGCCCCACTGCCCAGCTCACCAACAGCTCGGATAACAGTAGCAACTGCTCAAGTCCAAGGACAGAAATAGAAAATGCTCATGTCAAGATTCCGATATCGAAATATCTGTTACATGTAAACAAAGGTTGAAAATCAGGTATTGTTCGAATCCGTATCAAGACTTATTCATTTTACAATGTTAGGAAACTCGGTACGCATATCATGACAAAAAGAAACGCTAAATCTTGGAGAGGAGTGAATGTTTGGCATATAAAGAGAAGTTGAAGAAATATATTGTTAAATCTGCATCAAGACTTCTTCGTCTTGGAATTAGAAAACTCGTTACGAACATTATAACAACCAAAAAAAATGCTAAATATTAGAAAACAGCAAACTTTTAATCGTTTATTCTTAATTCTAGCTATATTTCTCTCGGCAGCTAATGAATTCTAGTTGTCCGAATTTAAAACAGTGTTATTTCACAGATAACTTGGCTTTCATCTAAGTTGCTAGTACAGAGGCCAAGAAATTAGATTTTTAAGATAGGAAAAGGATTATTGGGCGTATGTATAAGAGTTTAGAGTCAGGGGAAAGGCTGGGAAGGGAAGGGAGGGGGTCGGAGATTGTGGGGTTTAAATGTTGGGTTTGAGGTGTTAAGTTTTTAGGGAATGGGAAAGTGTGGGTTTGATAGTAAAGTTTGAGATTAAGATAAAGCTTTAAAGGATAAGAAAGTATGGGTTTAAGGAAGATAATCATCGTCCTCCTCCTCCTCTCCCTCTTGTTCGGCCTTATATATAGAAGTTAGGCGGACAAGATAATTTACAAAACCAATCTTATTCATAAAGATATTCCGCATCGTCTGGGATAAAGAAAGGCTCGCCAGCCCCACTATCCACTTCTTCTTCTTCCTCCTCTTGAGAGAGGGAGAGGGAGAGGGATTGTTGGACAGTGGGTGGTGAGTGTATAATGTGGGAAAGAAATATTTCCTTATGAGAATTTTAAGTGCAGGATGTTGGGACAGACATTCATTTCATTTAAAGTGAGAGGGTTGTGACACACATTCGATGTGTGGCAATGAGCGCGAATAGCGCAAAACGCGCGAATCGCACATGTAGCGCAAATCGCCCAGACAGCGCAAAATGCGCGGAAAACGATCACTGCCGGTCCAGAGATTGAACATCGAAAGAAAATAAATATTTCAGTTGAGATGAGGTTTTCAAGAAGGGAGAGACTTTGACCTCCCTCAGATATGGGAGAATTAACCCACTATCAAATTACAATAACCGGCTGGTATTATATATATCTATCCCTTTCTATACCCAAGTCTAGGAACCTTCAACGGAATCGTAATCAACACCGCCACGGCCCCCAACACAGCCGCAAGGATAAACGTCGCTCTTAACGACGCCGAATACGCATTTATAACCTGTTCTCTCGCCACCGGCTCAAGCCCCGAAATCGCTTGCACCGATTCTCGAACTTGTCGGATAATCTGTTCCGTTTCATCAGCTCTATCCTCCAACAAAGAATAGGTAGGACGATACTTACACTCTCCTTATCAGCCCCCGTAACATTCTGCTCAAGGTTCGAAATCAACGCGTTTTGTAACACAAGACTACTCATCGCAACACCCAAGATAAATCCAAGTGATCGCCACAGCATAAGCGTGCTGGTAACAACAGCTTGTTCTACTTGTTCGGACGCTACGAGGACTGCCATGAATGTGGCGGGCATCATGAATCCTTGGCCGATACTGGAGGGAACGATACAGAGGATGTATAGCCAAGGCGGTAATCCGCGATGCATGACCGAGAGTACGATTCCGCCGAGTAGGAGGAAGATGTTCCCGGTCACTAAGAGCCATTTCAGCTTTTTAGTCCAGGTTATTAAAAAGCCAGTTGCGGCGCCGATGAGCGAGGCGACGAGGGTGGGGATTATGAGACGGAGGCCGGAGGTGGTGGCGGTCTCGAGGAGGACGGCTTGGAAGTAGAGGGGGAGGTTGAATGTTATTGCGTTGATGGCCATGGCAGCTATAGTGTTAGAGAGGATCAGTCCGGCGCGGGGGTTGTGTTTGATGAGGTTGATGGGCATTATTGGGAGTTTGGCTTTGGTTTCGATTAGGATGAATGCGGGGAAGGAGATGGTGGCAATTGTGAAGCAAGAGAGGATGAATGGGTGGGTCCAGTTGAAGATGTTCCCTCCGAGGTTCTGGTTGGATTGTTAGTAACGCTTTGGGACATTTGAAAGGTAATACTGACTAGCCCGAGGATGGAGAATGTGATTGCAGTTGTGAGTAACGCTGACCCCATGTAGTCGAATGATTTCATGACTTCCCAAAGACGTTTTTCTTGACTTTCCACGGTGCCCAGTTCGTTTGGTATTGTCCATATTGCAAGACATAAACAGACGACAAGAAACGGCAACTGAATCCAAAACTCCCATTGCCAACCAAGATTATCAGCAATGGCTCCACCCAACGCAGCTCCTGACGCAGCCCCAGCCCCAAACACGATATTCATGTAGGATTGGTATGCTCCACGAATCTCGATAGGTACGAGGTCGCTGATGATAATAGCACCTATAGCCATCATGCCTCCTGCACCAATCCCGCAGAATCCTCTGGCCAGAATGAAGCTCGTGATATTCCTAGCGGAGGCACACCATATCGTACCAACCAAGAAAATAGCCACAGTACCTATGTAGGGATATTTCCGCCCAACAGCATCCGATAGTCGACCGAACAGAGGTTGTATAGCAGTAGAGGTAAGAAGGAAGGATGTCGAGAGCCATGATGCGCTGTTTGCGCTCTGGAAGTAAGAGGTAATGACTGGATGGCTAGAAACCATGATCGTTCCATCGAAACAAGAAACAAAATATGATATCGTCAAGCTCGCAAAGATAAGCCAGAATTGTGGTTTGCTGACGCCGCCGAGGTATCGACTTTTCGGATCCGCCTCTTCTTCCGTCTCAGTTTCTTCGTCGATAGACGTCGGCCTCGAGTGGCTTCCATTGGTGGACACGGTCCCATAGTTCAAAGCTAGAGGTATTCGTGGGAGGAATCTGTACTTTCGAGGATTTCGCAGAGAGGCACCAACCTGTGCTTCGGCTTCTGTTCCATGGCCGATGGTTTGTGCTCTTGCAAGGTAATTCTCAAACTCAGCCTCGTTATCGTCCGATTCGTCATCTTGAAGTGTTGTATTTGAGGATACTGTGCCGTAACTACTTTCATCCTGACTGCTTGTGGAGAGGAATGATGTCTCTTCGTTGATATCCTCCTGGAACCGACTCGATCGGTTGTGTGACACGTCCTCATCGACCATGATCGATATAAAAGCTGCAGATAGGTCCGTAGATAAGCATCATTTGAGGATTTGGATGTCTAATGTGTCGTAGAACTTTTTGGGGATGCTGGACGGGTCATACGCGGCCTCAGACTCAAGAAATCTGGTCACTGAAACGTCAAAAGACCGTTTTGTGATCCTTGTTCACATATCTGCGGAAAAATAAAACTGCATTGAACAGTAAATGGAAATAAGAATCCAAGAGACAAGCTGTGTAAGCTTGCAGATATATGAAGCAAAGAAAAACGGAGTACGAAAAGACTTGAGCAATAGAGCGCAGGAGGTCTCATAGTATCGAGCCATGACGTCCTGCTTCGTGGCCTATCAAAACGACTTGTGGGACTACCCAATTCATTATTTGTTAAGGATTTGTGCCAGAGAACATATCGAACGTCTATTCGTGTTTCTGGTCGTAGGTTGCCGCGCGTACTCCCGTTCGGCTGGCAACCCTGATAAGAGCTTCCGGGACCGAATCCACGATCACGTGTGTGATGCATGTTCACACCTACCTAGGGTTAGCAATAATAGAGGATCTGGGCGCTTGAGTATGACGAGAAAGTCCCAATACAGTCACTGAAGTCAATAGAATTATTGGAATCTTGGGGTTGTACAATTCCACATCTTGCTGAAAGGCATGTGCCACAAGATGTCCCTTTCGGAAACCCCATTTTTGCTCACATCCAGATATGATCACACATCACTCAAATATTACTATTCTCCATAACACCATTCCTCTATCCGATGCTATATAAATACTCATTCCATTCCATCCAAGATGCTTAAGTTACCCCTGCGAATAGCGGTCCTAGAATGCGACACGCCAATGGAAACCATCACCTCCCGCTTCGGCGCCTACCCGCGAATTTTCAGCAGCCTCCTGAATGCCGCCGCAGACCAGCTCGCCTATCCCGGCCTCTCGTCCAAAGAAGGACTCGAGCTCTCGGCTTGGGATATTGTTAATGGAGACAAGTATCCCGAGTTGGAGAATATCGATGCGATATTAATCACGGGATCTAAATATACGGCGTATGATGATGATCCGTGGATATTGAGGTTGGTGGAGTATACGAAGAAGGTTTTGGATCAAAGGAGAGTGAGGATTATTGGGGTCTGTTTTGGGCATCAGATTGTGGGGAGGGCGATGGGTGTCAAGTTGGGGAGGATGGAGGGGTGGGAGGCGAGTGTTATGGCTATGGATTTGACGAAGAAGGGACAGGAGATATTTGGGAAAACTGCCGTGGTGAGTTCTTAACCTTCAATTAATTCCCGAACTTGGTGGCTGATGACGGCTTAGGCTCTGCATCAGATGCACAGAGATATTGTTTTCGAGTATCCTGAGGGAGTCGAGGAGTTGATGTACACTGAGAAGTGTAAAGTGCACAGCATGTACATTGCCAAGAGGTTAATTACTGTTCAGGGACATCCAGAGTTCAATGAAGACATCATGAAGGAGATCATTAGAGTTAGGCATGGAAGTGGACTGTTTGGAAAGGAGATGTATGACGATACGACGAGCAGAGCTGATCGATACCATGACGGAGTGCTCGTAGCTGAAGCTTTTTTGAGATTTCTTTTGGAGGACTAGAGTCTAGATTAAGAGAACTGAACGGAACAGGAGCTGGCATGTTGGACTTGCTGCTGTACTTGAAGCGTAGACTGTTGAAGATAGATCGATCGAAGTCCTTTTGTCAATGTTGCAGTTAGAAATAAATGCTGTTCATTTAAAGTAGCAAAGCAAACATCAACACTAATTCATTACAGCTATCATTCTCTCACTGCCTTTCGGAAATATCACAGCACAGAGCACGAAGGAGAAAGGGAGAGAAAGATTGCAGCTTCTAATATTCCTTGGATTACTAAGAAGAAAATATAACCCGAAGAGCAAAAGCAAAGTAGCTACATGAAAATATCAAATACAAGGCAGCCATTTCAATAACGTAATCCTACAACTCTGGCTTTCCCACTGTATTCACAGCTTGTGCAATGAGGTCTAGCCAACGAGCCAATCTAAGAAAGCGGGTCAATTACAATACTTGCTTGCAATAGCATATTGGACTTACCTATAACCTGCTCTAGCAATCTGGATCTGAATAACTGGTATAGCAGCCTGGTAATAGTCGCCATCAAGCTCTTGACCATCGATCGCATCAACACCATTTGGCAGGACAGTCGTACAAACGAACGCATTTGCTTCCTCTGCCCATGCCAGAGCAGTGGCCACAGGGTCCGCCAAATCAATGCCGTCAAGCCAGTCTGCTGCGAGAGATTGGTAGATCCCAGAAGTAATGGCCGTCGTCAAGATCTCTGCCCACTTCTCGGCATCAGTCAGAGTGTATCCTCCGATTAGCTTTTCTGGCCTGTTCGTCAAAATCTTGTGTCAGTATACTTCATTTGGAAATTTGGGGATGCATGTACCAGAAAATCCAAGACTTACATATTTGTGTCCCAGACATGGTGAAGGTTGGTCTTGACTCCACCAAAGGTCACCAGCACGGTGTTTCCGCCAACGTCGAGTCCCTCATCATGAAGAGGTTGATGTATATCTCCAAGAAAATGCACGACAAACTTTTCATATTAGTATATGAGATCTAAATAATAAGTTTGAAAACATACCTTGGCAGCCATATTCCGGGTGTAGGAATCCAGTGTGGTATTCATGACTTGGCTCGTCTACCCTTATCAGCTACTTTTCCTACATTTCTCTCTAGAGCTACGCACATAATTCAGAATCGCACCAACAACACATCCCTTCTCCCCACAATCCCTAGAATACGTCACCCCACAAGAAGTTGGAGGATTATCTTCGGCATCGATGAAATGGAAAGGAGCTGAGAATCTTCCCGCCGCGGTATATCGAAACGAGTCCGCCCACGTAGCAACGTTGGCCAAGTAAGAACTGGTTTCATTGTACAAGAGAGTCTGGAACAACTCTTGTGTCCCCGCAGCGACAAAGTTGGAGGCGACATATGCTACTGTCTCGTGACCGAGAGATCCCCAAGCTGCCGCTGTAGGAAGAAATGCGCATAGGGCATGGAGATAATTCAGAGTTGCGAGCTTCATCTTGAAATTTATCGCGGTATAGAACTTGAAGAATGAAATTATGGAAATGAGATGGATGCGATATAAAAGATGAGATGAAATAGCAGGTCGTCACCTGTAGGGCTGATCAAGTATAAACACAACCTGACATGTTCAAGAGTGAGACAAGAAGCAGGGAGGTTTAGATGTTTTGATTGGTTCTCGTTGTCGGGTCGATCAAATGGGGATGCTGCAGGCGCCAAATCCAGCCCGTGGAGCCAACCACGATAGCACGTTTCACCGTATCACGGTTCACGAACCTTGTTTCTCTGTAACCAAACATTCAAAGTCCATTCGAGACTTGTCTTACAAGCTAAAGTCTTCAAGTGCTATTCAAAATTTCTACAAGCTTGGTACTCTAAAGTAAGCTAGGTCCTGTTATCGATCACATGGCATGCAGGAATGAAATGCTCATCTTGGTCCATATACATTCGGGACATGGTCTTGTTACATATTTACTTGTACATAGGCATATCGACGGTGTTTATTGACAACGTCGCCATAAAGATATCCACTCTCCTCTAGCTTCCAGATTGTCATTCGCATCTTTCTCAACATGGGGATCGGCGACCAGAAGACAAGCCTTCAGCGCCTCACTAACATCTCCTGTAAGCTCTATGGGTGGATCTTCCTGCTGGAGATCTACAATCCAAGTCCGTAGAACAGTCATGCATGCTTTTTGATGTTTGGTTTGAGCAACCTGAAACAACATGAAAGCGTACATAGACGCTGACTGAGGTTTGTTCTGACGAGGGGCCATTCTAAATATCTCCCAGAACTGTTGCCAATATTGTCGATTAGCATAAAGGTCCATCAGCCGCATTCTGGAGTCATCTCGAAAGAGGGGTAAATTCAACTGGACTAGAAGAACGTGGAACCGTTGTGAGATGGGAGGCATTGGTAAGCTAGGCAGATCGAATGTTTCTTCCGGATCTGTATAGATCTTGTGCTCGGGCACGACTGTTAGCGGATCGGGCATCGTAAGCTCTTGCAGTTCGATAAGTAGGTCTTCCGAAAGGATGTCAAAACCTTGATCGTGCATCGTTTGAATTATACCAGTAGCCGCTTCTAAGGCGGCGTGTGAAGCGCCGTGATAGAAATCCTGACCTCGAGGCGGAGTCAATATAGCACGGAGAAGACGTCTGTAGGATGACAAGGAGATCTGCACTCCGGAAACTTGAAATTGATCCAAGAGCTCCAAAAGTCTGAAGTACTCGTAACCAGGATGGCCTATTTCTTGGGCAAAACAGGATAACCAGATCAGAATTTCTGCCTCAGCCTCTGAGACGTAGATGGGCGATAATGTCTCATAAAAGCACACGAGAAATGGAGTAGAGCTGCGGTCTGAATCACCAGTGCCTAGCATTTTGAGTGCTTCTTCTGCTGGTACACTCTCCAAATGGGATTGTAGACTATGCAACAAGAATGGTCTCCAGCCGTCCTTCTGCAGTTCTGGAACACTTTGACTGTACCGAATCACATCATTCTTGATCTTGTTGTAGTTCCCCAAGGCAAGATCCTGCATAATAGCATCTTGAATTGACTGCAAGTCAAACTTCTCAAAGGGACTTGCTGTAGTTGGCTGGAAAGTAGAACGCGGGCCTGGCCCTGAGCGTGCTTCCACGTCTGCGGCGAGACGACGTGCTGAGGTGTGGTAACTTCGATTTTGTCCTGAACTGGATGCAGAATTTCGATCCGAGGGGCTTGCCGAGATTGGAAAGTATTGTTGAGTTGTTTCGCTGGAATCAAGATCTTGGCCTTCCTCAATATCTTTTGGGGTTCCGCGCTCGAGAATTCCAGTCCACAGTCTTTCCAGGTTTATTTCTTCTCTTTTCTCCTCTGTGAGCATTTGTACCACAATCCTAACGCCTTCTGTCCTCCGACCAAACCCAACAAAGTCTCTGATCGGAGCAGACTCCTCAACTCCTTCGGCCTCATCTACCACGCCGACGTCGACACAGACCCAGCCTGTTCTGACTCCATCATCTTGGCTGTCGTCAACAGAACTTCCCATAAGCTTTGCTCTTTTCGCCTTCCTCTTCAGTTTGAGCTTTAGCTCATTCCTTCCTAATAATCCATCCACATCAGGTTTCAGTTTGTATGTGCTCCTAAGCCATCTGCACAGGCGATCTGCGGATACGTGGAGATGTTTTTCGCTGCGAGCAGTACCGATTAGCATCAATAGATTGGCTCCTAAAGCTGGAGGAGGATCGAGTTTTCGGAGATCGAGCAATTTCAGATCATCGAGGCCAAGATCAATTGATACTTGCTGCATCAGTGGCGCCAATATCGGAGGTGGAAGTTCTGGTAATTCGGGTATGAGCTGTCGTTCGGACAGAGGCCTCGGAGCTCTGTGAGGCGACTCGACCTGGAGGTACCAAGGTATGGCAGAGACTTGCTTGTCTTCTATATCTTCGGTGAATTCCAAATCACCATCTAATTCGTCCTCCTCATCTTTCTCCTCAACCACTCTGCCACCCTCATGATATTCATTTGTTCTTGGGCTTTCATCGTTCCGTCCTACATGAGAGGAGTATCTAAGCTGTCGAGGTTGCGTTGTACATCGGGAGAACCTTGTAGGTTGCCGAATTCGAATTGAGGGGCCTGCCAACGATGTAAAGCTTCGCAGTAAAGTTAATCGGCAGGCGGCACATCCTGTTGCTCGTAATGCCCTGCCTACGACCATTTTATTGTGACGTGGGAATTTTTCATATAATCACAGAGATTTGAGCCTTGTCGATTGAATGGATTCTATGGTAGTTATTCTGCCACCGCCTGATAAAAACTGGTTAGATCCACATCTACCCATTTCAATCACCCACATGGTCTTACTATCCCCCCCCTTAAACAAAAGATGGTGGAGATATTTTGCCACTACAGACAAGGGCTTCAAGCAATAGGAATTGTGAAAGATTTAGAGCCAGCAAGGCTATAAGACTTCTTGAACCTTCTATTGACACCCTGGATCAGGTACACAGATCACTTTTGGCTCTGTGAGTAGCGAGAGCAAGGGCTAAACCTACTCCCTGGCTTGATATTCTGGTCTGTGCAAAGAGGCTGACCAGGCTTCCAGCCATTCAACAGTTGCAATTCTTGAAAAAGTCTCCACCTTCTTTTGTTTAGGGGGGGGGATATAATTCCTCTCGTTAAACTGAACATTTTCTGGACGTGCCCGAAATTAAGGGATTGGATGGCCAATAATGTTTAAAACATCTTTAGACTTCATCGACACGAAGGCATAAAGGCATTCCATTCTTTCATCATCATCTTCATCAATGTCTCATGCTCCTAGTATGAGCTCAAAGCTTGGATAGTTTGTATAATGTCCCAAAGACAATCACGACTCCTCGACACTAAAATGAATAAGACTGGTATCGTGGGATTTCATGTACAAACTAATCGATCTTCTCTATCTGCTCTACTCTTGTAAAAGGCTCATCTCCTCACAACGCCATCCGTCTCCGACTGTTCCATACCATCAGATGTACCCGACATCTACCAGTTCATGAGATCTGTTTATGAGTTAGTGTATTCTCAATTATTTTGCGCAGACAGAAACTTACCTCTCCCGAACAACGCTCTCTTCGCCCAATCCATGGCTAACAGAATTCTCGTTCTCAGACTCACGCTCTGGGCAAAATACACACTTCGCCAAGCATACACAGCCCAGAGACCCCCAGCAAAATTCCATCCACCGCCCCAGTCGAAAACTGCCGAATTGCCTATATAAGCTAGACTTCCGAGATGGTGATATTCGAAAGCCTTGTAAACGGCCTCATCTAAGTCACCATCTCGGACATCATTAACTCGTAGTCCAGGCGCTGCTCTAGCCATCTTGTTGAACTTGTGGCCCAGATATTGACCCTGTTGATGTGCGCGCTGGGCCGTTGCTGGTAAAGAGGTCAATTTGCTGTCAATTTGCATCAGGAGCTCGCGCATTTCTCCGAAGTCAAGAGTACCAGATTGATCCTTGTCATATGCTGCAAAGAGCTTGTCTAGCCGCTTTAAATGATCTGCTGCTTGAGGAAAGCGTTTTCGGACTTTCTGAGCAACTTCACGCCATTCGCTGAAAGTGATGTGCATAGTCTCAGGGTCGTTGCCCTTCTCCCAAGCTAGAGTACGAAGGAATGTGACGAGGTGGTCTGCCACGTTGTTCTGCACTGTGGCACAGTCTCCAATAGCGTATACATCTCCAAGCGGAGTGCCATTGAGTCGAAGATGGGTATCTGTCTCCAGAGCGTGTCGGTTCGTCTGGGACGATCCAAGCGCGGTTGCGACTTTTTGACAGAACTCAGTCTGAGAAACACCAGTTGACCAAAGACAAAATCCCATTGGCAATTCTTTCGTAATAGTCTCTCCGGCTTCTCCCTTTTGAGTAAAGAAGATCTTCTCAGGAGTCACTTCTTTCACTCGGGAATTTGTGAGAATGTCAACCTCGTCACGGCTGAAACGGTCTTCGGCATACTTCGAGACAGCCTCGTCATAAGTATTCAGAATATGTCCTCGACTTTGAATGAGATGCACGGAGATTTCGTTTCGTAAGAGCTTAGGAAAGTGTGAAGTGAGATCCTCGTTGAGTAGATCAAACAATTCAGCAGCGAACTCCACACCTGTAGGTCCTCCACCGCATACGACAAAGGAGAGCAGTCGCCTTCTCTCCTCGTCCAACGTGGTGGGAAGACATGCATACTCTAGATTCGTCAAGATATGGTTCCTGATCTTCTGTGCGTCATCAATGTCCTTGAGGAAGTGACAGTTCTCCAGTCCTTTGACGCCGTGAGGATTCGTGGTAGACCCAACACCAATGACAAGCTTATCATAAGGCAGGTAGAATCGGACCTCGTTGCCATGTTTGTCCTTTTGGGACACCTCCACCAACTTCTCAGAAAACTCAATGCTATCTGCTTGTGCTCGAATGAAGTGCCCTCGGACGCGGCTCACTATTCGTCTAATAGGTTCAACTAAGGATCGAAACTCGAGCGTGCCAACAGTGGCCGAGGGGAGCATTGGCGTGAATAGAAAGTAATTCGTCGGTGAGACCAGTGTGACATGGTATTCTTCAGGATTGAGTGTCTTGAGCAGCGCAACGCTCCCCCATCCACCTCCAAGTACAACTAGTTTGGGCTTATCCTTCTGCTTTTGCATTTCCAAGCAGTCATCATCGTCAATTTGAACTTCTGCAATTGGCAGGTTCTTCGGACCACCTCTTCGAGGGCTTAACGCTATTTCAGAGACTTGTATATCTCTGTATGAAAGATCCTCCCGATAAGTTGAAGCATCGTAGAGGAAGAACGCTACCACACCGACTCCAAGAATGGTGATTGAGCCCCCTAGCCATGCTGCAGAACGATATACGAAGTTGACGACCCACGACCGTCGCTGCGGTAGAGGTTTACCTGAGACAGACCGTATAATGTCGCGGGAGAGGAGCTGTCGCCATTGTGCTTCGCGGAACGCCGGTTTCGTTCGCAGTAGTCGACTGGGGAAGGTATATGATCTTGAGCTTGCTAATATGTACGATACACTTGCTGGTCTGGAAGTATGAGCTGTGGTCCTTGCAGGTTCTGCCCTCGCAAACCGCGCAATGTACCCCACGGGTTGCCGCCGGAGCATTGCACCAATTGATTGCCTATTTCGGGGATATGTGGACTAATGATGGTAGAGCATGTTCAAAACAATTTTGGGTCGTTGTCAAAGCGAGCGCGGTTACTAGGAGAATATTGTAGGTGGGAAAGTGAATTGAGTTCCAAGCTCTTCTTATCACTTATCCAAGCTTGAGTGACGACACGCGGATCTCACGGCTGCAGGCCCACCCCGGGAAGAAAAAATATTTGCATGCATGGAGTCAAACCAAGCGAAAGTTCACTTTGACAAAAGCAGTGTTCTTGTCAAATCAAAGAGTCAATTGATTGAAATCCAATAATTGTAAGTGTTAGGCTCATTGCAGCTTGCTTGCATGTGATCGACACGGTTCACACATCAGAAGTGTCAGCAGCATAAACGCCAACAACTCCATCCCAAGTGTCCGTCCGTTCAGCCTCATCATCCCGAATCTTCCATTGAACTCCATGCCATCCGGCGTAGATAAAAGATTGCATCCCAAACGCCAGCCGTTCATGAACCCAACGCCAAATGAGTTACAGTGATAATCCACGCGCCCTATCATTCAACTCATGTGATCATTGGTTCATGGCCATTTTCTTGTCCGTCGCTAGCCTCCTCTCCATCTAATCCAAGCTCTATACGACCCGGGAGGTCTTTCTTACTTTGTCTCGCTGTATCCTCAGCCCAGGCTCTCAGGCGCACAAGACTTCTGATAGCCGCATCCCGTCGATTGTTTTGCGAACTCAGTATAGCCTTATTGACCCTGTCTGCAACTTCCCGGCGGAGGGTTGGCTTAAGAAGAGCAGCGAGAGGTGCCTCGAGGGTATCCGAAGGGAAGACTAGAAGTGCCATGGTCCTTTCTAAATCTTCCATAAACTCCTTGTTGGTGGGTGCACGAGGTGCCAGTTGAGTTGTCGCGAAAGCCAACGCTGGAGTAATATCACCTCCAGGTGTTGCGTTGCAGGTTCGAATGAGCTCAACAAGTTGTAGTCGAAGAAGGGCGAAGTGTAATGATGGATTGTTGTCAAGAACCTTGAAACAGCAAGTGTCAGTATACTTTCTTCTCTGTTGTATGCACTCTCAATTTGTTTTGTTGTTCTTGCTCATTCTGAGGACTGAAGGTATTTTTTCTCATCACCGACCCGAAGGCTATATGAGTGGTGCATGAAACTCGTGTCTAATCATCGCAGGAGGAAATCAGGAAGATGCTGGATAGACTGACCTGAGGTTCGAGATCGTTGAGAGCTTCAATAGCTTCTTGGATCTCCCCAGCATGTATTGATTGTATTATTTGTCGTCGCGCCAGTAAGGACTCCTCCCCTTGCTGCGGCTTGAGGTTTGCTTCCTTTGAGAACTTGGCTGCCGCAGAAGGATAACCTTCGGTGTTGAGATAATCGAAGATGAGAGCATTTATGTCACTATCGATGGATGCCACAGTTAGCTGTGTAGTTTGATGATCCATAATAGCAATGGAGAAGAATGAATCGCTCGCAAGGTCTCAATCAGATAAACAACTAAATAGTTCTCCGCATGCGTAATTTTTAGGAGAGATTCCCAGTTGATAAAAGTCATCATGTAAAGGTGAAGGCAGTCGTGCAGCTCGAGTATTCGAAACCGGCAAGGACAGCAGGAGCGACTTGGAATATATTGGAAGAATCGTACCTTTTCAGCGGCTTGACATCCTCTGCGCGTCTCTCGAAAGCATGTCGCAGAGGTGTGGCTGTGGAAGCAGTTGAAGAAGCCTGGAGGCGTCAGCTGGGCATGGAAATATGAGAGAGTGGTACTAACCATACTCGAGGCGACTATCTAAGCTGTTTCTGTCATGAATAGTGGTTCATGGAGGCTGGAGTGTCCAGCACTGCGCCTGTAGTCGATCTCAAAGGATGGTTTGTGGAAGAGAAAGGGTGTGTGTTGCAGTTTTCAATCGAGGTATCCACAGAGCTTCCTTCGGGCTCTAACCTGAATAGTACTAGACTCACGACACGTGATAGTCAGCTACTAAACTCGAACCTCGAGGCTCTCCAAGATCCTATTCGTGCTCTTTAGTAATGGATCTCCATTCACTCATTTTGGAACATGCTATGTTATGATTTCTTGCAATTTCTCAAGTCATCGTCCTCTTGATCCTGACTCGCGGGTTGCACACACATAATTCCAGTGTCAAATCCTGTCCATCTCGACGGAGGTCGGCGCTTCAAATTTTGATAATGACCGATATAGTGAGCAAGAGAGCTCACTACTCTCCCCCATGGTAAGTGCCAATTGTTTGAGCTCCATGATTCTGGTCATCGAATTGGGTGTGTCTCATGACTACATCAAGCACACTTACCCGTGTTTCTTTCTTGGATACACTCACGTGCCTACCTCTTTTTACGATTTACTGGCTCACTTTTTCTGCGACAGGGCCGACGTTAGTATTATTGGTATTGCTGGTTCTTCGGGATCAGGTAAATCTACGCTATCTCATGCGATTGTATCGAAATTGAATTTACCATGGGTGGTTATTCTCTCCATGGTACCAGTTCACCTTACCTATATTGTTCTTACTGCTAAATGTTGTGTCTAGGATTCCTTTTACAAGACGCTTGATGAAGAAGGATCCCATAAAGCCTTCAGAAATGAATATGACTTCGATTCTCCAGAAGCCATAGACTTTGATGTCTTAGTTGATCGGTTACGTGAACTCAAGGCAGGGTACGTCTCATAATTGCCTTGTTCATATACCACTCGATGTAGTACGGTTTCAATACTCCAGATGCTTACTTATTGTCAGCAAGAGAGCAGAGATCCCAATATACTCGTTCTCGAAACATGCACGGGAAAAGGAAACAACTTCAATCTATTCTCCCCATGTCCTAATTCTAGAAGGAATTCTCGCGTTGTATGATCCCAGGGTTCTTGGACTTTTAGACATGAAGGTATGTTCAAACTTGTCAAATCTCCAGTCTTTCGCTGACGCCTTCTTACCTAGATATTCTGTGAAGCAGATGCAGACACTTGCTTATCTCGACGAAGTACGACTCCCAATTTTACATCCTACAGGACCTGACTTACTCTAGTTCTCCGGGATGTCGCCGAACGTGGAAGAGACATTGAAGGGTGTATAAAACAATGGTTCTCTTTTGTAAAGGTATGATAGCAGGCTAAGATCTCTATTCAACTTTTTACATCCCAGGTTGACAGACCAGCTGCTGACTTCCAATAGCCAAATTTTGAACGCTTTGTTGAGCCTCAACGAAAAGTAGCAGGTAATTTTATCAGGACCTCAGAGTTCATCTCATTTCTAGTATTGACTAAATCCAGATATCATCGTCCCACGCGGTGTGGAAAACAGAGTCGCAATAAGTGAGTTTGGTTACGTTATCACCACAGGCCGGCTACTTACCAAAAACTTCAGCCATGGTCATACAATACATTGAGCGCAAACTCATCGAGAAATCGAAAACACATCGAGCCGAACTTCGTAAACTCGGCCAGAACTCACAAGATGACCCTCTCTCTGTTAAGGTACTCCTTCTTGAACAGACTTCACAAGTTAAAGGAATGAACACGATCATTCAAGACATTGACACGTCCGCGGAAGACTTCATCTTCTATTTCGATAGGATGGCTACATTGTTGATCGAACAGTACGTGTATGATGCAAAGTCACATACTGTGAATCTGCTAACCACTGTAGCGCGATGAATAATGTTTACTTCAAGGAAAAGATTGTTGAGACGCCAGCAGGTAACAAGTATCACGGTCTAGTCGCGATGGGAGAGACTAGTGCCGTTGTTGTTCTCCGTGCAGGCTCTGTTTTTGAGACTGGATTGAAACGAGTATTGCCGGATTGTCGAACTGGCCGTCTTCTAATACAGTCTAACATACGCACGGGCGAGCCAGAATTGCATTACCTCAAGCTCCCGGGAAATATCGAAAAACACGACAACGTATTAATTCTTGATCCACAGATGTCTTCGGGAGGTGCAGCTCTCATGGCCATTCAAGTCCTTGTTGACCACGGCGTCCCGGAGGAGAAGATTGTTTTCGTTACTTACTTCGCTGGAAAGCTAGGCTTAAACAGGCTGACAAAGGTATTCCCAGAAGTCAACATTGTTGTTTGTACGATGGTCGCCGACTTCGAGGAGAGATGGATAGCGCGCAGGTATTTTGGATGTTGATGACACAAGTGAAGGTAGAAGAGAGACCGTCAACGACGATGCAGGACCGCTTGGATCAAGACGTCGTGCAGTTCACAGCTCTGGTCACACAATTGGTTAACGCTGGCAAATGCCGACGGCAGAATCTTGGATTAGACCTAAAACCAATTGGCCATCGTCGCACAACTCAGACTTACTATTTCTCGAGCAATTTTCTTTCGAGTTAAATCCGAGTGAGAAATGGAAATAACGTCACTCAAGGTTTCTCGGGACCGGTCGCTTGACTAGAGAAGAAAAGGGGGTGACTAACTACTAAAGAAGGATTAGCGAGACAACCGATTGTTGACTGAGATTTATGGGCCCACAGATTATACTACTCGTCAACTTCGATTCAAAACTTGTGTTGACGTGGAGAATAGGATGACAAGGATGACATGCGAAGCAGGTAAGTTGGAGTTGCATCATAACAAGCACGAATTTTTTTCCATTGCATCACTATGTATGAATTTATAAGGCGACCTCCTCGAGAAGTTTTGCTCGTTTCATTGTCACAGTCACGAAAACCTTCTATCGAGTTATTGTTGTGTATTGCATTGCAAATCAAAAATTTCTGCGTTGAAACCCCTCGAGAGCTGCGTTCTTCTCACCGAATGCACCTCTCTAGAGGTGTTCTTGTAGCAGTCGCTGCAGGCGCTTCTGGAGCTGCCGCTTGGGAATGGCCGTGGCAAGCCCAATCAACAGAAACTCCAAAACAACAACCAACTGCAACCACGCAGAATGAATGGTCTGATTTATTGGGTGTCGCTGAACACATTGAAGGCGATCTTGCTTCTTTGATGACAGAGCTGGTACCTACTGCTACTGCTGAAAACCTTGACACAACCGCTTCTCAAATCCCAAACGATGTTCTCAAATCCGGCAATGTCGACTCGAATGAACCTACACTTCAAATCACAGAACCATCATCCTCAGCCGAACCGGGAATATGGGATTCTGCTGGTGAATGGCTTCATGGTCTTGAGTCAGAACTTAAAGATAGCGACGGACGTGCCTCGGTCTTTGGCGTGGTGAAGTCTTTTGAAGGTCATTTCGCTTCCGATGTTAAGTCTTGGGTGAATGAATTTCAGCCTACCACCCCAGCTGAAGCTCCTTCAAAGCAGACCGCTTCTCCTCTTCTTCCAAGAGCGTGGACTTGGATACCAGATGTGCCTTCTGTCAAATCTTGGATTCAAGGCCTGTCCGAGAGCGCTTCATATAGCTCCTGTGAATCTATTGCCGCGGGCAGTGTCAGCTTCCCGGTGCCCGACGAAGTAGCGTCCTGGGCAAATGGTCTTCCAGCTGAGTGGAAGCCATTTCCTATTGTATCTTTTGGTGGTTCTTCACCGAAATCACTGAATCATAATCCGGGTGCAACCAATCTTCCCAGCCAATACAGCAGTGAGCCTGTTTCGCAGGTCAACACTCGATCTGGAGGAATCGCACATCTATCAAGCAGCCAAGGACACGTATCGGCGCCGGCGTTCACAAAACCAGGAGTTCTACCAGGCTACACCAATCTGCCTCCCTATTCGAACAACATTCCCACGAAGCCGTCAATCGAACCGCGATCACTGGGAAATGTGGTGCCATCCCTAAGACACGAATCCTACAACTACCCAGGGTCAAAGGTTACGACAAATCCAATTGCACTTCAAAGTAACACGAATTTTCCTGTTCATTCTAACGGTATCCCGCCTCACCCTTCGCTCGAAACCAGATCAACACCGAACGTGGTATCTTCTCTGGGACAAGCTTCGAACGGCCATTCATCTTTCTCAAGGATCCTTACGAGCCCACTCCAGTCAAGTATCGTAAATGTTCACACTCAGTCGAACATTCCCGCCAAACCCTCACTTGAGACTAGGTCGGGACAGAACATGGCACCTTCGGTCGGTCATGCTTCAAATGGCCACTCATCACCGTCGATTCCTATCTCTCCCCAGAAATTGCCCACTTTCTCGACCGGCCTAGCCGAGCCGTCACTCGAAACTCGATCACTAGGGAATGTGATACCATCCGTCGGCCACGCCTCGGTGTCAAATGTCCTTTCAAATTCGATTCCTCCTACGAGCTTACCCACTTTCTCGAAAGCACCCTCCAAACCATCACTCAAAACCCAATCATGGGGAAATGTCATACCATCATTAAGCCACGCCTCAGCAACAAATGCCCTTTCGGATTCATTTCCTCCACCAAGATTGCCTACTTTCTCGAATGCTCCGGCCAAACCGTCACTCGAAACTGGGTCGCTTATTTACAGACCTGTCGCTAACATTTCTTTATTAGGATCGAAAATAAATTCTGGTTTGGCGTCTCCCCCAATTTCCCCTCCTACTACCCAAGGTCCATCATCTCATCCTACTGGACACCTCCCCATAACTCCAAGTGTTCCAGTCGGAAGTAGTAAACCGAGCGTGGCCAACCCAGAGGGCCCGTCACATGGTGTTTCCCACATCGGTCCAAATCCGATCGAGTCAGCAACATTTTCGAGTATTGCAGCCGACAGGTCCACAGGCTTGCCTGCCTCAAGTAGCGTCCGTGAGATGCCCTCACAAGTCAGTATTCCAAGGACTAGCTCAACCTTTTCTGGAGTCGGCCCAATAAAATCCGCCTTCTCTTCTCTCGTTGCGCCTGTCCGGTCTGCATTTTCTTCGATCCCAAAAGGAAGCAGTGCCTCGGCAAAAACTGTTGGTCCAACTTCGTCGATACTCGGTGGTGGCGTTCCAACCTCATTCCCAAGGTCTGTGCCGACCTCATTTGGATCCGCAAGATCTCCAATGCCTGTTGTCCCTGGTAGTGTTCAAAGTTCTGGATCGCCATCGATCAATATGCCTAGGTCAACGGTACCAGTCTTGCCACACAGCGCTTCGAACTCGGAGGTAGGAAATGGTATTCCAACGTCCAGAATTGGTGAACCAAGCCACACTGCAAAGAACTCGAATGCTCCTAGTGGACTTAGCATTCCAGGATTCAGCCCATCGTCGGTTAAACAATCATCTACTAGCTTTCCGATACACGAGACTCCAAGGCCAAGCCTTCTACTTTCCAGCGTGGCCCTCAGTCATCCGGGATTAAGTACATCTGTGGGTATCTCTGGACATCATAGCCTCGCGGAATCCAGCTTGGGCCTGCCATCAACTGCGCTACGAAGCCAAAGTCAACTCAGTTCTTTAGCTCCGCATAGTACCGTACATGCTAGTGTGCCTACACCAAATTTACCGACGTCTGGTCACTCTTCCGTTAGTGTCCCTCGCTTCAGCGGACCTTCAGTAAACGTTCCAGGAGGATTGCCCAGCCTCTCTGCATCTTCGCTACATGGAGCCAGTCACGGATCACTACCCCCTGCCAGCCTGTCAGTGCCTCACCAATCGCAATTTTCAGACAGTCACAGTTCACATGCTGCGAGTAACCCGACTGCGAGTCTCCACCAACCCAGCTTGCCAGGAGTCAGCATCCATCCTGTGTCGAGTCTTCCAACGAGTGCTGCATCACACCCCAGTCTGCCTTTGTCTGTACCCGTGTTGAGTCTTCCGCACCCAAGTAGATCTACACCCTCACATAGAGCTAGTGTCACGGTTAGTACTCGTTATCCTAGATCTAGTGTACCTGCCGGCGTCAGTACACCGCATTCATTGCCTGCCTTCAGCGTGCCTCACATCAGTTCGCCATTCAGCTTGCCAGGGCTCAGCGTACCTGCAGAGAGCATCAAAACACCAACAGTTGGCAACATACCTGTGCCCACTTCGCTGGAAAGAAGTAGGTCACAAGTATCGTTGAAGACCTCCTTCCCGCTGGCCACACCATCAGGGGCAACTTTATCGCACCCAAATTCAGTACCACTTAGTGTCCCCAAACCAAGCATTGGAGAGAGCAAAAGTCTTTCAGCAAGCCATTCCGAGGGATCTCTGGTCCCAACATCTCATCTTGTGTCAAGCCTGGGGTTCTCGACGATTGGTTTGCCGACTAGTGAACAATTGCCAACTACATTGCCAGAAATCAGTCTCGGATCTTCAATTCGCCCTTTGAGTCAAGGATACCCATCCTCCCTACCGGTACACAGTCTCGGACACTCTTCAGCATCAAGCACTCATGCCGGTTTCCCGACCTCAATCGCTGGTATCCTTCCTCCTGTGCTCAGCTCTTCGGCTCCAGCACAGAGTCTCGGTCACTCTTCAGCGTCAAGCACCCATGTTGGTTTCCCAACCTCAATCGCTGGTGTCCTTCCTCCTGTTCTCGCCTCCTCGCTACCAGGCCTTCATTCGCAGGTATCATCTGCTGTACCATCGATCAGTCCAAGCTTGCCGATAATTGTACCAAACTCTAGATTATCACATGTTCTCTCTCAAGTATCGTCTGCTGCAACGCGGTCGAATAGTCCAAGCTTGCCATTATCTGCTTCAAGCTCTGGTGCATCGAATTCATATCCGCAGCACTCGGCGATAACGCCATCTGATATATCCTCGATCCATCCCAGCATACCGGCGACCCTACATAGCTCTGAAGCATCCCAAATATCGTCAATTCTCGTATCAGTCCGCCCAAGCTTGCCAACATCTACTCTACGTGGCTCCGGTATATTGAACGAACCATCTACTTCAGCTCACGAGGGCTTACCGACATCTTCACTACACACCCCTGTGGTATCAAGCAGATCTTCTCAGCTGCCAACTGTTGTGCCCTCGACTCATCCGGGCCTGCCAGTGTCTTCTTTAGACAGCTCTCTCCTATCAAATGGATATTCCCAATTGCCGTCCTTCCACCCGAGCTCACCAGCATCTTTGCCCACTTCCATCGTATCGAATGGGCCAGTACCATCACAACTTCCTTCAATCCACCCAAGCTTGCCGATATCGATACATGCCTCTGAGTCCTTAGTCGGGCATTCAAATCTACCTCCGGTCCATTCAAGCTCGTCGCTATCAATCCATGCCTCTGAATCTTTGATTAGACCTTCGAATACACCTTCGGTTCATTCAAGCTTGCCACTATCGTCACATAGTTTAGATAAGCCAGTAGGACCTTCGCAATTACCATCTGTCAACCCAAGCTTGTCGTTATCTATGCACACCTCTGGATCTTTTGCTGGGTCTTCAAATATACCCTCGAGTCATCCAAACTTGCCACTATCAACGCAAAACTCTGGTGCATCAAGTGAATCTTCGCACTCGCCATCAAACCACCCAACTTTGTCGCGATCTATACAAGCCTCGGAATCACAGATCAAGCCTTCGAATCTACCTTCAATTCATTCCAGCCTCTCGCTCCCTTCGTTAGCCACTTCTAGTGGCTCTTACGAATCGTCACAGCTCCCATCACTTCACACAAGCTTGCCTTCTATGCATGGATCTGGTTCCACAACTAGTCTTTCAGATCCGACATCGATTCATCCAAGTTTGCCGCTGTCCATACACAGCTTGGGTACTTCAATTGGACTTTCACACTTACCATCAATTCAAACGAGCTTG